TTTCCTGATTCTAAACATACACTGCCTGTGGCGGGAGTGTGTGTGTGTGTGTGTGTGCGTGTGTGTGTGTGTGTGCGCCCTACATGGGGAAACGTCATTTTGTCTTTGAGGATATTTTTTGTCCTTGATCAACACATTTGTAGGTTTTTGTATGCGTTCAGTAGTATGTGTGTGTGAATTTATGAGTCATATCCGAGTAGAATCTGCATGCCTGTGTGTGTGTGTGTGTGTGTGTGTGAGTGATTTCCCAGGGTTACAGGTTGACCTGTGAATGAACTTGCTGTTGTCTGGAGCTCTTCACTTTTAGACAGATGTTACATGATCCATCATCCGGGTATTTTTAGAAGTCCTCCTCTTGCCTAATATGCAGCAGCTGTAAAAGTGTTCTGGTTGTGGAGAAGTGGCTGACATTCATTGTTCTTCTCTTACGCTCTGCTGTCACAAACATGCTCTGATAGGGGGGCGGGGGGGTGCAGCAGCCAACCACTGTTTTAAGAAACTCAAACTAAGAGATGTTTTAAATCTGTGAGGAATCTGTGGCTGTGGAAGCACCAGCGCGGCGCAGCTTAACATGTTGTACCTTAGTCAGTAAACAAAAGACGATGCTCCAGAGTGAATTAGACCATTTGATCTGTGCGCGTTTCCCAGAGGGATTCAGACAAGCAGTAGTTGAGTCTCCACTGTGTGATCGTGTCTTTGCGTGCGTGCTTTTGTGCCGACCTGCTCCTCGTGCAGCACCACCTGTCCGTCCAGAGGACTGCCGAGCGGCGCCACGGTGACCAACGGCTGCCAGACGCCGCTGATGGTCCGGGGGAAGACGTCGTAGAGCTCCATGCACCGAATGGTCTCGCCCTGCTCCTTCATGGAGTACAGCGACACGGGGTTGCACGTGGCCACGTACAGCTCATCTGCAACACAAAAGCCCATGTCCCCGTTAAGTCCACACATTTGTGAGCCTTTTCTGTGCTCCCCATCGGTGAGTTAGTTGCGTCCCGTCCAAACGTATTTGCACAGCTCAAATGTTTCCACTAGAAACCTGTAAAAAGGCTTCTGGTCTTCAGCCTTACTTGGAGGTGTGCTTTGCACAGTGGTGCACCTACCGGATCCTCTAACATGTCCCTAGATGAATGCGGAGGCCGTGTGTGTGTGTGTGTGTTCACCATCTTTGGTGGAGACGTCGCAGATGATGTTGACTTCGTCCATGGGAATCTGCCAGTGGGCTTTCTCTTCGCTGAAACTCAGAGCCCTGCTCTCCTGTCTGCTGCAGGGGGAACTCTGAACACGCAGAAACGCGGGGCCCTGGAAGCACAAGACACACACACACACAGGAAATGCTTTTTACGGCCTGAACTTGGTGGAACTGAGTGACTGCGGCTTGTTTATTATTTTTCTCCGGCAGCTGCCGAAGGTGCAGAAAAGGCCCGGTGGGTTCATAGGAACAATTCGGCAAGTACAAAACAAGCCATGTTCTTGTGTATCTGCTGAGATCAGAGTACTAAACACCGGCCTATGCGACGGGAGATGAATATCTGCTGGAGTGTTTACCTTTATGTCTATGGGGCGCGTCTCAGTGGGACACAGCAGTTTGCGCCGAGCGTTGCCAACTTGGTTTATCGTCCAGTATCCCGTCATCTGGACCTCCGGCAGGGGCAACCTGAAGATGGAAGGTCACATGGTGACAACTGCATGGTAAAAAGTGCAAAGCGCAGTTCCTGAGATCTAAATGTGTGCCGCGAGCATGTTTTTATGGCTTCCTGATGTCTCATTTTGGAAAATTATGGGTTTCACTGTCACAATTTCTGCATCCCAACTTCAAATAAGATGAACTCATCTTATAAGTGCATCAACACGCCCACCGCAAGATGCAGACGTAGGATTTAATGTGATCCGGCTCTCTAGAGCGGGGGAAGCCAATTTGGGACCGCTGACTGTGTGATGGTGAGTGAGTCCCGGCTCGTTGTGTCTGGCCAGATGTTCACTGGTTGTCCCACAAATCGCAGCTGGATTGTGGCCACAGTCTTATTAGCAAAGTGAAAGATGCCACAGAACCGCGATGGACAATCCTCTAATCATAAACATCTTGTTTTCCACGTCCAAAATTGGAAATCAAGAGACAAAATGTTTGCTGTTGTGTAAGCAAGATGTTGTGGGATATAAAAGGTTCCAGATGGGGTTTTAAAAAGCCTGTTTCTAGAAAAATAATTGTTTCTGCTCTGCCCTCAAGAGGTTACTTGATTCATGAAATGAAATCTTTCAAAAAGGGTCAAATAAAACCACAGGAGACAGAAGAAACAAATATTTTCCTTTATTTAAAAGACAATCTATGCATGACGGGACAATGTAGTGAATACTAGAAAATAATCTTATGGGAAAGGTGAGGTAATATGAATGATCTAGTCCGCCATTCATGTATTCATTCTTTCAGCCCCAAAGTTTAAATGGGACACTTCACCACAACATAAAACCTTTTTACAACATTTTTCCTCTTGCCAGTCGAGCCTTTCATGAATCTTCATTATTTTGAGGTATGAGCAGTTTCACGAAGGAACTATTTTCTTTCTGCACCAGTCAACTCTTCGGCGGCACAGAAGGAAGCTTGCATCCATTTCCACAGAAATCTACATAATGAACATCACTAAAAGAGGACAAATGTGACCGATTTTGATTTCATTCCTAAAAGTTACAAAAACCATAAAATCATAAAAGGATGTCGGACAAGCTCCCTCTCAGCGGGAAAGGGTTCCACATGTGTTCTCCTCAGGAAGATGAGAGTTCTACGGACCTCTGAGGAAACACTTCATACGCCGGAATCTTTTTATGGCGGAATAAAAGATGTGTTTCCTAAAATTTAGATTAAAAAGGCTAAACCCGGATCTCGCTTGTTAAATGAAGTGTATCTTTCTGTTCTCTGTTACGATAAGGCTGAAAATCTAAAGTTTGTATAGGTTTTGATGCATTTTGATGCACTAGTTATCCATAATAGAGACAGGCACAACGTGGACACGGTCACGGTCGTATTCTAACGCTTTCTGACTGGCCTCTGTGACTGTGTGTGACTGTGTGTGACTGTGTGTGACTGTGTGTGTGTGTGTGTGTGTGTGTGTGTGTGTGTGTGTGTCAGCCTTGTGCTCCTGACGCCTCCCTTACTCCTTAGCCAGGTTGACGGAGCTGGGCTTGGCTCCAATGGGAATCCCGTGCTTGTGCAGCGCTTCGATGACGACCTCTCGCATGTCTTTGTTATACGCGTCAAAGTCGAAGACGTTTCGCACCACGTTGGCCAAACCCTCCTCGGGGAATATTCTGTGGTATAGAAGCAGGCAGAGAAGAGGAGGTAGTCAAGGAGGAAAAAGGGAGGAATGACAGGGAGATAAGGAAAGGAAGGGAGCGCCGAGGGTGTCAAGTGGGATGGGAAATAGGGGAAAAAGCAGAGAAGATGGAGCGAAGAGGGCCAAAGAAGGAAAGAACGTTAACATAATTAACAAAGTCTTCAGCAGGGGTCGACGGCGGGACGCGGCCTGCGAGGTTAACGCATCGCTCCACTCTGGCAACGGCGCCGACAGACGAGGCACCCTGAAGGCATTGCGTTTGTGAAATAATCGGCGAGACACAATAAATGTTCCGTATTGCGCGGTAACTATGGCGATAGGTTGGTAAATAGACAGGGAAGAAAACGGAGAGGGAGAAGCCGTGAGAAGAGAAGAGACTACGCTCTCAAACTGTCAAGAACGTTATCCAGGTGCTGATGGTAACTTTGGACATTTGTCATTGGTTTTGACAACTTTAAGACTAGAAAATGAAGCCTGATTAAGGGGAGTGGAAAGTGGATCGAAGATCCGGAATTTTAAATGTCAACACACAACAATTTATTTTATTGATGACAACAGGATTGTGAATCCGGATCGACACCCAGTTTAAGTGCAAATCAATGGACAAAGTATTGGAAGGATGAAATGAAGACAGACAGAGCAGTCGTACACGCGAGCCAATCCTTGACGGCTCAGTGGTCGTAGTGACGGCGCTGCATCGTGGGGCGTCGTTTCCACATGTACAATGTAATCACGTCGCTGGGCCTTTAACTCGCTGCACCTGGTTACAGACGCACCTCCAGAGCATCGGGCTGCATTGATCTGAGTTAAAACCAAGCTTCATTCATGACCAAATGTGAATATTGGCTGTTGCCTTGAAGCAATTTAGACCTTGACTGAACCCCCCTGTTTCTGTCCACTCCTGCATGTGTCAATAGTGGACGTGAGGGACGGCAGAACACGGGGGCCGCTGGGGAAATCAAACATTAGAGCTCGTCCCTGTGCACTGAGTTATTGGTCTGCAGCTCAACTCGGATTTTCCCTTTTCTCAAAACCCTGTTCTTCTGGGTACCGTTTGCTACCGCCGGCTAAAGGCTGTGCACATTTCCTCCAGATCATAGAATGCATGCTGCTTTTACAGAAACAAGCTCAATATACACTTTGTTTTTTCCCTTTCACAAGGCCAGGAGGAGCTATTTAAAATATTGTTTTACTGCAAACTAAGAAAGCAGTATAATAAAAGCAACAAAACAGAATTTGGACACCGGTGTTAAACATGAATGTGTTATAAAAATATATATAAATAATATTATAATAAAAGGTCAATCTTGTGTAACAGTATATGTTGTGTGTTCTCTTCAATCTACACTGAGGCAGGAACGTGCCCCCCCCCCCTCTCCGTCCCAGCTGTGCTGGGAGGACCCTCTTGCATTATTAAAGCAGCAGTGCAGGAATAAGGTCACATAATCTTTATGAAATAATAACAAGAAAAATGGTCCGAGGCCAAAACCGAAAAAAGGAAAGGAAAGAGAGAAGGAGTTACCTGGAGGTGTTTGACTATGTTGACCACCTCCCGGGTGGAGTAGGGGTAGGTGATGGTGCCCCGGTCGGCCATGGACCTCAGGTCCCCGAAGGCGGCCACCAGCTTCTGCAGCGTGGCGTCGGGAACGTCGGGGCCGTACTGCTTCAGCATCGCCAGCTCCGCCTGGGGCTTCGGATTGTCCACCGCGTGGCAGCTAAAGATGTCCCCTGCGCAGAGGACGAGAGCAAGTCTCGGTTGGATCGGCTCATCGGACACCAGCGCGCGTCACAAAATGTTACAGTCCTCTGCTGCGGGACGTGGGTGTCGTGCACGTGTGTGCGTACCGAGGGCTCCAAAGAAGTCATTGCCCAGGAAGGGGAAACCGGGTCGGTTGGCGAGGACGAGCATCCTGAAGTCGGGGTGCATGACTATGGTGTTGGGCCTCCCCTCCGCCTCTCGGGGATCTGTGCAGGAGACACCGACGCGGTCAGCGCGACATGACGAGCAAACCCACAACAACGGACGACTTCTCGTGCTTCCTTTTTCCTGCCTCGGTTTCAGGTTTGGTTCGTGTGACCGAGTCTCTCTTTCACGCTCACCTCTTCACCCCCCCCGATAGCATCGTGAAGCTGTCTCAAGTTTTGTGTTTATGAAGCCCCAAGGTTGTGTTTACATTCCTCCGGGAGGAAGAGCTTCTCGCGAATCGAGAAGCCGTCAGCGACTACCGCGATTACGTGGGACGGCATGGAAAATATCCTCGTTTATAGAGCAGCTCGATCCAGAACCCACTGATGCCTCTCCATAAAGGCTCTCATCCTAAGCCTCCTTTAAATCTGATGTTTTACTCGTGTTTGTCTTCAGGGACATCCAATCCTCAACTCGTCCGTCTTATGGTCACGCTTCTGTTGTATCTGGGACGTGTCTTTCGTCAAGGTGCTGTGTGTGTGTGTGTGTGAGAGAATGTGTGCACCTGAGAGGATTCTGCGTCCGTCGGCCAGGATCATCTCTCCGCTCTCCACCAGGGTTTTGAGGATGCAGGTGACGTTAGTGGGAGCTTTGTCCGCCTCGTCAATCACCAATATGTGACCCAGTTTCACTGCCTTCACCTGTACACACACACACACACACACTTTATAGTGGCAGGCGGCTCCTCTTTGGTAGAAAGCTTATAATAACCATTGGAAAGGAAGAAAGACAACTATGTAAATAAATGACAAGTGCAAACAGGAATTTCCCCTTTAAAGGACAGTTATGAGTGGAATGAGAGGACGGCCCCTTTCTCTCCTCTTGCACCTGTTAAGGTAGGAGCGACAGCCTTTTTCGTTTGGACATTGATATTTTAACCTGGCGTAAAAGAGACGGCCAAATGAACGCGCTGCCGTCAAAAGACCTGACCGGCAGCCGAATGCCATCAGCTCCAGGAACGGTGACTGAAAATGTCTTTTTAATGCATTTAACTGACCAAAGAGCCGTTGGTTAAAGTATGAACCACGCACACAGGAAGAGAATGATCCTGTAAATGTAAACGTGTGACTGAACTGACCAGTGGCGAGTCCTCGTACATGATGATGCCGTCTCGGACGGAGGGCTGCAGGGTCAGAGTCTGGACGGTCGTATCTCTGGGTGAAAAAAAACAAGTTTCAGTCTTTTTTTCGGGGGGGTGGGACAAATCCAGGTGTGACCCCGGAGCTGTCCCGGTTTCTCTTCTTTCTGAGCCACATCTCTGTAGGCCCTTTGGTTACGGGCTCCCAAAAGCCTCGCGCACAGATCCTCCTGCTTCTGCCCTGCTCTAATATTAGCGAACCAGGCCACACGCGAGCTCCACTGCGACTTTCACAAGACCTTGACGAGCTGAGCGCACACGCCGGCCGAGTGGAGGAAGCAGTTGCTTCTACGCGTTTCAACCCAAATTGCATTTAGGAGATGGAGCCGAGGTAACAAAGACTTCTTCGTATGGTCTCCGACTCTCCAATATGGGCATGTGAAGTCCCTGTTGTGGTGAAGGATGGCCTAATTTACCCATGACCAAAATAGTTTGACCCCCTTTGATGGGAAGGCTGGCAGGGGAGTAAGCGAAAACGCTGGCTGCTCACATCTCCCTGAAATAGTTTCTTTGTTCTTCTGAGAAAAACAAGAACTAAAAAGAAACATGTGATTATTTGGGCTTAGATGCGTCATGATTTACTAACCACAGTAGATATATTTGGCCTGTTTTAGAATCTGACCTCCTGTTAGGGAGATTCTAAAGTATTTGAACTTTTAATGCAATAATAATAGGTCATCCCCCATTAAACATCTGATAACACACTTGTGAGCAACTCCGTCCATGAACATGCGAGCTGGATCCACATGGGCGGCCGAAAAGAAATTGAATTATAAAAAACGCTTTTTGTTTTGGAGGAAGCCATTCAGAGAAAGTTTGAAACGGTGACCCTGAACGTAGGAAAGGGGGACCAAATAGAAACTGCCAGGAGAAGCGGAGGATATTATAAAAGACAATAGAAAGACTGAGTCTGTGTGTTCATGTATGGAAAGAAGAACAATCTAGTTGCCCAACGTGACGTCCTCGAGACATCCTTTGGCCATAGAAGCGTTTCCTCCTCCTCACCTGTGGAGCTGCAGGTATTCTCTGGGCCGGTTCAGGAGGTGCAGGAATCGGTCCACTATTTTATTCTTACCGACGCCCTACGGAAGAAATAACACAACAATTCACCCACCAAGCAGCACAATCAAATGAAATCCTCTTCAGCCGATTGATTCAGTGTTGTTTCAGTAACGTCGGCTGTGAAGCGAGTAAAGAGGTGTTCATTCGGTGCGTTTGGGGGGGGCGCGTCCCTGCTTGATGCCCCCCCCCGCGCGCTGGCGTCCACTGAGCCGCTGTGACACCTCCTAAAGTCTCAGCCTCGCTCACTCGGTCGCCCTCACGTGCTCGCGATAAACATCCCCGCACATGCACAATGTGCAGATGGTATAAAACAGGTCCTGCTTCCCCCCCCCCTTTAACACTGCACATCACGGACCCAACTGTGGGCAAAGACTGTCCCCCAAAAGGAAGTGCTGCAAGCTCACTCCGCCCCCCCCCGTCCCCTCCTTCGTCCCTCCAGAGAGTTGCGAGCGTGTGTGTGTGCGTGTGTGTGTGTGCAGGGAGCGTGTTTCATAACTCTTCCCTTGACGGACACGTGAGGCCTTCTTCAGCGAGGCCCTTTGCTGAGATGAATGTAGAGAATATGTGATAGATAGATAATATTAGCAGTGATCCTGATTGGACGAGGCCTCCCGAGGACGAGTCCAAACAGGGCTCTCTTTGCGTTGCACTCAAGAAGCACTGCGATGCGTCACTCACCTGGTTGCCCACCAAGAGGAGGTGCTCTCCTAAAAGAAAGTCTTTCAACATGTCTTCCATCACCATCATGTGCTGCGGAGAGATTTAAACAGATAACAGGGGGAAGAAATGAGTTGCATGGACTTGACTGAACCCAGACGGGCGCATTTCACATTTTATGAAAAGGCTTCGGTTGTCCCTGTTGCAAGATAAATAAAAATTCATCTTAAAACCACTTGAGCCTGTGTGGAAAATTGGGAAGTTAGCTTTCCCTCCCCTCCGTTCCTATGATTTTACACCCGTGCTTCCGCTCTGGAGACAGAAACGGGTCATTTAAAGAAGTAGGGCAACGGCGTTGCTCTCTTCTTATCTCAGCCACTTTTATTTCAGTCTGCGACACGAGCACGCAGAGAATTAAAAAGAGAAGAATCAGGCCAGAGAGTGAGAAAGAGATAATCAGGGTCACATTGAGCCACCGGAGGATGGGAGAATGGCCCTTTTTTGGACCTTTCTTTCTTATTCTTAAGTGTCATTTTGAAATGTTTTTATTCAATGGTGCACCGTATAAAATATCACGGTCAACATTAAGTTTAGTTTAGAAACCACAGCAAAGTTTAAATCTCCAACAAATCTGTAATGGGTGTGTTATTCTATTCCATGTGCATGGCAACATTTGAAGAAAATAAATGAATCCTCCTGTAATAAGGGCACTGTCAGGATGCCATACTTAAAAACACCATCCGAGTAGGATCAAACAAATCAGATCAAAGCAAAGCAAAGACAGTTATTAAAAAAATCAGGAGGCATCAGAGGCGAAAACAAGCAATTATTTGGATGTGCATTGAGCTGCCTCGTGTAGCGCCACCAACAATCCACAATAAAAGCAGGGAGGGGGGCAAAGAAAAAGGTAAAAACACTGGTTATTAAAACCTGTTTTCCTGCTGCACACACAGAGAAATACAGAGGAGATTAAAAGTCAGATGGCCTTCTTTTCCAAAGTAGAAAACAAAAAAAAACACATCTGTGAGACTCCAGTGTATCTGAGAAGAGCCAAGAGGCATCAACAAAGGGCACGGCCCTGGATCCGATCTACTAATGCCAGAAGTCAAACCCCTCATAATGAAATAGTGTCACACACTGCAACAAGGACAGTGAGTTATATTAAAAACAACAAGAATGAGCAAAGAGAAGATCCGAGGTGGTGTGTGACCTCACCGCGCCGCGGCTGCACTGTGCGAGGGATACGGTGTGGTAAAGAATACACACAGCGATCCCTCTCGCTTTGAGGGAAATACAAGAAAAACACAGGGGATTATTCTTTATTGTTTCTGATCCGGCTCCTTTGCCCTTGTGTCCCTTAAAATCTGGGTCAGGTCCTGGAAATAAACGTCTTCGCCCCAATCGCACACTTTTGCTCACGTGAAACAGACTGCGTTGTGTTTTTTTACCTGGGGATTATCGTAGAACAGCACATCTGGAACCTTCATTTTCTCAGTGGCGCTGTGGACGGGAGCAGACACGTTGCCAATAGTCAACACGCCGTCCTTTATCGAACCTGGGGACACACAGGAGATGCACCCACGCCGACAACCGACACTTTAGCTCATTCGCTAATTTCTCTTAAACTCTACTCAATGTAGCAGAAACACTGAGTGGCTAAAGACGTATTTGGTAACAGGGACTTACAGCTCAGGTCACGAAGGTGCTCAGATGGATCCGCCGTGTCCTGCATGGAGCAGTCGGCGAGGCTTTTATCGAGAGAGGAGCGAGCCAGGCTGGGCAGGAACCTGAGACACACACACACACACACTCTCCATCACCGGTGCTCACAATCACACAGCGTCTTTCTGAAAAAGTGCACCACAACCCGCTAAAAAACACAGGGACTGTGAATGTGTACCTTGAGAGACAAGCCTTATTGACAGCGTGAGCGATGCTCTCCTCGGGGTACCGAGAGAGACGGCGACAGATCCTCAGCAGCTGTCTGGTGGAGAGAGAAGAGGCCAGAGACTGTGCCTGGAGGCAAACACACACACACACACACATCATGCATAAATACATTACTCACACACGTGTAAACAAAGCAGTGAGTGCATGCAAACACACACGCCCTCACCGTGGGGTCGTTCGTCTTGCGCAGACTGTGTGTGAGGTGCAGGAGCTGCTCCGCCGCTTCCTTTGGAACATCGCGGGCCTGAAGAGAGCGGGAACGAGATGAGAGGGACCGATGAAGAGGAGGGTGTTTACGCGAGCAGACAAGTGCATTTTGAGTAATCAACTACTGAAAGCAAACATCCCAGCCTGAAGTCGACCGTACTGGAGATTCCTTTGGCCCATGTTCAACCCCCTCGAGAACCTCAGACCGGCTCGCACGTCGGGTGCACCAAACCACGCGACTTTGCAGCGAATCGCCAAACAAGGTCAGCACCTCCTCTTTGTGTGCGAGGCCGACACGTTGTTTAACATTACACATTACAGTGTCGCTGCCAAGTCTCAATTTATTTGGAAAAATAAACTCCGGTTGCCTGAGCTCCACAAAAGGCCAATAAAGAAAACGTCCCATCCCAGCATCAAGTCCTGGATGAAGACAACGGCCGCTTCTTCCCCCCGTCGTTAAACTGTCTTCATCGGTTGGACGAAGTTTGTGCACACGGGTCCCTCCTGCGGATCGGAGGCCGTGTGCTCGGGCTTCCTTCGCTTCCAATAGACGGGATGTGATTAGCGGGCGTGTCTCACCAGTCCCTGTATGAGGTCCATCTCCTCGGCGACGGCCATCGGGCTGACCGTGTGGTAGAGGAACATGGTGAGCAGCTCCGGGCCCAGCCACTGCTGCTGACCTCTGCTGCCGGCGCCGGCGCCCACCACGGGGGGCTCGGCCAGAGCCAGCACCCTGAAGGACGGGTGGATGGGGAACACCGACCTGCGAATACACACAGAATGGCTGCTGCACGACGTCTTGTCAGACTGTGCTTTCTTCTTTTTCGCTGAATTAAACAGTTGGTTGATTCGTAAGCCTCAGAGTTGAATTTGTGCTGCATCTGGCATTTATTTTCAAATGCTCAAAAGTAAGACTTAAATCGTCTGTCGATCTAATCGATTTATTGCTATCTAATTTATCCCTGTTGGTACGTGCTGAGCTCAACCGCTTTGATAATATTAATTATTTACCAATACAACAAAAAAAAAAAGACAGTTGACTGAGGCTTTTTTTGTTGTATTTAAAAAAAAAAGGCAATTATTCTGCATATTTCCTCTTATATTGTCAGGCGGCTCATTGGATAAATGTGGTGCAACAAGCTAAGATGTTCGTTTTAATGCGTATAAAATGCTTGCTTAATCTGCTCAAACTACACAGAATAGTATTGTGTTAGCGACTGAAGACACTCCAAGGGATTTTCGGAAATTTGTAGTTGAAATAAATTTATATTTCTGACATTTTTAGCTTGTAGCTAAAAGCTATATGAAACACTATCTTCGACTTCTTTAACCACATTGTTCCAAGCATTACAACTACCCCTCTTATTCATCAGTGATACCTGCTGGTTCGTGATGATTTGTATCTCTCTCACTTCGTCTGATATTTGCTACTCCAGAAAACTTAAATGCTGCAGTTGATAAAAACTCAAACTTGTATTGTGGTGCACAATCAAATCCTTCTTGACAAATAAACACACACACACACACACACACACACACACACACACACGCACGCACACGCACGCACACACACATTCACACACTTTCTCGAAGCCACATGAGTGGAGGAAGAGGAAGTGGGTTTATTTCAGCACAGACGCCCCACCACATACATCCTTCCTGCCAGTTTAGGTGGGTTTTTAAGAGTGCGGGGAGGCGCACACACGCACACTTCCCAACACACGCCTCTGTGTGTGTGTGTGTGTGTGTGTGTGTGTGTGTACCTCTCCTTCAGTTGCTCGTCACTGAACTGCAGTTGTTCCTTTAGAGTCTGGTATCTGTCCCACCTCAGCAGCCTGGTCCCATCGTACAGATCCAACTCCCTGTCGTGGAGCAACCTGGGACGCAGAGCACAGTGGAATAAGTTAAAAAGTGTGCGATATTTGTGTGTTTCAATGTATTTGTTATTTACAGTACAAAATGCATTCGCATTAAAAAGAGATTCACGCAGATCAGCAGTGGGGAACGCAACGGAAACACACAGGATAGTAGCAGCATTCTTAAAATGAATCCACTGAGTAAATAGAGCAAACCAAAGAGTACCTGGACAGAACCGCCAGGGTTCCCAGGTTGACCCGGTGGATTCCGTCCAGCAGCAGCAGCTTGCCCTCGATGGCAGCGGTGACCAGGGGCGACGGCCTCCACGCCGTGTCTCCGTTGGGGAGGGTGAACCGCTGCTGGAGAAGGTCCCTGGCCGTCATGTCCTGGAAGTGGGAGAGGAGGAAGGAAGCGGCAACGAGGAAATGCAAAGTTAAGGGAGGTGACGGGATTGAGAGCGACGTTGGAAGCTGCTCAGTTTGCTGCTCGTTCGACGTCCCGCGGTGATGATGGTTTTCCTCCCTGCGTCATCTGCTAGAACGAATATCGAGAGATGTGCGAGCGGCGGAGGCTGTCGTAATCGTCGTCGCGCTGCCGCGTCATGGCGGGCACTGAGGGTGGAGGAGGGAAGACAGGCGGACCTCCACCATTTGTTCCAGGCGGTGACTCTCCACAACACGAAAACCAAGAATCCAGAAGACAAAATGTAATCTGGCTGCAAGGATTCACAAATGTGAGCGTCGGGGGAGTACGAGGGTGGGAACTTATTCCCACTGTCTGTATAATGCTGTAATAGTAATATGATGCACATGTGTAACTCTTAACAAGGATTGACTGCTACACTGAAACCCTTTAGCTACTAGAATTGTTCGTCTTTTCTCTATTGAGGGACTAACAGGCGCAGTTTCCTGCTGAAGCCTCACGTGACCACTTGTTTTCACAAAAGTCAGAGCTGACGAGATGAACCGAGCGGCGCAGGATTCCACAATTCCCGCAGCACAAGTGACCCCTGACCTCAGCCGGCTAAAAATAGCCGCAGCACGATGCAGTAAAAAGTCTCCAGCGCACACACGCGTTTCCTGCACAATCATCAAACGGATGGATTCCTCGCAATTAAAAATCACAAGAAACACACAGCTACGTTTTCTGAGAGCTTTGACATGGACAGACCTATATATAGAGTATGTATTTATACATATATATATACACATACATACATACATATACTATATTGTAGTAGTCGGTTTGTGCGCTGGCCAGAGGTAATGACACCCACATGTTTCTGGGTTTATTTTTGGTGAAACCGTTGTTTTTATCCCAGAGATATATAGAGTTCCTTCTCTGGCTTTATTTTACTCAAGTTACAACTTACACGCTACAAACAAGTGTAACTCACCTTCAACGTCCATTATTATGCAGACGGGCAGCAATGAAACAACTGATTGTGAAGCCAGCCGGGGAAAGAATCTTTTGCATTCATTATGCTGCATGTGCTTTTGGTTAAGTGTGACTCCTGAGGAGAAAACCCTGTTTGGAGCTCATGGACCTCCTCATGGACCCGAGTTAAGATCGACCTCTTTCATTAAATTAACCCTTCCTCACTGTAGGCAATTTGCTCCCTCCGCCCCTTCGAGCTGTGACTAACACGCGCCCCCTCAGAGAATAACCTCGCCCCCCCCACCCGAGTGCAGGAAGCTCCAGACTTGTTTCCATTTACCTGGTAGAGCATGAGCGGCTCGATGCTGTAACCCAGCATCTCAGCGAACTCTCTGGCTATCACCGACTTGCCACAACCCTAGAAAGTACAGAAAGGCCAGAGGTCACAAAGTGTTTTTTACAGTGAGATTGGCATTTGCATTTTTTCCCACACTGACTTTAAGTGCAATCTGAATATTAAAAAATATAAATAAAGTGCCAGATGTTTTCTTTAGGTAAACGAGTAAATAAAACGGTTCAAACAGGCAGTGAATCAACTGGATACGGCGTAGCTACCTTGGCGCCTATCAGACAAATGTCCTTCACCATGTGCGACTGCATCATCTCAGCCATCAGCTGCGAGTGGCTCGGCGTGCTGATGAAAGCGAGGCTGCTGTTTGGTGGACGCGTCTCTTTGACGCCCGCTGGAACCTGAAGTTTGGGGAAGACGACAGGTTGCCGTGAACAGCCTCGATATCCTGTAAAGGCTGTGATACTAATATATCACTTGGAATAATAACTCCGAGACTCATCGGTTGGAAAGGACTGAACCACGTGTTGTTAAACAATCCATGGGACACGCAGCGCTGCACGTGAGAGGAGAAACAACCTTAAACGGTGAACAGGAGTTGGAGATTGCATTTGGCTGTTGGATCAAATCTCTGCTCTGACACAAGGACTCATTCACTAACTTGGCTGATGAAGACCATCCTTCGAGACCCTCGGCCGGAATAAGACGGCCTGCGTGCGTGTGGCCTAACACGGGACAATGCACGTCCCTGTGAAATGTGTGACTCAATCACATGTCAGGATGCGATGAAGGCCAAGTAGCCCCACTCACAGGGACAATCGGATTATTTAAACTAAACAAAACTGAACTAACGTTCAAAAGCAGATAATGTAATAGAGACCAACTTCCTTGTCTAACTGTTTAAATGCTTTTAAAATATCAAAAAGGTACCCGGTGGAACGTTTTCGTTGCTTTCGTAGCACTGTGGAGCATTTCATTTTTTTTAATGTATGGGAGTCATTACACACTTCCCAGGAATCGTGGCTCAGTTACTCAAGATGATCCTTAAGGCCTTGTGAGAAAACGAAATAGTGCAAAGCGTCACACTGATAGCTCCAAAAACTAAGCAGCCTACACCGGAATTTTCTAAATAGATGCGTAAATAGTGCACTTTATGCTTAATATTTTTCTTTTTAACTTTTTTAATATTTAAATTTTTTTAACTTTATTCCATTGTTTTACACTAACCCATAGCCTTATTCTACTAACCCATTGCATTAGCATTTCATTTTACTTTATTTTATTACTTGTGCACTGTTGTCTTGTCTGTCTACTGTCGCGCACTAACCGCCGAGACAAATTCCTTGTATGTTTGGCATATTTTGGTAAATAAATGTTTTCTGATTCCTGATTCCATAATAAAAGGGCAAGAATATGTATTTTAAGCAGAATTCACTATGAGAAGAAAGCTCCACATTTCAGTTCAATCCAGCAGGTGTGCGACACAGATTGAGGCTTTGGTTTCACACTTCATTAATAAAGGTTCTATAATCTAGTCACACACTGGTACCTGAAAGGTGACGTCCTTGTCGGCGACGCGCAACGAGACATCTGCGCGGCCCTCACGGTCCGTCGCCCTGGAGACGCTCGTAACGGCGCTGGCAGCTGGCTGACGGCGACCGTCCAGAAGCTCAAATCTCTACGAGAGAGCAGCACAGAACGCACGGAGGCCACAGTGAGCGCCTCCGAGTGACGGGTCGCACGTGTGATGAACGGAGACAACACATCTGGACTTACGCTGAGCACGCCCTCCACAGCGGCGCGTCCATCCTTTCCCAGGATGCTGTTGTAGGGGTAAAGTCTCTGGACCAGCTGCTGGGAGGACAGCATGGGGAAAGCGTTCTGCAACAACACATAAAACAACAGAGGTCTTTTCTCCCGCTCTAAAAAGGGGCCGTCAGGAGGATTCGATGGGCTTTTGTTCTCACCAACACATGGAGCGCAGGGAGCAGGTTGTCCACAGGGAAGTCGGGAAGGCCGAGGTCGGACGATTCCTGCGAGCACAGCGTGGTGGCTAGAGACAGCAGCTGGGACACCCTGACACAAAGTACACCCCAGGACTTGAGACTTTTAACGGCTCATGATAACGAGTCAAACACTATTGGCAAATTGATTACCTCTCTGCAGCGATGTTTGGTCCAGCTGTGTACAACAGCTCCAACTGGTCCTGAAAAGAAAACCGCATACAGAGACGAGTTCAGCTGCAGGCCGACGATATAAAATCCACACAAGCAGCAAATGATATAATAGAAAAACACAGCGGTAGTTTTTACTGCACGAGCTGCCTGAGAAGATTTACAGGGAATGTTTTTTTCTCAGAATGTCGTTTCAGCAAAGTTTTTCCACAGCGTGTTTGATTTATTATTATTCAAGGCGATGAAAATGAGATGCTGGGAAGAACGAGTTGCTTTTATCTTATCCCTAAAGCACTTTGATCATCTTTTAACTCTTAGACTGACCTTAAATGGAAGGTAATAGACATCTCTGGCCTGGAAGCGAGAGCGGAGAGGAGGATCCAAGGGGTTACCCTTGTACTTGGGGACGGGGAGGCCGAGAGCGATGACCCGAAAGTCCTCGCTCACCCGGACGATCTTCCAGCTGTCCAGCTCATCTGTGGTGTGATCCTAAAATCGATTTACACATTTCACCTCCGATGCCGTGTTTATGCACATCCTCATGTATAAAGTACATACACAGTATTCATGGCAACGGCATTTTAACACAAGGGAAGCTCTGTAGGAGTGGTGTGAAAATCCACTGCTCAAGTGTGAAGATTCGGATATTTAAGGCTCAACCGACTGCGGCCTCCCAAGAACAGAGGAGTCTTGAAAAAGGAGCACCGTAATCTATCCATTTCAAAAGCAGAAGGACTTTTAGGCCCGGCGCGCGGCTCCGACCTGCAGCAGCTTGTCGTAGCGCTCGGCCGACATGAGGAAGCGTCCGTCCTCCAGCTGCATCTCCCGGTTCTCCAGCAGGTTGTTGAGCACCGGCAGGACATTTCTCTCCGCCTTCTCCAGGCCCTCCAGGACCAGGACCCGGCCTTTGGTCGCCGCCCTCACGGCACACTGGGGACACGAGCACGAGGAGCCCAATCAATACCCCAGAAAGAATCAGAGATGTGGCGGGAAGACTAAACAATCAGAAGGAGAAATCTGCTGCTCCATTGTCCAGCGCGACCTCTGGCCCTGCGTGCAGAAAGAGCGATGTGACTGAGACTTCAGTTCTTACCGCTCTCACGATAAAAAGAGCTCGCCATTAAAGCCTTCCTGAGGATGTCCTCAGCTTATTGTGTTCAGAACATCCTCCAAACCAAACTCGCAGCGTCTTTCGGAATGTTCTACTCGGTTTCACCAGCGCGTGTGTGCGTTTTGTGTAGACGCACATTTCTGCAGAAATCAAAAAGCCCGTCTGACGTCAAGAGGCAGGAAACTAGCTGTCTGGTTGCACCGCAGAGCAAGTGGCCATATAATTAGGTGAGGATGCAAATACGTGGCAGGTTGTGGGGGAAGCACAGCCAGAAAACTATAGTGAGGACCAGATGCTCTATATTTAACTCTTGATCCATTTTCAGCACCAGCGCTATAATCAGATAATTGTTAAAAATGTAAGTGACGCAGGGTGGTGAGCGAGACGGAGGGGGAGGTTCGGGGAGGGCACAGACGGGCCTTGTTCTCTGACAGACACGGAGTGTGTAAAAACCTCCCCAGAAAATGTTGGGAGATGAGATTTTAGATAGATAGTATAAATAGAGTAGTGAAGGGATTAGGAGCATGCGTGTGCAGAGTGAAAGGTCCACAGTGATATATGAAGCTTTGCACATTTGAGTGTCATTTATAGTGTTCTGTGCAAATAAGACCTAGACTGAATGAGTTCAGGTGAGCTTTTAAAACAAAAATCCAACCCAGCTGGCATTAAAACAGAATATATAGATTAGATAGATTCTATTGTATTTTCCAAAGTGAGGGGTCTAGTTGAATGGGAAGTAAACATCCCAAATGAAATGTGATGCTGCGGTCACACACACACACACACACACACACACACACACACACACACACACACACAGTAATTAACTATTTCTGGCACACGCACGGACGTGCTTTTCATCACAGATTTAAGCTTTACATTTGTTACCTGCAGCCGTTTGTTAAACGCTACGCTGATGATATGTTAAGGTCTTTATCCAGATTCACTTCAGGTCACATGATCAACCATGTGTACGGCCAAAATACCTGGTTGCCGGTGCAAATTTCGTTTCTGCCGTTGCTTTAATAAACCAGACACTTCTTCACCGGGCCCAACGCGCTCCAGTTCTGTTCATGGAGGTTTGTCCATGACGTCCTCAAACAGTGTCCACGGAGCCGTTGTGAAGTGGGGGGCTGGTTTTAAAGAAGACTGTCGCTACACGTGACCGTCATGGTACCCAGAAAGTGTAACCAATTAGTTTATTCCTTTTGAGGATAACTCAGCGGAGGCTTACTATTGGGGGTCGGGGGGGGGCACCACGGTTGAGAAGCTTAACAAGGTCTTGGTTGAAGTGTGGTGTGATTGAGTCAAACGGCCCCACATACCACTCGAAAATACAACATGCATAAAAGAAAGAATAAGAACTAAAGAGACGAGAGTGAAGTGGGCGAATGGGGGGGCGAGGAGCACAGTAGGCACAGGGGCGGTTTGAATGTAGGGCTCCAAATGAGCACAGAGCCCTGAGGAATACCGCCACGTCCTAGTTAACACACAAACACCTCCCACGACACCCAAACCGTTCTCCGAGAGGGCCGCTCGCTGAGTCGCACCCACGCGCGCCTTCGATCCATCGCGTGAAATGAGGCTGAAGCGCCGTAATGTGCACGTTTACTCGGTAATCCCACAGGCGCTTACCAACACACACAAAAATCCAGTGGTGAGAAAAGACGCACCTCCTTAGACGGCACGGGATTCCATCTGATTTGAGGAGGACCAGAAATAAGCAAAACCTATCAGAGGCGCCAATAATGCTGCATCTGTTCATGAGCCGTTTCCATGGAAACAATGGACACCTGCTTTCATTTCGAGGGGGTGGGAGGTAGATGATCCTCAGGGAGTCAGCTGGTTGTCCCCTTGCCACAGGAAACAGGATTAAGTATTGATATGTCACCGTATGAAATCCTTCAGAGCATTTAGAACCGCGGGCACACGGACACGGATATCTGGTGTCGGGCCGATGCTGGATCGAGTGTCGGTGCCGGTTTTAATTAAATTTGCAGTATTTTAACACCACGATACCAACTACCCAATATTTAATCAAGGTGTGAGCAGTGTGTCTTATTATATGACACCACATCCCAGGTCTTTGCCTGTCCTACCAGCCCCATTTATGAGCTTCAATGTGATGTCTTTTCACAAACCGTGTGTCCATTTCCAGAAGAATAAAGCACACTGCTGAGTTATTAAACAACATTTATATAAATAAATATGGTAGTTTCATTAAAAGAACCTCACCGGTTTCATAGTATATACATATATCAAATATATATTATATATACTAATTATAATATATATATATATATATATTATATATACATATATGACATTGTGCTGCTCCCGAAGGCTTATGAGTAAAGTCTTAAGGAAAACTGTGCGTAGGATACATTTGGAAAAAAAGTCCTGTTTCCATGGCGCTTGTGTTTGAACTGTTCTGCATCTCAATTATTTTTACACGCATAAAGCCGTGTGCTAATTAGCACTACAGATGTTAATGATCTCATTTCAACATCCTTTGTCACTGCTGCCTCCTGGAAGGTTTAACGTCCAGGCTCATTTGTATTTTGTTTTTTGTTGACCATAATTGTTTGTTCCTTACCAGTGAGAAATTAATGGGGATGAATGGAGAAAAGCAAGTTCTCCTTAGAGAAACCAGTCGGAGTAACGAGGCACTGCTGGTTTCCATGGTTATTTGACTTACAAAGCGTAGGGGAGCACGTTTGCATAAACCTTGATCAATGAAAAGAGGGCATGGAAAAGAACAAAGCAGTTTGTGCATCACTGTAACAGATTAATGGAAACTTTTAGTATTGGTCATGTTACCTTTAGCAGTGTCACACACAGCCAGAACCTTAGAAGGGTTCTGAATTAAAAATGCATGTTATTTTATTTTATTTAAACAAAAATTGAAAAAAAAAGGTTCTAATGGTCTTTGTAAAGCCGATGTCATGTCTAAATTAGAAAAATGTCTTATTTAAACCCTCTCCGTTTGTTGTATGGAGCAGGAAATGATGTTTGTACAAGTATATTCCGATATTTGCAAGAAGCGGTGCCGGAGACGTCACAAGTCTACCACAGGGGCAACACATACAAACAGACATTCACACTGAAAAAACATGTAGGTTTATCATAGTTTATCACATTTAATGTTGTTGTGCCAACGAAATACATATTTCTAGTGTGGCAAATAACTGGAAAAGCAGATTTTACATCAACTTTACATTGAAACCCTGAATGAATTTAAAGGAATACTAAACGCTCAGAGTGGAGCTACCTGGTCTATGTAGAAGGCAGTCCCCGAGCGGATCTCTCGCCTCTGTTTCAGGTCGGTTTCCGTGGTGTCTCTGGACAGAGCGACATACTCTACTTCCCGTTTGGTCAACTCCTGGTCCGCAGAGAAGAGAAAGAGCTTTTCAGGCCAAAAATATATCATCTACATCTCCAGAAGGAACTGCAAATTATCTACAATAATGGAAATATAAAATATACAGATCAATAACATTGAAATAAACATTGAAATCATTTTACATCAAGTCCATTTCTGGTGTAATTAGTTGTCACGTATCTTGCCTGCATCCTGTATTTACTCACAAGGTACTGCATTGCTATGGATCGTCTCAGCGGTCCGGGGGGACCGATGAGAAATACATCCTGCCCCAGGAGGTCTTTCTGCATGATCCATCGTAGGTGCTGAACCACCGTCTGGGGTAAGGAGTCTGAAACTAGCAACGCCAAACAAACGCAAAGCTGGAGTCACTTTAATCTTTTACCCGTCGTTCTTCTTTTTTAATGCAAATGTATTTAGATCCCTTTTAAGAGAGGATATTACATACTGTGTTTGACTGGAACGAGCTCAGGATTCCGGGGTGTTTTGAGTTTGTAGGCGATCTCCCCGATCGTCACGGTGTCGCCTGCAAACATCAGGGTAAACAACACAAGAGACGGTCTTTCGCAGACAACGCTAGTTTTCTATATGAGCGGTTTGCATTGAGATACACAGAGCTAACTTCAACTCCGCTGTAGGACAAGCACTGGTGTAAACAATAAAATGCTTGATGGCTTCACTCTATTTAGCGGCTTTCTCTTTCAAGAACCAGGCCCTTTTCACAGCAGACAAACTCTCTCATTGTAGGGAAGGCACAGGTGTTACTAGCAGCAGTAACTGAGGCTCCGCTCTGTTCTATGCACGGTGGCTCATTGTCACACATCGGTAACGACATGAAGAAGGGCTTACAGTCCAAAACCGGACATTGAACAAAAGTACACGCAATGTGTGGACTGATTTGAGTCCGGTTTTCCGGTATTCAGCGAAGGACCCAAACGAGAGGCCGTGCCCACCTTTACTTATTTGGCCAACTTGTTCAAGACTTGATTTTTTGTCTTTGCGTGAACTTTACTTGACCTCTACGGAAGCCCAGTAGGCTTGACTGATTTGGTGAGTTCATTCAAACCATGGTGTCCGTGGATAATGAATCGACGGGGGCCGCCTACCCGGCTGTCACCTTTGACCCACTAGCTAGCTATGCTAGCCGCACACTTGTCATTTCATCCCGCCACAAGCTGGGCTGAACACCAGCAATGCGCCAGCGAACACACACACACACACTCAAAGCGCAGAGACGTAACGATTCGGAGCTAATTGTGTATCACTTAGCAGCCACTCACGTCAGAGACGACATGAACTCGTGTGTGACTCGGAATAGCTAACGGTAGCTATTAAAGTTAGCCATTGACGTTAGCTATTAACGTCAGCTCCCTCAGACTGAAAACGGCGTCCACTCTTTTTCTTTCGCCCGCGGCGCCTTTAGCGACACAACGTGTCACGGACGTCACGGCTCACCTGAAGCGGTGTTGAGAAGTTTGACCTCATGAGTTCTCCACTTCCAGCCGTCTCTTCCCAGAACAGACCCCAAAATGTTCCGCACTCTGCGGGCAGCGACGGCCGCCGACGTGCCGCCACACAACACCTGGGTGTGCATCGTTAAAGTGTCGCCATCTAAAACCTACGGTCAATAATAAAACCCTCGCGCCACGTCCTGACCGGCCCTTTGCCCATTGCATGACGTTATGTCAGCGCATCTCGTAGGAGTCGGAAGATAATAGTAGCGGGACAAATAGGTCCGCGGCTAAAGTCTTCCGTAGTGGTTTAATTTCGGTTGACTTCGGATGGTTCCGCCCAAGTATTTACAATATTAATAACAACGTAATGCGACTCTAACGGGTGTTAGGTTGCGTCCCCATCGTTAATAAAATAGAACATTTGGAAGAATACGATTTTGATGACAGTTTTGTGGGTGTAGATTGTGATTGAATGTGTTCACACAATCTCATAAGCATAACATAATAAGAATATCATTGTATAATTACATCCGATTATATTTGTTTATATTTGACAGAAATCTTTCTCTCAATTCATCCGGAATGATTTAGTCCAAGTAGGAACGATAGTAACATGTAAAAGTAAATAAATACGTATATTAATTTCTATCCCTTCTAACTCAGAGCATATCATAAAATGAAGCCATAGACTATGTGTCTCGTATAGGATAGAATATGTTCAAAAATCCAATCCAATCAAATATTCCTTATTGCTTCTCAAGCTCCACCCCTGCTAATGTATTATTAATATTATTATTGGCTTATCATTTTGATTTATGTACAGCACATTTGAGAACAAAAACAATGGTCAAAAAAACAGCCCATTTATTGTGTGACTTCCAGTAAAGTGCTCAGTGAATAGAGTAAATCACATCTCCATTTCAATCAAACTACAGGATCTAAGATCCCGTTAAATGGATTAGCACAAGCAATACCTATCAATCGATGACGTAATTCAATCGACACTTACAAATACACTCGCTCACGTGCACGTGCCACGCGCTCATCTAGTAACGCGCGCGCACGCACGCACGCACGAAACAAAGTGGAGTTTTGTTTCGTGCGTGCGTGCGCGCGCGTTACATCCCCGCCCGCGCCGTGACAAAAGCGTGCGCGTTTTAAGCGCCGCTGACATCCGTCACGTGGAGCGCGCCGGTAGAAAGGCTCGCGCCCCCCCCCCGGGAGAGACGCGCAGCACAGCGGCGGAGGGACCGGAGCGCAGCGGACGGGGAGGAGAATTCAAATCCCGGCTCTTGTGCGCGCGTGTGAGCTGTGTTCCGGCGGCGAGGCAGGTCGAGAGTCGCCTCCACCGTCCACCCGAACCCCCCGCTCGGCGTGTTTCCCCCCCTCCCCGGGTCGGAGAGAAAGCGGTCTGGGACCATGGAGGACGTCTACCATTACACCCGCAGCCCGGCCTGGGAGGAACTGGTTAGTAGCGCTCAACAATGGATACTTTTCTTTTCCCTCTCCCCCATTTTACTACGAGTCCGCGAAGCTTCGGCCACAGAAAAGGGAGACGCCTCATTACGGTCTAATAGCGAGTTTCCGCGCGTATTTTGCACACTTTGGAGGTGTTTCGTCCTCCGTAATGTGGCGCGTTTCCCTCCCCGCTGCTGCTGTGATTTGCGGGGACCGAAACCGCTTTCATTGCATGGCGTCTTCATGTTGTTATTCATGTCAAATAATAAAGTCAAATGCACTAACAACGCGATTCCGCGGACTTTTTGGACATTTCGTGTTAACGTTTATTATAAGACGAGTACAAAGGGGCGGACTTTCCTTAATTTGATGGGATATAATTTGATGAAAATACCGTAAATGACGCTGTGCATTTGCTTGGTGTACAAACCCATCGTCGTCTTGCCCAATGCATGTTTAATTTATTTGTAACATTAATTGTCGCTCAGTTATCGCTCAGAATTATATATGTGTGTGTGTGTATATATACGATAGATGTCACAAATAAGAGAATAGGTAAATAAATAGGAATTAGGGCGTTTATTATAATTAATAAAGTGTGCACCGTTTTGTTGTGATAGTTGTGTTTTGTGGTTGATGAAAACATTACTAATAACAAAGTTTATTTGAGAAATAAAATAAGATGAGTTAGTAACTCGTTTGGTGTATTACTGCGTTACTAATTATAAGCTCGGGTGCGGTGTTGGTGTGAAGCAGCCGCTGGGATCTGCCGTCCGGTCCCCGCGGTGTGCGAGGCGGTCTTCAGCCTCGGTCCGTGCCGGCTGGACGCGCAACTGTCCGCCGGAGGGACTGGAGGGAGTGTGTGTGTGTGTGTGTGTGTGAGTGTGTGGAGCCCATCCCCACTGTGCCGCGACATGCTACGTCCCCTATGCATCCGCACAGCCCACAAACACACACACACACACGCACTGCAGAAACCCCCCCACAGCCGCCTCCGTGGTCAGCGAGAGATGACGGCGAAGAAAGACGCTTCGCAGCCGCCGAGCGGCTCTCGCCTCCCGGGGAGGAAGGGAGCGGCGCAGCGGGCCCAGGCTTACCCCGATCGCTTCTGTGTCTCCCCTCGGCAGGAACCGGAGAAAGGGCCGGCGTCCGCGGCGGGGATCCACGCCCATGCGGTGGGGCCCGTCGCCGGCCCCGGTGCCGCGGACGAGTCGTCCGACAGCGACGCGGAGCAGGAAGGCGCCCAGAAACTCATCCGGAAAGTGTCCACCTCGGGACAGATCAGGAGCAAGGTGAGAGACCGCCTGTCTCCGTGTCTGTCTCGGACTCACTGGAAATGGCTGTTTGAGGGACCTACCTGCAGGGCTTTGGCAGTGTTGTGTGTGTGTTACGGGGGGGGGGGGGGGTTGCCTCTCAGTATCGGTGGTCTTTGAGCCTACTGGTCTGTCCTGCGGGTTTACGCAGCAAAGAGGGAAAAAAAGCCCACAACTTAAATCGTTTTTAGATGTCGTTTTGGGGGAAAAGTGTAACGCAAGAAACCTGTTGCACCGTAATCTCTTAAAGTTTAAGTCTGGACCTACAAAGTAGAACTTATTTGATGTTTCTTTAAATAAGAACACATATTTCTTCCTTTCTTTGTGTAAAAAGTGTTTTTAAATCAGCTCGGATGATGAGTAGTTCCTGCGTTCGACCCGCACAACTTCTGTCTTGGCCCACTTATCCATTACACTTTAAATGTGTGCCGACCTCCTCACACCAATAGATCCACTTAATTATTGACTGCCCCGCGCTATACCCCGTCTGCATTATTCAGCATGGAGGTATATTTAGATACTGCTCGGGTCTGGAATGTCCGGCTCATACCCTTTCGTTTGAAAAATCCCCCCACCCTTTGGTGGTGTTTCCTAATGACCTATCCCGCATGGCTGATCATTCTTCTTCTTCTTATAACGCGTTTATTGGCAGTTTTGTCAACAACTTGAAAAATGAATTAATAAATTAGAAATATCCACACAAAGCCTAAATTGAAACCAGCAAACTTGATATATGATTAATAATAGATATACTAAATCTGCGATAGTTGTATATCCGTCCTTTGACAGTCACAGCATTATTATGTTCTACTCAGTCAAGCCCACCCTGACGACGGCTGATATAATACAGAAGTGTAAACACAGATCAGCTGATGTTTGTTTGCATGAGAGTCAGGTTGGATGCGTGCACCTGGGGGGGGGACGCTGACCGAGACTTTAACCTGACGCACCATAAGCAACCGGATTCATGTCGCACATGCAACAGGCAATGCTGCTGAACACCTCCACTGGGGCTGTTTCAGTGTCTTTAAAAGCTATCGGAGTTGACGCTTGGGTCAGCGGGTTTTTTGTCAGTGTGTGTGTGTGTGTGTGTGTGCGGTGAGCTACTAATGGATCATGCAGGCACTGACTCACTGAGTGTTGTTCCACTGGGTTGTTTGCTCAGTGTGTGTGTGTGTGCGCGTGTGTGTTTGGACACGCATGTACACGCTTGGCCATCACACTGTCCGTGTTCATCCCTCTCCGTCCGCCATCTCTCTGCTCCTCTGGTTGCCGCAGACAACCACATCTTCCGCCCCCCGATTGGGCGCCGCCACCCTCTCCGCCGCCAGGCAGCTGGTTCAGGTGAACCACAGTCGGTGTTTTGGCGACTGTGTTATCAGCTCGGGCCTCGCTGCGCTTCCATTTAGTGTTTGTGAGTTCTGGGTAAAGATGTCAGTAAAAACAAGCAGACCAGGAGTGGGAAGCAACAACCTGCCAGTTTGCAGGAATGTCCGAGTTATCGGCTGATTTATTGCAGATCAAATATTGCTAATGGGGGCTGGTCGTTCACTTGCAGTTTGTCAGAAATAGGTATGTCATTTTATCACTATCAATATTAACATTATTAATAATATTGTTGAAAAGTTGTATTTTGTGAAAATGTGGCAGAAACAAACTGTAACACAGTACAACTCTATTTGTAGCTAACATTTCATCTTTGATAGCCACTTAAGAACCCATCATGGAAAATCTATATATTGGCAGCTGTGAATGGTGGTTGCTGTTGTTGTTGTTGTTGTTGTTGTTGTGTGGGCGGAAGCTGAGATGAGATATCGGGCATGATTCATCCCTGCCCCGTCTTCTCCTCTCAGACAGAAAATAATGGGATCCGACCACACGTTGAGGGAATTTGACGCCCAATCTTTCGGGCACCAAACACTGTCCTTTCTCTCTCTGCTCCAACAAACAAATCAATAAATGCACTTCACTCATTGTTATAAATGCATTTTAGCCATGAGGAAACACGCAAAAGCATCCGGTGGAATCGGACTACATGGTGCTCAAATGTATGAGGCGGAATAGTCTTTTCCTGTCATCTCTCGACTCAGCGCCCCCCCCTCATCTGCCTCTTCGGGATGCGCCGCTGCCGCTGAGGAGAGCTTAAGAAACGCGGCAGCGTTTTGGGAGAAGAACACAACATCCACACACTGATCATTGCCCGTAGAAACCTCCAATAAGTGAGCCAAAGTAGAAACATGTTCCCAGAGCCTCCCTCAAAGTGTCGGCGTCTCTGCCCACGCCGATGACTCGTCCTTCCTTCTGAGACAGCGTAGGCAAACACTTGTTTCCTCCTATTTTTCCTCTCTGTGCCTGAATGATTGCGCTGAAAAGAAACTGTACTTAAACAGGAAGATTTTCCACATGCTGATGGTTTGAAGGACTGAGACTGGAGGAAACACGGCTGTATGAGGGGATCTCGACTTCCCCGCCTACTGCCTCGCAGAGATAGTAGCTGTGCATAATTATGTAGCATCATCCAACGCGGCGCTGAAGCGATGTGAAGTGGCCTCCTCACTCCGTCCGAAGCCGTAGCTGAATCCAATTAAGGTAATTGTGTGTAAATTGCTGGCCTCGGCAACGTTGCTGTAAATCCCTTCTGCCCGCTTGACACGTGTATAACTAACTGTACACGTGGTCCAGTCGCACAAAGGGGACGGCAGACAGCAGAACTACCGCTTCCCAACAACTGGATTGTAATTTTCCCGTCACCGCGGTGGAATCGTAGCAGTAATGTAGCCACAGAGCTACAATTACACCCGACGGAGAGCACAAACGGGCAAAAGACGGCGACGGGAGGGCAAGGAGCGTAGAGAGAGATTCGGCGCTGCAGTCTGTGAAAGACCTGATTGTTGGGGCCCCCACAAGCACTCCGGTCTCACTCGGAAAGGACAAATGAGTCGTGGGTAATGGAGGAATGAGCAGTGGCAGCGCTGTAATCTCAGCAGCCGGCAGCAGCATCCGCCAAAGCTCCGGGGGCAGATAAGCAGGCGGGTCTTCTTCATGGGCCGACGCAATTTCAATCAGTTCGGTCTCATCAGTCACGGGTGGAAGTTGCCAGACGGGGGGGATCAAAGCGTCCTGAGAGACCCCGGTTCTGTAGCAAGAAGGAGTTCCAATGTTGGAAGAGGAAGAAGAGCCGGCATGAGCTCCCTCGGCGGCGCGAGGGGTGAGCCTTTTATTTGGTCCGTCCACTTTTAGCCCGGTCGGCATTCCGACGGGATTCTTCTAGGGTTTCCCCTGTGTTTTAAAATAAATTCACATTTTGGGAAATATGCTTTTTTTTGCTTATCTCTGTCCGTTCGATATATGACGATATAAGTTGATAGTGTCTTCATCTGATCACTATTAATACTGGGGTGAAGCCTCGGCTAACGAACACACAGCTGTTATTTCCAGGGGCTTGTATAGTAAAGGGCACATACTTCCATACTTATTCATTTTCTATTCAGATATCAACTTACTTGTAAAGGGATAGACGAAGTTGGGCGTAGCACTCAGGCCGATGTCAGTAAGACTGGAACCAAGAGCTCTGTCCTCAATGAAGAAAGTCCGCCCACCAGCCCGTCTTGTTTATTTGATCCATACAGTTTTGGAGTCCCAGCCGGTTGCCTGGCAACCTCACGGTGACCAGGAGGCTCCACTAAGTCACCGTGTCCTGCCAAGAATTAGGAACATAACCCCCTGGAAAAAAAACACACACACACACTTAAGTTGTTGTTTTGGATTAAATTCAGTTAACCGCAAACAGAGACGAGACTTAGAACCCAGCAAACGTTGGACAGAGAGATTCAAGCTTAAACAAGAATAACGTCTTTGTATCCACCAGAGGGGTCGCAGACTGTGTGATTCATTTGTTGATTGATGGGATAAACAACAGATTCTGCGATAACAACAATAATCATCGCTCATGTTCCCACTTCACGGAAGGATTAGGAGCTTTTTACATGGGGGCTCACAATCCCGACATTAAGGACAGCAATTAAACCCACCAGAGAAGGAGACGGAATGTCAAGGATTTTATTCTTTTTTTTTTCCGGATTAATTAGATGCCCAGAATTGGTTTGGGCGGCGGCGCCGTCAGTCCAGGGGAGCCCAGTTTTAAGCTCACGTATGACGGGACTCGCTGTGGTGTCGTCGGGGACGGCTCCCTCCTTTTAGTCTCCCGGGGGAGACTCCTGCTCCGCTCTTATCCACCAGCCACAGCTGCTGCGCTCATTTCAAGCGCCTTCACCTTTGTTCATTGTGTAGGTCTGCGTGTGTGTGTGTGTGTGTGTGTGTGTGAGAGTCGGGGAGTGTGAGGTACGCGGGGCTCAGGTTACTCCTTGCTCTCCGGCACAGGACTCGCTCCGCGCCTCACGACTTAGCGGGAGAGAGGAGCGGCGCGCGGAGGCAAGAGGAGCGACTATTTATAGATCACTTCTGGCCTACTTGGCAACAGGAAGGAGATGAAGACAAGGAAAGGAACTATGGAGGCCAAGGAGGGACAAAGAAGAAAATAGGACATCCAACTAGAGCAAAGTCAGTTGGGCACAGAGGGCTGAAACTTTCTATCGGGACACTTTTTGCAAGGAGACTTTAAAGTTAATACAACAGGGTTCGCGCAAGGCTTCATTTCAGCAGTTGTGTTTTCAAAGGTATTAATGTAAAAAATCCAATGTGGTAGTTATGGATCTTTGAGCCATATGAATGATTGAATTGTTCCGGTAGTTGTAGCCTTCTAATGAACATTGAATCTAATATAAAGGCTGTTTGTTTACGATGAGAGGAATTAACAAGTGTGCTTATGCAGTTTAATTTAATACCTACCATGTATAACTTGTGTTTAGTTGTGATTTATCAAATTCTGTATTTCATAGGTTCAAAGATGAGGTCTTTTGTGAATTGTTATCATCTTTTAAAAGTGGGAATTAGAATGTAAACCCCAAATGTGTAAATAAAACTATCCCATTGTCATATTGTAATCTCTCATACCATGATCAAAACCTAAAATAGATTTTAAAAAGTCACAATGTTTATTGATTGCCCTCATGATGAAGTAAATTATTCTCTAAACAGGGCCTGAGCCCATTAGGGCCCGTTCAGTAATCCATCAACTCTCAAACCCCCGATATTCCCTTACTAGCCAACAGGTTTAAATGAGAAAATGGCCGTGTGTCATGTGGCTGTATTTCAGTCCCACTTTGATTGTTGCGGAGAAGCAGCTCAAAGTCCTTATAGGGTAGTGAGTATTTAGGTATTTCACCTTAATCCACCGCAGGAATTTGGTCTCCAGGCCGTACTCGGGGAACGGAAGTGGGGAATTGGCGTAGGTAGAAGGCTGTATCAGAGACACCCTTTATGTCCCAACAGAGAACATTGATTAATGGCCTTTACGGGCCTAATTAGAAGACCTTTAATACACTGAACTTAAAGTAGTATTTACTTTTGAAGATGGACCCACTCAAATTCCAGCGAGGATCTTCTACTTGTCGCCTTTTTAAGGGGCACTCCACTTCGATTCACTACTGACGAGGAGAACTACTCCAATTACAAATGTGACAGCATTTAAAAGTAGTAAAATGAACAAAGGGATATGTGTTAAATAATCCCTATTTGACCTACAAACTGGGGTGAAATGAAAAAAGCTTTCGTGTTACATAAAGGGAAGTCTGCCTCTGAGATTTGTTCCACTGCTCCAAATGCTACTAATTTCTGCTGTAATAATGGGAAATGTACATCAATATCAATATGACATTTACATTTCATCAATAGAAACATGGTCAGGATATTCCAACATATTTTCTTTAATTTAAAAGTATCCTCATTAGCAATGGCGCTTGCTCTATTTTCAACTAATATTCACTCTTATACGAAGAAGGCGGCTCTTCACATTCATTCCCAGTGCATTTGCTTATGTTTAATTAAGTGGGCTTATGAATCCGCCTCGAGGGCCATCGGGAACCAGAACCAACCCTTATACACCAGCAACTATCGCTCATCCTCTCACTTAATTCACTCTTGAACGGTATTTAAATCGGGGACAGTGATCGGAGTGCCTATAGCGCACAGAAGGGAGCTCTCCCAGCGATTGATGGCGTGATAAATGGCGGTGGTTTGCAGAGCGTCATCCGCTGTGCAGCGCCGGTGAGTTGTGCGTACAGTGTGCGGCCGGTGCTAGCAGTGTGTTTAAGTTGACACAGCTGGTGGGCAGGATGTCAGCTTTGGGCCCCTGTCTCTGTTTGTAATTCTCCCCCCAGAGAGCAGCCTTCTTTCGCTATAAATAGCCTCTATATACGCCAATGTGTGTGTGTGTGTGTGTGTGTGTGTGTGTGTGTGTGTCTATGCCACACCTCCCCCGTGTGTGCCCATTTCCATCTCTGTGTGTGTGTGTTTTTATGTGGTTTATCTCGTCCATGTCTGCTGTTCCATGTTCAGTGCATTTGCTCTGTAGGCCTGGTGTGTGTTTTGCGTGTGTTAATGCGTGCAAGATGATTGTGGCCGTAATGATGATGAGTTTGTGTACTCTGCCCTCGTATGGAGAGATGCATGATTTGATTTGATGTGACACACACACACACACACACACACACACACACACACACACACACACACACAGGCCCTAAAGGAGATCTTATATCTTAACGGTGGATTTCAGTTTTTCTCTCATTTGTTTGAAGTGGCCTTTTCTTATACATCTGTTAAGGTAAACGTGTGTAAAGTCACTGTGCAGGTGTCCCAGTTGTGGAGTGTGAACACGACTGTGTGTATCTTCTCGTCACTCTTGTCTGACACGAACGTTGTTTTCTTACCGCTGCTTTGCATTGTGGGATATTTGTGCTATCACAGTGTTTGCATACTGTAATATTTCGCCAATTTGTTTATTTTGGAAATAAAATGCAAACTCCAATCCTGTTTTAGCGTACTACGTAGCCCTTTTGTATACAAAGTGAGACACAACCAACAGCTCAGTTCCTTTGTAGAGATTCGAAGGCCTCGCTCTCACATGAAATGTGCCCGATGTGCGGTGGAATATTCATGAAGCCGCCACGATGCGACGCCGGTCTGTTTTTTTTAGACCCTCCAACCTGCGTTAGTCGAGTTCCTCTGAGTTCAACAGGTGGCCGATGGGACGCCGCCCTCGTTCCCTTTTTCCCTCCACACGTCTTCCCCCTTTTTCTTTCTCTCTCTGCGTTCTGTCCATCTTTGTGTCTCCGCTCCACGAGTGAGAGCGATGTGCATTTGTAGCTCTTCCGAGCAATGACGGGTAGTGTGTGTGTGTGTGTGTAATGGGTTTGCTTTCTTCTCTCATCTTTGGCCTATTCCTTTTCTCCCATGCATGAAATTGCAGCTCAGATTCACACGCACTCATTTAAACGGTACACGCTTTAAAAAGAAGAAGAAGATCTTAACAGTTTCCTGTAGATAAAAGCCAGAGGGTGGTCCGCTTCGGAGTGAGTCTGACCGACGCTTTGTGTTATTTTCTCATGGAATTTTTCAGCGAGGCCGTCAACGTTGAGCTAAATTCTCGTGTCTCTGTTCCCCGCAGACGAGCATAAAGGAGGGACTGTTGCTAAAGCAGACCAGCTCGTTCCAGAGGTGGAAGAAGCGTTACTTCAAACTGAGGGGCCGAACGCTGTACTACGCCAAGGATGCCAAGGTGAGGTGCAGATGTTGAACGCGCGCCGCACAAATCTCATATCCCCTAATCGCACAAAAGATTTCCTTTAATGTCGGGAGACATTTTGCAGTTCGCAAACGGCGGTGCGCACGCATTGTATAGCATGTTTAGCGAGAACCTTCACTTCCAAGCGTTCGCGAATGAAACAGACACAAACGGCCCCCGTTAGCCAGTCGGTAGAATGAACAAGAGGCCCAATATTTCCAGGTATTTGGCAGAGAAACCTGGCGTGTGACAGCACACCACCAGTAGAGTTTTAAAATAGATAAAAGTGTGACCGGGTCAGTGGTGAAGCCTAATGCGGTTTCCTTGTGCAGAAAGCATCATCACAGGCATGAAAATCCCTGACCTTTCGGGCGAAATTTGCCGTTTTGAAACCAAAATAGGTGACCTGCGTGAATCGTGTAGATTCGACGAGGGGGAGTTGGGTTTTCATATTCAGTGCACTGCGAACAGGTGCGCGTGTCAGAAGGGAGCGCGAGATTCAGTGAATTGCGAACAGGGTGAGTGAATTTAATTCAATCATTTAGTTCAAGTTAAGTTAGCCAGGAGCTTTGTTGACATAGACTTAGCTAACGTTAGCTAACACAGCAGGAGAGAACGCGACGTTGGCCAGCTAGCTAAAGCTCACGTCACCTCACAAGCAAGGGTCTCTACGTCATAAATAACAAAACGTCTAAAGGGACCGCGATCCCGGAACAGTCGCAATTACGTGTACAACAAAACTAGAACAAAGGTGAATTAGCGCAGTCACAGTCACTACAAGCTAACGCAACCGTTTTTGAGGTGAGGGGACCGACGAGGCAGAAGGTAAAGTGGTCCGATTTGTCGCTCTAAACTACGCAAAAATGTGTCTAAAATTAATTTTAGACTAGTTGTCCATGCAATATAATGCATGACGAGGATTTAATGACTTGTCCCCTATTAGTTGTTGTCAATTCCAGTCCCCCCCCCCCTCGTCGGTACGCAAAAAATGATCCCTGGGACAAAACCAGTTGAAAACCCCTAGAGGGGTAATATCCTTCTCACCTTTTTCACCCTTGACCCGCTTTCATGCCTGTCATCTTTGCAAAAAGCCACACATCAATTTCAATGTGCGCACATAACCGTCGAAGCCAGTGTAAAATTAGCAGTTCATTTTTAATAGAATTTTAATACCCAGAAGGGAAACTTACTTAACTACATTACGACAAATAAATAAAACCAGATCTAAAAAGTATTTTAAGGCCATTTTTGTGGACTTTTTACGCTTGTTGATCTCTTTGCCTCTAATCTTCCTGGTCCTCAACGTGTGTGTGTGTGTGTGTGTGTGTGTGTGTGTGTCTGCACGCACACTAGTCTGGCACTGCCCTGGCGCGCTGGCAGGAGCGGGCGCTGCGCCGGGTGTCCAGGAGTCGCGTGTGCTGGCGAGTTCTGTCCGCGTGCTGGACGGGCGCGCGACGCTCCCCCCCACCTCTGGGCGCCAGCGGATCCGAGGAAGGCCTCGTGAGAATTCGGGTCAGCGCAGCGCAGACCGAGTCCAGCCGGTCCAGACCGGCAAAGCGGCTTAACCATTTTCCACCGAACCATTCGCCTAGACGCGCTAGTGCTGCATGGTACCATACTGTCGCTACTGGGCCCAGTCAGGTTGAATATCTGGACATGTTGGACACATGGCGAGACATTTTGTCGATGGATTGAAGGAAAGTCCACTTCATCCGACATGCGTCCTGTTTCACCATACGATGCGCTTTGTGTCGCACACGCATGCGTGCAGCCTGCGCACGCTCTCGATGGCCCTGCTGGGAGAATGAAGACAATAAATGAAGTTCTTTGACTTCTTTTGGCGAGGAACGTCTACGAGTTCTCTCGGTCACGGCCGGACAGGCACGTTCGTCCATTCCCTACATGTCCGTCCACTCGGGTCGCGTCTCCGAGGCGGCCTGGCTGCTCGTGCTGCCCTGTGCTTAGGAAGCCTGACCTCCTCATCGATCCATCGAGGAGGCTACATCTCAGCACGGCACCTCGTCTCCCCCCCCATCTCCCCTCGGAAACAACGGGAGGCCATTCGTTAAGGCCACGCGGCATAAAGCCAAGGAGCGAGAGGAGGAGGCGGAGGAGGAGGCGGAGGAGGAGGAGGCGGAGGAGGAGCAGGAGGAGGCGGGAGGCTTGTTGGGATGCAGCCGCTGAGCTAAGCTCTGCTTCCATGGGCAGAAGAGCGTCTGGACGCTTGCCTCTGTCCACCATTGACTGTCAGCTTTCATTACAGCTTCCCTCCAGACAGTGGAGTGTGTGTGTGTGTGTGTGTGTGTGTGTGTGTGTGTGTGTTGGTGTGTGTGTGTGTGTGTGTGCGTGTGAGTTAGAGGGAAGATAAAAAAAACAAAAAAGTTATCGCCCACATACATGCGCGCACGTGATGCGATGGCATTGAGGCCGAGAGCGCTGTGAAGGGCGTGCAGTGTGTGTGTGGTGTGTGTGTGTGTGTGCGTGCGTGTGTGTGTGTGTGTGTGTTGACATGCTGTTCATACTCAGGCCCTCTTGGCTGACACTCTATGCACACATTGACAAGCACTTGTAGGCATATGTGGGACTGCCGAGGCACATGCTCCCTCTACACACACACACACACACACACACACACACACACACAGCGAGCGTTGGCTGGTGTCCCTCTCCAGCGTGGCCCGGGGAGAGCGTCATTATCCGGGCATTCCCTTGACAGCTGCAGCAGCTCGCTCCTCCCACACAAGCACATCGACACACACACACACACACACACACACACAGACACACACACACACAGAGTCAGAAGGCGTTCCCTTGACGGCTCGGCCTTTTTGGCCCGCGGCCCTTTTAAGAGCTCCGCTGGGCGCCGCGAGGACGTCGTCTTCCCGTTGGCGGTCCGTCCGCGTAGAGAATCCAGGGATGCACGTCAGCATTCACTTTCACTCATTCAGGTACGGAGTGAAAACAAAGGAAACGGTGGAGGGGGAGTCCTCGCCACGGGGACCGGCCGCCGGGACTAATCGAGGGACATTGTCAGATATGAATTGGTTGCAGCCAGGGAAACTGGCCTTTTTTAAAAGTAGGAACAAGGCCGTAATATTTCACCTTAAGAACGAGCTGCTCACAAATCTGAACTGAAACGCTCGAGAGGAATTCTGCGTTAGTTTGTGAAAATGGATCTTAGAGAAATATCTTCTGCCAAGAGTCCGAGTTGCGACATTAAATTTCAGATGTGATATTTCCTCATATTGTCTCCTTGACGTGGAGACTGTCATTGGTCGGCGTAGCACAGACCTCTGAAGTCATTGTCAGCCTTCCAAATGATGCGGGGAAAGGAAACAGTTGTATTGGGAGATTCTCACATTGCAGATATGTGGGACGCGGTGCATCATTTGAAGATTGCTGGTTACATATTTGATATCAGGATGATATCTGTAGTGTTTGTAAATGCTGCCCTTTGCTTCCATCTGGTGCTGATAAGTTCACCTGTTCGTTTAAGGCCTGCTTGTTCAGACATTCCTCTCACAGCTCTCTTCATGCCTTAATACACGTCAAAAGACTGCCTTGAAAACATTGTCGGAGAGGCTCATTATTCCTTTTCTCCTCTTCTGTGTTCCCCTCTCCGTTCTCTTCTCGGGACTCCCCTCTTCCTCCCCCCCTCCTCTCTTCTGCAGTCCCTGATCTTTGACGAGGTGGACCTGTCGGATGCCAGCGTTGCAGAGTCCAGCACAAAGAACGTCAACAACAGCTTCACAGTGAGTGCATCTCGCAGTCTCGCCTCATCGCGCCGAGCCGGGACGCACTTTGTGCGTTTGCGTTTTTCGTTTTTCGTTAGATCGACAGCCCGGTTCGCCGAAGCGATCGTTTCACGAGGCGTCTAATTATGAGACAACAGTGCAGCTCTCCAAGACAGCCCGAAGGAAGATTTCCCCTTCGATGAAAAGATTTCTGCCAAACGGGAAGCTGCACGGTCACATTTCGACGGGGCGCGTGACACCCGGGCGGTGCTTCTCGCGCGGCGCGTTGTCACGCGCTCCTCGTCCGAAGACAGGCGCCGCCGCTGCGAACGCACGGGGGACGAGCATGAGCATCCGAGCTGGGAGGAGGGGGGGGGGGGAGCACCAGCGTAATGAGCAATGTGGACGAAAACAGACAGTGGAAGAGCCAGTGGAGCCCCGTCCTTCCTATAAATGTCCCTCCCCCGGGTGGTGCTATAATAGGAAACAGGGAGGGGGAGGAGGTATGCAGGAGAACTGGGCCCAGAGGAGAGCGCGCCGCTATTTTTAGCAGCGCCTTGAAACGCTTCGCTGAGTGCCTGCGCTGGCTTCAGCGTCTGCCATTTTCATAAATAAGATTACAGCGGGCCCGCTGCACGTGCGCGGCGTCGTGACTGCGGCGGGGCCTTAGTTGCCGGGGTTTATGCACGTGGCGCGAGAGAAGCGCGGCGATGAGCTCCTCGCGAGAGAAGAGGGGGTGAGGAAGGAGGGAAATAATTAGCTTGGAAGGCGAACACAATCGAGCTATTTTAAACTCTCGTGAAAGACGGGGATCACAAAGATATGGCGCGTCTAATCTTTTTTTTATGGGAGGGGGGGGGGGCTGTGGGGTGCTGTGGGGGGCTGCGGGGCCGTTTAAGACACGGCACGCCAGTGCGGTAGAGGAAATCCTGGAGTGATGTCACACCGCCGCTGACTGCACTCGCGCACATGCTCCCCGCGGGGAAAGGAGGAGGAGAGGGGCAGAGCCAGAGCGAGGCGAGAAGCGGGAGAGGCAAGACGGATGCGGATGGGGGAGAGAGAGGAGAAAGGACATGAAGACAGGACAGGCGGGACGGACATCAAACCAGAGGTAACGCCTGGTGCCGAGCGGCTGATCACCTGCGCGCCGACACGCGCGCGGATGCAAACCTCCGTGATGCGCCGAGCCGGACGCGGTCACGCACGCCGACAGGCTTCGTCGCTCGGGCTCTGTGGTCACGATTGAGGGAGAGAGGGGGGAGAGGCAGGGGGAAGGGGAGGGGGAGGGGGGGGGCTGCAGAGGTTGCATTGAAGGGCTTTGCTCCGAGTGTGCAAACCCACCAGGTCGAGGGATGCTGCCGGCCTCCTCCACCCATGGTGGTGTGAGAGGTGGTGCTCATCGGTGTAGGAGCTCTGCAGATGTCGGCTTAGTGTAACGAGGTGGGCTGCTAAGGGGGGGGGGTCTGGACTTCTAAGAGGGGATTAGAGAAGTTATTCTTAGTTCATTCAATATGAATATATGCATTATATATATATATATATATATATTTATATAAATCATCATGTACACGTTCATTGTAGAGATTCTTGGTTGAAGGTTTTTTCTGGAAAAGACCGAGAACCTCTGGATAAAAAACCTTATCGTTTCCCTCTTGTTTATTTCTACTGCACTGCATAGTGTAGAGAGGCAACTACTGTAGATATTCCGCCTGCAACCATTTGCCCAATATTTTTTTCCGTATTCATTGAACAGGGAAAATAACGCTACCTGTTGTTATATGAGAAGTGCGACGATCCATTTCATTTTTTCAGGGAGAGCTAGAACATGAATCCAGCAGTGTGAGGATGGAAACAGCTGTGCATGTGCATGCATGTTTTATTCATGACTGCATTGACACAGATGGGGAAAGTGAATGTAGGCGGTCCCATCTAGCTCTGTGAGGGAGACTCGCTTGAAATACACAAAAAGCGGGACGCGTGGAGACTCAAATCGGGGAGAGGAGGAGGTCAGCTGCTCAAAATCCGTTTCCGCCGCCTCTGCTGTTGTGCTGCAGATTCCAGTGGGATGCAGGATCTGTGCACGGCTCCCACCGTTCCTCCGCCTGTGTGTGTGTGTGAGTGTTGGTAAACAGTGACTGGTGGTCCCTCATTATCGGTTCAGCTTTGGTGGTTGCCCCTTCACCAAAAAATAAGAGCCGATGAGGCTTATAATTAAATGTTCCCATCATTTAGAGAAGAGGATGTTGATCAAAGAGGCCACTTGTCACTTGTCATTACGCGCACACACACACACACACATCTGATATATTCAGCTCTGAAGGTCAGTCATCAAGAGAGGTTTTCCACCCTTGAGGGATGCCTCGAGCCATTTTTGGAAACAGCCGTTCCTGTTTCCCCTGGCAACCAATTTCATCACTATCCCCGTTCCAGACACGAGACACACACATAGAAAGACACACAGCGATCTGCGTCCAGAGGGATCAATTTTGTGTACGTTTGCAAACGCACACATACACACCATTTGTGGCAAGTGGAAATCTGTATTTTCGTTAACAATCCGACCGAAACATGCAATTCTCGTAAAAGGAAGAGCGAGCCAGAGAAGGGAGGAGTCAGTTTCAGTAATTTGGGAGTTGCTGTTTCCACTCATCCAAAAACAAGGAGGAAGAATGCTGATGTGATTAGCAACAATATCAAGGGAGGGTACGGAAAGGGCAATAATCACACCCACGGAGACCCCTGTCGCCCCTGTTCATGTAGCCTTTTTCTTCTTATTATCACTTTTGATTGTACTGGAGTTCTAGTATTTAAGTAGCAGTAAGAAAGACGCTTAAGGATCGACTTTGTCACCCTCAGATTAGTCAGCGTGGGTTCGTCAATAGAAGCTCTATGCGTTGTTGGGGGAAAAAATGCTGCGTTTAGCAAAAGCGCCGGCCGGCGGTTGTTCGCGGAGGGATTCCCACAGAGCCACCTCTGTTCGCCTCGCGAGCCGTGACCAGAGGGGAGAAGAATCCGCGCACTCCGACGACCCCGCAGGACGCGAGCGAGGCGTTTATGTTTTGTGGTTCTCTGTAAAAACAGCGAGTTCATGATGCACATGAGTTCGGTCTGATGGCGTGGCTGCAAACCAGACGCTTGTTTTGACTTGTTTTTAGCAGATGTATCCTAAACGCCCCAACGTGCACAACGCACTCATGCACGCTGCACAAACACACGCACACCTGCTGAAGCCTCAGGTGCTGCCGGCCTAAACGGGCGGGTGAGAAGAAGAGAGGCAGAGTCTCCCTTCCACGATTTACTTTGTCACCGAATCCCTCACAGGAAGGAGAATACAATTTCCTTTCCACTCGTTCACTCCATTTGTCGTTGACTAATGGATGCGCGTTTGTTCTGCAGGATGTGTGGACTACACAGTAAGACGTTTATTCAATTATGCCAAAATGGGTGTAATTCAAGAATAGAACAAGCCAGCGCTGCGGCCCGAATGAGCGACTTCAAATGACGGTGAATATTTTTGTTGAAAAAAATCAGCGCGCATCAGAAGAAAGAGCGGCTGAGATCAGAGTGAATTAGAAACTTTTCATGTTGTAATAGTTCACCTGATGAAAAAAGGAAAAGAAAATGTGCATCTCGTTTTTACTGTAGAGCGAATCTTTGTTCTGGTCCACTTCTCACACGTTTCTTAATTTTCTAAAATTCACCGTGTTTCCTGGACTACAGCCGGAAATGTTGATTAAAGTGCACTGCCGCTGTTAAATGATTAAAAGGAACGGTGCAGTACATATAATACATTTATAATGCAGAATACTGCTCAGCGGACCTTTCAGTGTGTGTTTTCCTCTCATTCAAATCAATGTTTCTCTGAAGGGACTCAAATCATGCACCAACAAGCTGTTCTCAAATACATCCGAAAAGGGGGCACGGAGAATGAGGGGAAACACGAACCCCACTGCTAGCAGATAAATATTCAATAGCGTAATGTTGTGTGTGTGGGGGGGGGGTAACATAAGGGGCTCATTGGGTTCGAAAGAGACGGCGAGAGAGAAGCGATGAGGCTGCATAAATAAGTGATGGGTTGTTGAAAGGCTGCTTCGTGTCCGTAGGGTTATCTACAGGGAGACGCCGCCTAAACACACATGCACACAATCGCACGCGCTGGGAGGACGGGAGGGGGGGGGGGGGGGGTGTGGGGTTCCCAAAGCCAAAAGAACCTCTAAGCTCTTTTCTAGGGGCGTCTGCTGTGAGGACATATATTGGTTCAAACAACATGAAGAGCTGAGAGCGAGAGAGGGTTGGGAGGGGAGGGGAGGGGAGGGGAGGGTGATGCTGGAGCGAAGACTAACAAAAAAAAACTAACTCAAGAAGGTGTTGGGGGCTGAGTGAGCAAGAGTTAATGAGAGAGAGAGAGAGGGAGGGAGGGAGGGAGGGAGAGAGGGAGGGACGGGGCTCCTCGTCCTCTCTCTTAAAGACAGAGTGGATCGCTCCCTCCGCTCAGTGGCACCGCCGGCAGAGGAGGAAGCCACTGGGGAAGCTCATCTCTCTCTCGCTCAGCTACAGCCATCCGTCTCACTCTCTCACCCCTGCACCCCCTCCCCTCCCCCCCTCGCTCTCCCTCCAGGTGATCACTCCGTTCCGTAGGCTCATCCTCTGCGCGGAGAACAGGAAGGAGATGGAGGACTGGATCAGCTCGCTGAAGTCCGTCCAGTCCAGAGAGCATTACGAGGTAGGAAGCCCTTCTCTAAATCACGCGTGTGTGTGTGTGTGTGTGTGTGTGTCTCTCTAAGCGGGGACAAGGACGAAGCGATGAAGGGGAGAGATAGTGCGGCATGATCTATAAATCTGTGTTCAGGTGGATCCTCTTTTGGAGATTTTGCCAGGAATATTTCTTTTCTTTCTTTTTTTTTTTTCAAACCTTCAAATCTTCCCAGCTGAGGATGCTGCAATAAGCGGCCGTGTCCTGTTGGCGTCGTCGGGTTTGTGCACAAGTATCAGTGTGTAAAAAGTGGTGCCAATTAGAGTTGTGTGTCCGAGAGATCCGAGAAGTTGTTGATGCAAAAGCAACACACGGCCCCCGAAGGCAGCGGCCGGGGAGGCAGCGCCGCATCATCAGCGCCGCAACAAGAAAAACAGACGCGCAGGGAGACGGTGGCTGCATCTAAACGGCTTTGATTTGGGAGGGGAAATGTTATATAAGAACCCATCCCTCGCCCCCCCTTTTTACTGCACTGCACTGCAGCAGCCCCCCGCGCGCACACCCGAGCCAACAAGTCAACACACGGCAGGCCTTCTAACAACCGGGCTCTTGTCATGTGGCACCGTCAGAGGTCTCCGTGTCACGAGCACCTGCTAGAAACGGCACCTGAATGCTGCTCGCCCACTCTCCCCCCTCGTCCCCCCCCTCGTCCCCTCCCTCACACGCGTGTGCAGCACGCCCAGCAGTCGCCTGTCTCCGTGCACTAATGTATAGAAGCATCCAATTTCCCCCCCCCCCCCCCCCCGAGCAGGTGTTGCTCCTGTGCAATCATGGAGCAGCAGGGTCGCTAATGAGCGCCGGGTAGCGGAAGACGGTTTTGTCCCTCGGAGTCTTCGTCTCGTCTCCTTTGTCGCTTCATGGAGAGTTGTTATGTTGCATAAGGGGAGCTCACACGCGAGGGATGAACGGACTGAATGTGAAAAGGTGTTGACTTGTGTCAGCTGCTGGAAGCAGGTGTCTGATGTTCAATCATTTGTGATGCTTGTAATCTCAACGGAAACAGTGAATAGCAGTAATATTCAGTGATTTGTAAGTCACTGAATATTTACACAACAATAGTTACACAACTTTTTATTGTTTATTTATTTACTGTTAATTATTACCAAAAACTTCAGCTAACTGTCATGTTTAATCTCCATTTAAACAAAGAGAGAATTACTGTCTGTTTACTGTCATGCTATGTAACTTTCTGTGACTGTCATCCCGGTGCTGCCAACCTGTTTTAACCTCTCCTTTGCCAGACGGCACAGTTTAATGTGGAACATTTCTCAGGGATGCACAACTGGTACGCCTGCTCCCACGCACGGCCCACCTTCTGCAACGTCTGCAAAGACAGTCTGTCCGGGGTCACGTCTCACGGCCTCTCCTGCGAAGGTAAGGCGGCCCACACACATGGCGCCACGCCGATGCCTGAATGTGGTCCTGCGGGTGACTTTAAGATGAGGGCGGGAGCTCCGTCCGTACGCTTCTGAGTCACACTGAGGGTTGGATGGAGGCGTTGACTCGCGCTATTTAAATTTCATTTCTCACATATCTCCCAACTTAACGGATCGTGTGAATGACGCCACGTCTCCTCACCTCATCTGTGAAAGAACGGGACGGGGGTCGTCATGGGGGGGGGTGTTAAGTGTCGGTGTCAGTGCTCATTAAGGTCTGCTGCTGATTCGGGTTTAGCGAATGTTCCCCTGTGAGCGCGGTCACGTGTTTGTGTTTTCTTTTTTCTGTGCGTGCACGCGCAGAACGGGAATAGATCGACGGAGAGTCTTTAGAGCGCCATCGAAAAACATGCGGCCGGGCTTCACGGGGGACACAAGCGCGTCGTTGTCCTCGCCGGGCACGTTTGACAGTCGCCGTAGCAGTTTCGTGAGTTTATGATATTTGAATTAAATGCAGCTTGGCACGAAATGACAAACCAAGCTGCAAATGATCATCGGGAATATCCGTCGCGTTCGACCTGAGGAAGATCTCAACCGGTGGTTGACAGCAGCTGGGCGAGCGGCAGCCTGCTGGGGAGAGGCAGCGAGGAGGAGGACCACCGCGTGAGGAGGAGAGAATGGAGCAGGGGGGCTTCTCCGTCAAACGTGGAGAGCGGACAGTTTCGCAGCAATCACTCGGCTTAAATTTCCCTTCGATTTCTTGCGCGTGGCGTCCGTTCGGGATTGATTTGCCACGCACACAGACACTCCCCTCTGTCTCCATTTCGTCCTCAACACAAACACTCAGTTTGCGGCGCACAATGTTTTCCCCCCGTCTGGCTGTGTAAATGCTCGGGCCCATTAACAGGCGGGGGTATCATGTCCTCTGAGTTCTCTTAATGCTCTGCTAATGCTCCCTAACAGCATTTAGCGGTGGACTAAATTGAAACATCAATTGTTGCTCCCGGATATGACTCTGATTTAGTTTGTGTCTCTGCGTAGACTTGCTAATGGTAATGTGTGTGTGTGTGTGTGTGCGTGCAGAGTTTGGGTGGGGTGGTTGGAAGCAAAGTTCCCCAGAGCACAGACATCATTCACGACTCTGCTAAGTGCCTCGTCCTTAATGAAGAAAACAGGCGGGAGCCATCTCCATCTTCCCATACGTCTCCATAGGAGCCATTCGTGCCTCGTTTGCAAAACTACATTTAAAATACGTTAAAGCCAAATGTGTGAACCGTTGGAAGCGCTCGTCCTGGTGTGACAGTGGCCATCGCTTCTGTAAAGTAGACTTCTGTTCCTTCAGCGTCTCGTACACGTGGGCTTTTGGTATTTTTGCCTTTTCTTTGATTCAAATGCGTTGAGATCTGTGACGTTAAGCTATGTTCAGGTTCAGGGAGGTTAGTAAAAGCACCCGCTGACGTCTCGTTGGGGCTCGACCCATCGGATTACCGCACTTAGTTGGGAGTGTCTCTTTCTGCGTAATGCATCTGTGTCCACTGTTTCACTGCTCGCCTGTGAGGTACAATAAACCGAGTCAATCACGTTTTTATCTTGATTCTCATTACGTCAAATTTTATGAAAAAACAAAAACCAGTTGCGTTAAATGTGAGGCAGAAAGGTTTACCGTTGAGTGCTGCGACTTTCAGGTGGAACACGTCAACAGACTGATACAGACTGTGTGTTGACTTATGTGTTTTTCAGTGTGCAAATTCAAAGCCCACAAGCGCTGCGCTGTGCGGGCCACTAACAACTGTAAATGGACAACCCTGGCTTCCATCGGGAAGGATATCATTGAGGATGAGGATGGGGTAAGTTTGTGTGTGGAGCAATTAGCTTGAGTTGACCTTTTGGGGTCCTCCAGGCTTCTGGGAACAGACTGAAACACTGACTTGTATCGTAGAACCATGAGAAGAAAGGCATTTTATTTTCTATTACATAATTATGGAAAAATATGTCGGTTGGTTATGGGGTTGATGGTGGCGCACGGAGTAGAGAGGGTGTAGAGGGGAACCGCAAGGATGGCGGTGCGAGCCCCGGCTGCTCCGTGTCCCTGAGCAAGACACCTAACCCCTAATTGCTCCCCGGCCAAAAAATGTAAAAAGCCACGGGTTAAAAATGCAATGTAAGTCGCTTTGGATAAAAGCGTCAGCTAAATGACCTGTAATGTAATTAGTTTGCTTTTACTCAACTTGCTCTGTGTCAGTAGAAGAAGAAGAAGAAGTCTTGAACCGTGCCTTGTGTTGAACCCCCAGATCGCCATGCCTCACCAGTGGTTGGAGGGCAACCTGCCCGTCAGTGCCAAGTGTGCTGTGTGCGACAAGACGTGCGGCAGCGTGCTGCGGCTGCAGGACTGGCGCTGCCTCTGGTGCAAAGCTATGGTGAGACATCTGTGGCACGTGCATGGCACTCAATCCTCCCCCCGACCCCCCCGACTCAACGTAACGGGATAAATAGCTCACGAGGAGCCGAATCGGAACGTTTAAGGCAGCTGAGAGGATGGTCTCGGTTTGGGTTTGCAGCATGTTAGCGGAGCCTTCAGCAGCAGCCGCTCCACAGAGGCTCCTCTGTTGTCCCAAAGTCAGATGTTAAATCAACCATTCAGATAACAACAAACCACTCGTCCACACCACAAGGCCAAACAACTTGTAAAACGATTGAATTATTCGTAGGTTCTCTTTTAAGTCACATTGTGCATGTACATGAGTGCACTTCAGTCTTTCTTAAATTGATGGTGTTTGCTGTTGTTCTTTTAGGTCCACACAGCCTGTATGGACCTTTATCCCCGCAAGTGTCCTCTCGGTCAGTGCAAAGTCTCCATCATCCCACCCACGGCCCTCAACAGCATCGACTCCGATGGTAGGCCCCCCCCCCCCCGACACACACACATTTATATCACGCTGACTCACTCAACGGGTCAGAGGTGGATGCCGGACGTCACCGTTGAGCCATCGTTACAATTCAGGGATGAACAATTGAGATTTCACCCCAGTTAGACGACCAATGACTTCTCTGTGAACTTTGACCTTCTGCCTTCCCACGTGGAAGGACAGTGGTGATTCACCACCGTCCTGAAGGCACACAATGTCCCCTTTTTTCCACAGCCCAATTTTTTTTTTAAACCGCTGGAACATGTGCTGGAAAGCAGAAGAAATATGTTTTTATTATTCTCTCTTTGTGTTATGGCTCCCCCCATCAAATGCATACTTTCTTCCTCACTTCCCGTTAGTCATATTCGAGACCAGCTACTGGTATTTGTTCCAGGAAATTGCCAGTGTCATGCATGGCAAAGTGGTTAAAAATAGCCCTATATGACGGGACGGCACGCTGAAGGCTTAACATAGATCCTGTCCAGGCGACATATGTGTGAGAGAGGAATGATGACAGGATGCATCCTGACTTACTGTCAGAACCGACACAAATGTTTGTCATTGTGTAATGTTTTATAGAAATATGCAGACATCTATGCAGACTCTGTGAGGTTGGGTCTGTGTGCATTAAACCCATTTTAGATGTAGATCAGCACCTGCAAGACAGACTCAGATAAGCGTGCGTGATTGAATTACTGTCATGGAAGTCAATGGCCGGGTCCCCCCCCCCCTCCCACACACACACACACACACACACAAACACACAGACACACACAAACACACAATACGCAGTACCAACACACAGCCTGGATGGACAAAAGAGAGGCAGCGGAAGGGATGATGGGGAATCCAGATGAAAGAAGGAGGGGAAAAACCATACATGCAGAATATCCTTTGTCTCTCTATCTCCCTTATTCTCTTTGTCCTCACGTTCCAGGACCCCCCTCTGCCCAAATGCACGCTGGGAAGAGGGGGGGTTGTAATTTGCTGAGGGGCAGACAGTAGCACGTGCAGGGGCGGTGTGACTCCCTTCCTCTGTCCTCTTACACCCCCGCCCCTCACTCCCTCCCTCCCTCCCTCCCTACCTCCCTCAATCCGCCCGTTACCGACAACAACATGCCAGAGAGAGAGAGAGCGAGAGGGAGAGAGGGAGAGGGAGAGAGAGAGGGAGAACCAGAAAGGAGGAAAAAAAATACCTGGCAGAAAGAAGACACAAGGTGGAGGAGGGAAGGAGGCAGTAGGTGTATGTATGTCACATGTATGTGTGTGTGTGTGAGTCCGTGCGCCGCTCGGGAGGAAACACGTGTTTTTGGCATGCGCCGCGCTGCCATGCATTATTACGCTCTGTCTGAGCGCACACCGAGGCCGAGAGGAGGTTTTTTAACACTGAAGGGGTCAGTACGAGCTGCTGCTAGCGGAGTCCAGTTCGTTTTAGATATAGATAAGATATAATATAGATATTATTTCCCATAATTCAACATCTACTGTTCCCTAGTTTGTTGTGCTCAGAGATTTCAACGCGTCTTCCCCTCCCTCTTCTCTTCTCCCCGCAGGCTTCTGGAAGGCCACCTGTCCCCCGTCATGTGCCAGCCCCCTCCTGGTCTTCGTCAACTCTAAAAGCGGAGACAACCAGGGGGTGAAATTCCTGCGGCGCTTCAAGCAGCTCCTCAACCCGGCTCAAGTCTTTGACCTGGTCAACGGGGGGCCGCACCTCGGGTGAGGAAAACGAGCGCGCTGTGCCGCACGCACGGCATTAAAAACGTCTCCTGTAGAGGTTAATACGTGTCTTGTGTGTGTTGTCAGTCTGCGCCTGTTTCAGAAGTTTGACAACTTCCGCATCCTGGTGTGTGGAGGCGATGGGAGCGTGGGTTGGGTCCTCTCCGAGATCGACAAGCTCAGTCTTCACAAACAGGTAACGTGGTGAACTGGAACATCGAGCAACAGCATTGGTTTGATGCTCGGTTATTTATATCAGTGCCTTCCATCCAAAACAAATTAGGTAGATAAAAATCCTCTCTTAAATGTTTATAGCCTGCTAGAACGGAATGAGCTTCAAGTAGATGTGATGCGTCTTTGGCCAAAACCCTGTGCACGTGTTTCAGTGCCAGCTGGGGGTGTTGCCCTTGGGCACGGGCAACGACCTGGCGCGGGTGCTCGGCTGGGGCCCGTCGTGCGACGACGACACCCAGCTGCCCCAGATCCTGGAGAAGCTGGAGAGAGCCAGCACCAAGATGCTGGACCGCTGGAGCATCATGACCTACGAGATTAAGATCCCACCCAAACTCAGCTGCCCCACCACGCCCGAGGGACCCGAGGACTGCCAGGTACTGAGGGGCGCCGACAGACATTCACACGCCTCAGCCGGCACAGTCCAACCCAGCAGGGCTTCCAGACCTGCGGGAGCAGGGGGAGCAGGGGGAGCAGGGGGGGGGGTGGGCGGAGCGCACGCTGGATATAGTGCCTGACATTTTAAAGGCAGCGTCAACGCAGCGCTGTTTCGAAACAGGAAAAGGAGAAGCGGGAGCCGTTACTCGTGACATAGTGTGTGAATGAAGTGCCGCTAACTACAAGACGTCGTTTCTTGTCCAGTTCCACATTTCAGCCTATGAAGACTCAGTCGCCGCTCACCTGACGAAGATCCTCAACTCGGAGCAGAACTCTGTGGTCATCTCCTCCGCCAAGTACGTGTTTTCACCACAGCAGCATGGCCCTGCTTCATTACACAGCATCATACTGTATGTCTGTCCATCTATCGATATCTCTTTTTAAATATTTCCTCACAATTCATGATGAAATAAGAAGGGTATTGAGTGAAGATCAAAACATTTCGCTACGTGATCAAATTCACTGATATAGAAGAATTGAAGAAAAAAGGTTGGAAATGTCACTCGGCAGTCGGCTCGATGTCTTTCGTTGGTCTTACATGGCGTCGTACACTAATGTCTTCTTCCTGTTGTTTAGGATCCTGTGTGAGACAGTGAAGGATTTTGTTTCCAAAGTGGGGAAAAGCTACGAAAAAAGTACAGACAACAGTGATGAGTGCGACACGATGTCTCTCAAAGTAAGCCTCAAAAACCACGCAGTTAGCGTCCACCACTGGCCCCGCCCCCTCTGTATTAATACCCTCTAAGCGCTGCCGCGGCGCTTCATCCCTCCTCCGCTTGTTCCCTACCAGTGTGCCGTCCTGAACGAGAAACTGGACTCCCTCCTCCAGACGCTCAACTCGGAGAGCCGGGCTCTGCCTTCCCTCGCCCACTCCACTCCTCCCATCGTGGAGGAGGAGGACGAGGAGGAGGAGGAGGAGGAGGAGGAGGCCAGCGAGGAGAGCCTGACGGAGCTGAAGGAGAAGATGGAGGAGGAGGAGACGGAGAAGAGATGCGGAGGGGCCCCGCACCAGCTGTTCAAAAGCCGGGAGCATTTGATGCTGCGGGCCAACAGTCTGAAGAAAGCCCTGCGGCAAATCATAGAACAGACCGAGAGAGGTAACGCACACACAGTTGTCATGGAAACCACGCGTGTTGGCGTACGCCGTTGAAACCCTCTTTTAAAAGGACGCGAGAGCATGTTGTTGTGACGGGTAAAAGGCCAAAAAAGAACGTCCTTCTGCCTCGTCGGAAGCTGTCCTGCGTTGCGGCACGTGGCACGGGTACCCTATCGTCTTTTCTTCCCTCCTCTCTGCGCAGTGGTGGACGAGCAGAACGCCCATTCGGAGGACGCCGAGCTGACGTCCCCCCTGGAGTTCAGGAAGGACAGCGAGGAGGAGAACAGGGACAGCGAGAAGGACGAGGACACCAAGGAACTGGAAGCGGTGACGTGTGAGTGCTTCTGCCTCGGGAACTCGCTCACGTCCCGCAGAGCTTTCAGACGCTGCCCACTAATGTATTTCCAAAACACTTAACCTGTCCAACAGGTTTGATTTCCAAGTGTCCCACTCTGCCAGCTGGCATCGTTCTCCGTCACGTAAAACATATCTCGTTTGATTAGTGGTCGAGGCCTATTTTAGGAAGAGTACTTAGTAGAATTAGTGTTAAAACACATTCTTCCCTGTCTGTTCTACTGACAGAGGAAAATGTTGTTATTTCCATCATTTTAGAGAATTTTAAGATTATTCCAAGATTATTATTTGTGAAGTGAATTGGTGCAAAAAGGACATCACACAGGATTTAAATGTCGCCCCCTTGTGTATATTGCAGAACTAGACACATAGCTAATGGAAAAAAAAAGGGTTGCTGACGCAAATCACGTTTCCTGTCATAAATAAACTCAAGGATTAGGGCTGAAAACCTCTCTCTCTCTCTCTCTCTCTCTCCCGTTATATTCCATCTCTTCCCCCGAGCCGAGCTGTTTATCTCTCCATCTTCAGTCTGCAGCCACGGAAAACTTCCTTCATAATAAACGATTTATCATGTCGGGGGCGGGACAACCATGGAGCCTGCGTGTGTTTGCATGTATCTGAATCTGTGCTGCAGATATTGCAGCCTTGCATGGGGAGGCAAATGCATGTATGGACGTCTACTGTGTGTGTGTGTGTGTGTGTATGTGCGTGTGTGTGTGCGTGCCTGTGCGACGGCCACAGGATGTGTTATTGTCTTAGGGGCAGAAGTTCTTCCTGTTTATCATGAGGCGGCTTCCTTCCTTCCACACTTTTTCCAGCCGACGAGGAGGTATCAGTCAAACCCTCTTCTTTTGTATCCTCTCCTTGTTTCCTCTCGTCGCCTCCTCCCTCCTTTTACCCCGGACGCAAATCCCCAAAAATAAAAAAATAAATCCCCGCCTCCCGGTCGGCCCGCTCTTGCGTGTGTTTGTGGGCCCCGCGGAGGATTCACGGGGGTCAGCATGAGCAGCGGTGATGCCGTGTGGCGAACACGCGATGTTCGGCGGCTGTCAGCGCGCATTCACGTGGAAAAACAGCTGAAGGACTAAAAGAAGAGAAGCAACGGGGAGCTTTTCGGCACGCACGTTCTAAATGAGCCAAATGTTTTGGACTTTAATTCCCCATTTGTCTCTGATTTTGCACATGATATACATATTTGTGCCTATATGTGTATCTTATAATGTCAGTTTTCTTTTATTGGTACATTACTTAATTACTTAATAGCTTTTAAATAGCTCCCTGCTTTTATTCTGAAGGCAAGAATGAAAGTCGTATTATTTATTACGGGATATGGCTACACTCATACACGGTAAGTGTGCCGTTATGGGTATTAATAAAAGTTTCAACATTATTATATCATGTCAAAGACGGCTTTTACCTTTTACATCATTAGTTTGTTTTCTTCTCACTGTAGCAGCAGTGTTTTGTTATGCCCCCTGGTGGGACAAGAGGGTGGCCTCACATTAAAAAGTAATATCATTGTGTAACCTCACTTGTGTGTTTTTCCCCAAGGAACCAAGCATCATGGACCAAAAATGTAAAACAATTTCAGCAGAGAATCACATTGTCCCGAATGATGTGAGTTCTTCCCTCCGTCCCCAGCCGCTAAGAGTCCCTGCTCCCCCACGGAGAGGAGAGTGAGCCGCAGCACCCAGTCCTACAGCTCCTTCACCATCACCCCCTTCACCACCAGCAAGGAGAACCTCCCCGTGCTCAACACACGCATCATCTGCCCCGGTAAACCCTTTGCCTTCCATTCCACTCCCTTCTCCTGAGCCGAGTGAACCGCACTGGGGCACCTGGGGCACTTCGGCCTTGTGTAACGGATGTCTGCGTGTGTGTGTGTGTGTGTGTGTGTGTGTGCAGGCTTGCGGGCCGGTCTAGCTGCCTCCATCGCTGGCAGCTCCATCATTAGCAAGATGCTGCTGGCTAACATCGACCCCTTCGGCGCCACACCGTTCATCGACCCTGACCTCGACTCCCTGTGAGCGCCGTTTCTCGTTGTCTCCTCCCATCTTCGTCACTGTTTGAATACCCGTCCTCTCGTGTGTCTGTGTCCATTGTGTGCAGGATTTTTCAAGTTACTCATTTTTTCGTTCATCCACCCAGAGACGGCTACATGGAGAAGTGTGTGATGAACAACTACTTCGGCATCGGCTTGGACGCCAAGATCTCCCTGGAGTTCAACAACAAGCGTGAGGAGCATCCAGAGAAATGCAGGTGAGGCGCATTTCTGTTACCGGGCATCTCGCAGCCAATCAGGCATCATCAATCCCATCAACTCATCATGAAAGCTTCTTCGTTGCCTACGTTTGCAACGCCTTGCTTGTGATCTAAGTGCATCCGTCCTCATATATTTGATATGATTGCCGTCTGATGGCTTTTTTTCTTGTGTTCTGACCCTTAAAAGAGGGAATACAGTCTCTGTAATGCCTTGTTAGTCGCCTGTGCTACTGCTCATAATGCATCTATGATTCATGTTAAGTGAGGAAGACCTTCTTGTATCTGGTTGGTTCCATCTGTCATCTGTAAAGGCCTTCTGTTTTTTCACCACGCTGTAAATCTCATCCTCTGCCCCCCCCCCCCCCCCCTCCCACGCAGGAAGCTGTACAAGAGCATGATGTGGAACGGCCTCTTGGGCAAGAAAGAGCCTCTTGCGAGGACGTAACAGAACCTGGAGCACACACTCCCACTCACGGTGAGAAAGCGAGGAAAACTAAAGATCTTCCTGCTTAAACTAAAAAAAGGGGGAGAAGCCAGGCGACATCTGTAGTCCCTGGGGAAAAAACTGGGGAGGGATTTAGATGAAGATGCCACTTCCAACTGCTATTTAATCTGCAGATGTAAGGGGAGCCGTGGTCCCGCAAATGCACAGCTGATTTCTCACCTCAAATGCATTCATACTTTTTTGAAACGACGTCTCCAGAGTGACTGCCGCGCTCTCCCAATCATCAACAATTGTGTGCTTATGAGTCATGAAGCGATGTCCTTCTAAAAAAAGTCCCTGAAACTAAGTCCAATAAAACAAAAAGATTTCAATTGTACCAAAAATGCCAACCTGCGTGGACATCTGTCTCATTTATACTACAGAAATTAGAACAACACTATTAATTGATAGTGTACCGACACAGTGACCCCTGTGTCGCATCCCTGAATCCCCCCGATAGACAGATGCAGCTTCCCCGCTCCCTTCGCTTACTGGTCGGCTGGGTTCTCGTTGTGTCTTCCCCAGTGTGACGGCCAGTACATCCCTCTGCCCAGCCTTCAGGGGATCGCAGTGTTGAACATTCCGAGCTACGCGGGCGGTACCAACTTCTGGGGCGGCACGAAGGAAGACGATGTGAGTACGCGTGCAGCACGCCGAGTGAGCTCCGTGTGATGCTCCCATCCGGCTGGACGGCCTTCAGGGAGGATTTCTGGGTTCTCTATCAAGCCAATTTAAGCAAAAGTCCACCTCCACTTGCTGTTCCCTCCGTCGTTGAATGAGCAAGGATTTAGCACGACCCCGATAGCCTGGAGGTGCAGATGGAGGGATGGTTAAAGAGATATTTGCGCTTGTTTTTGTAAGGCCCAGAGTACAGGGGCTGCTGAGGGATAAGAGTCAGCTTGCATGACACACACACACACACACACACGCCTCTTAGTGAGCCCCTTGCAGAGTTTACCCTTGGACACAGTATGTGCATTTGCCGTTATGTAACGGTTTGGTTACTGCACACACACACAGACACACACTAATGCAGTACATCTAAGTTTTTGTCTCAGTCTCAGATAGATGTGATTTGTTGTTAACATCCCCAATTTGCACTACTGCTGATCTGCGGCCTCACTACAGAACAAGGGAGTCTTTTACATGAAAATACAGTGAAAATACACGGCCATGTGCGCAAACACTGATGACAGGATCAACACCTTCTACTTTCAGTCGCATGCGCAGTACACCGCGCTCCGCTGGCGGGGGTTTGGTCTCCATCTAGTGACCCAGGCGGCCGCACGGCAGCGCGTCAGGTCGTGTGGTTTGTTCGTGCCGTCTGGGGGGGAAATGTTTTTTTTTTATGCTGAACCTCCCTCTGTGTACCCGGTCAGACGCTGAATCGCTTTGACCTTTGCGGGCGGGGATCAATACCGGACTTGTTGGAGGCCTCTCCTCTCAGAAACAAGTCCTCGTCGAGTTTCTTAATCCAGGCTGCAGCTAAACTCAGCTGATGAAGCTCTTTACAAATAAATACAGGAGACAGCCTATATAGTTATAGTTCTAGCAATAGTTGCTCACGCACACATGAAGGGGTTACGCTGGTGATGTTTGATGTCATGAAAGGAAGAATAAATCTATCCTGCTAAAGATTATTCCTTGTCAACTATGAATCGAACATAATACATATGTAATGATAATGTTTTTTCTCAATATTATAGCAGCAATTTAAATATTTATTTTCTATTGTCTATCTGTAGTAGCTTTTATTCCTTATGTTCCTTGGACATTACTTACATTAATACTGAGCCAGTCAGTCCATGTCTAAGTTATGTCATCAACATTCTAAACTATAAGTAACAAACACCATGTATCAAGTGTTATAATCTGCTTATAGTGCTCTATAATTATAATGCATAGGCCCTCATACGTATTCTTCTTGCATTATAATAACAATCAACACATTCAAATATATTTGTATTTATATGTATTTTATAATAACTTGTGAGTATCATGATACTTCATATTTTCTGTCCACTTATTATTATTCTTTTAGTGTATTATGGAGGTTATTGTTTGCTTTAATCAAAACGTAAAAAAGATAATAAATAATTACAAAATCGACATCCAAAACCTTTTCCATTATTGTTAAAAAGCATTATGAATGTGTATATGAGTGCTTATTATTACGCAATGCTAAAAGCAGATTTTAAGCCATAATAACTATGTTTATAATGCATTATAGATATGGGGTTCATATAAGGTTTTACCACATATTACATAAGTGTGAGAGAAATTTTCCGGGCATTTATCTGATTGTCGTCACTGTGCCGTGCAGATCTTCTGTGCCCCTTCGTTCGACGACAAGATCCTGGAAGTGGTGGCCGTCTTCGGGAGCATGCAGATGGCTGTGTCCAGAGTCATCAAGCTGCAACATCACCGCATTGCACAGGTGAGAAAGCGCACCCATCAAACAATATGAAAAAAACTACACACTTTATTGCAGGACGTAAACGCGACGTGTGCCCTCCCCGCCCGAATCAGTGTCGAACAGTGAAGATCACCATCCTGGGCGACGAGGGAGTTCCCATTCAGGTGGACGGCGAGGCGTGGATCCAACCGCCCGGAGTCATCAAGATCCAGCACAAGAACAGAGCCCAGATGCTCACCAGAGACCGCGTGAGTTTCAAACAACGGCGGGGAGTCGCCCCGGTAGACGGAACAAGGTTTGCTTCACGTCGCCCTTCGATCCCTCCCCCATCCCCCTGCAGGCGTTTGAGAACACGTTGAAGTCATGGGAGGACAAGCTGAAGTACGACAAGCCGCCTCTGCGGCCGCACCTCTACCCGCAGCAGTCCGTGGATCTGGCGACGGAGGAGGAAGCTGCCATGGTGCAGCTGTGCGCCCGAGCTGCAGAGGAGCTCATTACAAGGTAAGCGCGCACTCCCATGAATATCAAGTCTCCCTCTAGCAGGCCACACAGGCTCTACAAATATGCATTCCTTATGTTTTCATTATAAATGGCGCTCGGGTCTGATCGCAGGATATGCGAGGCTGCCAAGACCAACGGGCTGTTGGAGCAGGAGCTGGCTCACGCTGTTAATGCGTCGTCTCACGCCATCAACAAAACACACCCCAAGTTCCCGGAGGTATGTCATAAAGTCTGTGAGAAAATGACACCGCTAGTAAACACAGTAAGTGTGATAAACAGAAATGAATTTATGGTCTATATCAAAGGTTTTAGGTCTTCTTAAATCAATGTTCATTCAGTTAATTATTGCATATCTAGAAATTGACCTTAAAGAAGGGTAGGCTTTAGGGCGGGGCTACTGTGATTGACAGGTGGCTACCACACCATTGTGCGGTTGGCGAGTCGCTCCTGCATGCATAATACATATTGCATTCATGTTACCTAAATAAAAGAAAATTGTGCAAAAGGCTGAAGAACTCAATTCTTCAAAACCCTGATGCACAAACGCAGCAACTCAGTGCAACTGAACCAGTTTTTGTCCTGAAGCTGTTCACCTGCGCAAACCGAGAAACAGCCACCACATGCGTTGTGTAACGTTTGCTTTCCCCGCTGTGTTTGTGTGAGACTGTAAATATTTACGCTGGTTTCCCGTTTCCAGAGTCTGACCAGGAACACGGCCATGGAGGTGGCCAGCACTGTCAAGGCTCTGTACTACGAGACAGAGTCCCTGCTGCTGGGCCGAGTCTCTCTGGTGAGTTACCATGGAGACCTCATCAATGTTACATCAATGACTTTCTTTCACTTTCACGTTATGTATCGTCTCAACCACCACAGCATTAAGGAATCATTCTGTTTTAACGTACATTCAGGGTCTGTTAAGAGTCATTGTTCTCCCGAGAATGAGCAGCGTGTATTTGATTTATTCTTGTGTGTGTGTGTGTGTGTGTGTTTGTTCCCTCGCCGCCCCTGATGCAGCAACTGGACCCCCCAGAGGAGGATCAGCTGTCCGGTGCTCTGCAGAGCTTGGAGCTGGAACTGGCCAAACTGGGAGAGGTCGCCTGGCTCTATCACATACTGCAGCCCAACGATGAGGAGGTGAGCAGCCTCGGCAAACACTCACACACACACACACGCACACACACGCGCGTGAGGACGTGTATGACATTGCCGCCATTGCGTCATGGCTGAAAGCGCCCAGCGCGCACATACCGCATGTGTTCGGTGTAACGTGGCTCCATGTGACGGGAGAGCTGAGTGGCTAAATGAAAGGCTATAGGTTGACTGTGCTTATGTACCAGGACCTCTCTCTGGGTTACGGCAAGAGGAACAGTCGCAGCAGCATGTTCCGCATAGTGCCCAAGTTCAAGAAGGAGAAGGCCGCCAAGAAGACCAGCCCTCAGTCAGGTATGCCCCTCTTCTTCCCCTCAGTCGCGAACAGGCTGGACAGACGGACCGGTTTAAAGTGTACAATGGATGTTTTTCAGAAGCTCCAGAGTCCCTTCATGCTTTAATTAGCAGGACGCTAGCTAGTCGCTAGCTGGACGCGCTGCCAACCTGTGCCAACTCATCAGTGCTTTATGCCAACTGCGTTTTGGCTGAACCCACTCGCACTCACTTGGTTCCTCCGTCGGTCGCCATGGTTACCTCTCACCTGTGCCCATCACTGCCATCACATTACAGTCCACAAAAAAAAAAAAAGGGTCAAAGAATGGGTTTCTGTTCGAGGCGTCCCCTCCCTACATGCTCTCATCCCGCCGTCTCAAGCAGCCAGCAATGGGGGGAAAAAAAGGGTCGACGTGTGATGTCTAGATGAATGAAGGTTGATGTTGCTGCTCATCTTCTCAGAGAGAAGTGGACCAATAAGAACACGTCGACGGACAGAGGGGGTAAAAGAGGGTCAGCCCCTTGCTCTCGGGGGGGGGGGGGGGGGGTTCCTGCAGACCGCACAGGCTTCCGCCTCCCCTTTACTTCCTACTTTCTCTGTGTGTTCTGGTATTGGTCGTTGGTGTGCATGCCACCCCCCCCCCCCCCCCGACCCCTACGAACGGCATTCGTCACCGCCTTGTTCTGACCAACCTCTGGCCTTTGTCAAACTCCTCCGCCAGCTGCCGCCACTGCTCTCCCTCCGCCCCTTCCTCACTGACGCTCTTCCCCCACCTTTATTCCATCTTCCCCTCCGGTGATTCAACACAAGTTTGTGCCCATTTGTGAGGGTTGTGTGTGAAATGACATATTCAGAGGGGAGTGTGTGTGTGGGGGGGTGAGAGTGAATGCTTCTGGTGTGTGGCACAGTGTGTGGGTGTGTGTGTGTGTGAATACCTGTGAGGCCCCCTGAGCCCCTCTCTGCTCTGCCCCGTGTGTGTGCGTGCCGATGTGTGTGTGTGTGTGCGTGTTTGGTGTGTGTAGTGGAAAGATGGGGCACAGAGGAGGTGGGCGTCTGGCTGGAACAGCTGAGTCTGGGGGAGTACAGAGACACCTTCATCCGACACGACATCAGAGGCTCGGAGACTGCTGCACCTGGAGAGGAGGGACCTGAAGGTACACACACACACACACACACACACACACACACACGTCAATCCCTCAGTGAATCTGTGTGAACCGCCTCGTCCGACCCACAATCAACTCTTTCTCTCTTGTCCACTGGACCCCTAATGCTCTTCAACCTGTTGGATGTCCCCCTGTGTTGCTGCTCTGCATTGCTCTGCTTGGCTTCTAAACTGTCTGATCGTCGCTTTGCGAGAGAGAATCTCGCCGTAACCCACTAACACCGCGAGGGGGAGCCGACAGGGGCAGGGATGGTGCCGGGAGCGGACGGATCGGACCAGGGCGAGAGTGCAAAGTCGGGCAGTGGGTTAAGTCGGGTGATATTCAGGGTGGCTCCACTCGAGTCCCGAGAGGAGAAGGAAGTCAGTTTCATTCGTTCCTTACAGGAGAGTGCAAACATGCACAGACGGACGCCTTTCCACTCGATGAGTGGGTGTGTCCCACCGTTGACCTTCGAGAGAAATAAGAGCCCAACCGAGATTAGGTTATTATTCCAATATCAATATTTGAGAGTTAAACACAAAATATAGGGACTGTGACCCATAATGAGCGGTGTGCTGTTGAGCTTGTCGGTGCTCACTGGTGGTCAAAGGAGACATTGTGTCTAAAAGGGCTCACACATATCTTGGGGTTTTAAAGATATTAGACATTATTTGGTTGGTACGTATGCCAGTAAATCTGTGATAAGCTGTTGTGGACGATGACACCGTCACGCACACTCAACCACGTATCTCACTTCATCGGTCAGTCATCTCATTGTCCTGTTTGCTGTGGAGCTTTTTCCTGTTTTATTATGAGGGGAAAAAAGTGCGGCTGAAATGATCAATCAGTTAGACAAACTTTATTACCCATTAAGTAATTTTTGAACAAAACCTAGTTTTCCAATGTTAATATAAGCTGTTTTTCTCCCCATTCTATGGATGTAAAATGTATGTATTTTCATTTTGTTAGTCAAACAAAAGAAATAATATTAATTATTAATTATAGTATATGTTGGTTAGAATAATAATCTTTTATTGCAGCTCTTGATTAACAATAAACAAACAAGTTGTAACTAGCATCTCTTTTATGACAAATATTTACCAACTCAAGGAACACACAATGATGCCTTTTAGGTTAGCGGCGCCGGTTAGCGGCGTTAGCGACCCACAACTGTCATGTGATGTTTAATAGCTGGAGACACGACCACATTAAGCTTTAAAAAAACAATCCGTCACAATGCAGCTGTTGTTGTGTTTTGAACGTGTTTGTTTCGCAGCTGACCACATGGCGACAATACGGGGTCGTTCTGTTTGTGCGAGTGCAAACCCTGTGTGATTCTCACGGCGCCTCTCATGGAGCGCGGCCCGCAGCAGGGGGCGGGCCGTTGACTCGTGGCCACGGGGCACGGGTCTCACATTAACGAGGGCGAGAGTCACGGCGGGCCGCTGACCCTCCATTTGATTATTTACACCCACGACGAGTCAAAGTCAGTTGACCGGATGTCGGCGCAAGACGAAAAAGTGCTGTGATCACAGAAGCATCATGGGTGTCGCACAAAATGACCCAACTTATGATATAATTCATTTTGAACCACAGTGGCGATATTCAGTTGTAAGACTTAAACATACATAAATGCGTGTGTTTTTTTATGTGCTGGGCTTTTTTTTTTTCCCTCCCTCCCCTCAGGATCTGGGGATATCGAAAGTGGGTCATATGAAGAGAATTCTCCAGGGAACTAAAGACCTGGCCAAGGCCTCTATGGTTGACCTTTAACCCCGGAGCAGACGCAACCCCGGAGAGGGGGAACACACTCTCCCCTCACATCAGTGGAAGAGTTTTGGCCTCACCGTCGGCAGCGAAGCTGAAGACACCTGTTGGAGGAGAGCAGAGAGCTTCTCTGTGATTGGTTGTTGACAAGAGAACGATGGTGTTTTCGTCCGCGCTTTGGTGCCAAAATGACAGTTTGAGAAAGCGGATTGAAACGCAAAAGGAATTCAAGGATCTCCCCACAAAAACGAAAACACACACACACAGAAAAGCCATTTCTACGTTAATAACCCTTCATAGCGCACGTTGCACAATCAGGTATGCAACTAGCCATCCGGTTGACTTGTTTGAGATGTGATAAAAAGCTTGTAGCAAAACCAGGACTTCCATGAGCGTGAGATTGAGCTTCGGGCGGATGAACGCGACGTTTGCTGCGGACGCATCGCAGCGGCCTTCGGCAGAAGATGGAGGCGTGGCATCTCAGTGTGGAAGCCGCGGTGTCTGAGAACAGTGGGATACTGTCGCATGCTGTGCTTGCTCGTCTTTAGAAATGTTTAGTTGCATGATAAGTGTCTTGGATTTTTCGGTTGTTGTTGTTTTTTTTGTCCGTGTGCAAAATAACACTTGAACAAGTTTTACATGACTTAAGTATTACGATGCCATTTGTTACTACTGAAAGCATCCTTTTTGGTCTAAATCCAGCTTTTTTTTGGCTTTAATTTATTTTGTTTGCATGATAATGACGTGTCAAAGATTTGTGTCAAGTGCCATATTTTCAGTAATTTACCGTAAAATGTGCTTTATTGGTAGAAGTCGTATATATTCTTTTCCTTTTCTTTTAAAGCAGTTGATGAGGTATGAATATTTTCATTCTACACCTTCTCTGTGGATGTGGAATCAGTACCAAAGCGAATGTCTAAGAAAGCATCGATGACTCTGTTCAGGTCGCACCTCTCAAATTGAAAAGGCCACCGGGTCTCGGTTCTGAGCTCCACGCGTGGATCTGAAGCCGACTGCGCCGGCTGTAGGGTCGCTGAAGTAAAACTTATAAAAAGGCACTTTCTACTTCTTGCTCCATGCAAGTGCAAGTACTCATATCATTACATAGAAGTAACGGTTCACCTCAACTTTCTAACTTTTGGCAATTTAGCACAGTGTTTAACAGTAACGAGAACAGCAGCTAGATATCGGGTTGAATATGTAGTAGAGCGGTTGATCTGCAGCCTGCTTCCTTCAACCGCGGCTTTCTTTTTATTCGTTGTTGTTTTCTTCCGATTAAAAGTGAGACGTTGATAGAGCACTACTTTGACTTGTTCGTTTAAGGCTGGTGGCATTACAGGGTATATTTCTATTTGTGATGCTAAGTTTGTATATACATATATGCACTGTATATATATACCGGTGTATGCAAACCATGTTTGTAAGTGTTGTAGTCTAACGCGTTTGTAGATGGCTGACATGGCATGCGTTGTCAACAGCTTACACATTTGATTGTGTATATTACACCATAACAATTGTGTTGTGTTGATTTTTGTCCTAATCTCTTGTACATGATAATGCTGTTGTATTCTAATGATGGTGCAATATTTTATCTCTTGTTTTGATACTGCCTTTGCAGATTCTGACATGATGTTTATAGTTGTGGGGGTGGACAGACGAGAAAGACGTTGAGAGAGAGAGAGAGAGAGAGAGAGAGGTTTTTTTTTTTTGTACACGTACTCTTCCCCGAGGTTTTGGGGATGAGATTTGAACAGTTGCGCTTTTTCTGATGGACATTTCTTCCAGCGGTTCACTTGTTTGTAGTTTCGCTCCTCTGTGCTTCCAAGACGATGCAGTAAAGTAGGATTTTGTCAGCGAATGAGTAGAATGGGCAGACATGACTGTTGCGTTTACACATAATATGTGTCACTATGTGTTTGTGCGAGTTGTCTACTACAAGAGTAGCATATCGTACCGTTATCAGCAATTGTGTATTTACTATTGCCAACTTATTTTATCACGTCACTACGAGTCTGATCATTTCCCGCCTTTGGAGAATAATGTGTTGCTTGTATGTTGGTTTTATTTCTGCCTTTCACCTTTAAGAGGATTTAGTCTAAATTATTTTCAAACTTTTTAATTTACTGAATATTGAGTGCAACATTTTAACATTTTCATCAGTCCTTCATTGAGGTATCCTAAATAATAATAGAATGATAGAGCGAATCTTTGTTTGATGACTCTAATGTCCCACCAGAGGGTGATGTGTGACATCTGCCCTCTACCCGCCCCTGACTCGCGCTGTCCCGGTGCATTGTGGGACTCACGCTGTCCCGGTGCATTGTGGGACTCACGCTGTCCCGGTGCATTGTGGGACTCACGCTGTCCCGGTGCATTGTGGGACTGACGCTGTCCCGGTGCATTGTGGGACTCACGTTGTCCCGGTGCATTGTGGGACTCACGTTGTCCCGGTGCATTGTGGGACTCACGTTGTCCCGGTGCATTGTGGGTCTCACGCTGTCTCAGTGCATTGTCACACTGCCCCGTTGCCGACAATCACGCGGGTCAGGCAGCTGCGTTCGGCGCCGTTAATTAATTGCACAAATGATTTAGCATATCAATCAAATTCCAATTCCCAGACAATTTTTTTTTATTTATTATAAATGAAGGGTGAATTTGTAGTTAATTACACTGTAGTTAACAGTTATTTTACTGTTAACTAACAATGAAATGATGTATCAATAATATTACTAATTATTATTTGTGCTACAATTTTGTTACTTTGTGTATTAAGAAATAATTTATATTGTATGGTAGCTAATAGATAAGAGATGATAAGTATACTATGGATAGTTTATTAATAGACACATTGTAAAATTGTAGGTGGCGCATTAAGTATTTCTTAATGTCATATTATCAAGTATTTGTAAATCATCTATAAATATTACATAAATAGATGGAGCAGAAAGCCATTAATGCAAATTGTATTAGCTAGTATTAGTATTAACTATCTGTCTACATAATGTTAAAAGATGCTTTACAATTTATTTATTAACAAAGTCATCTAAGCAAAGTTTTATTTTAATTCATAACATTTTACGATTGTAACAACAAACAATTAAATAACATAAATTATTGCATTATTAATAATAGGTCAACACTATCAATTACCATTGCATTATTTGTTAATAGTAAAATAACTATTAACTAAAGTAGAATTAACTACACATTTATTATTTACTAATGATGTTCATTATTGAGTCTTTTTCTCCACTGACTAGATCAGAACCATTTTCATCTGTTTGATGACTGTTGGCCTTTTGCTAGCCAGAATCTCTGGATTTAGATTCATTCCAAGTTGAAGCCTTTTTTAGGAACACGTGCTTTAAAGGAGCCGTAGAGTACGCAGCCTCGTTCCCGCGCTGCTCAGTGCGTTTTCAATTGAATCTCCAGTAGCTCCGTCCGTGTGTGTTTCTGTCACTCACGTGTCCCACGTGTCCGCTGGCTTCTCCAAGACTCGAGCGTTCGGGCCCCAGACTTCAGGCGAGAGAACGCTCGACCTTTCCGCACAGAGTGGAAGTAGCCACCGTTCTCCCTCGCTCTGTCTTTCAGTGATCTGTAAATAATGCTGCGAAACTGCCTGGTTTCCAAAAAACCAACGAAACCCATGCAAAGGATCCCTAAAAGATGGGATAACACGGGAGTCTCTGACGAGGTTGCTGAGGTGATGGGAGCAAAGTGAGTTTCATTTGTTTACATTATGTTTACAATGGCACAGTTTTAATTTTTAAGAATATATATGTAGGTATAAACAATATTTGCATATTTATTGCCTAAGGTTAAATGACATGGTGTGTATTGTGTTTTCACATTTGGAATATAATGTTACAGTTGTCACCTGTATTACTATCTGGATAATTTTGGTAAAGTAGTTTGATCATTTCTATGACTACTAAGCGACTGTTTTCTGTGCCTTTTTATGGTTAGAATGCATGGTTAACTATTTATTACAATTTGGAGTCACTGAGATGTGTATTTTTGTATTCTGAATAAATAAATGGTTCAGCTATTGTTGTACGTTTTTTAGGTGACTTAAAACAGGCTACCTATTCATATCTCTCTTCAATAAAACCAAATACATATGCAGTGAATCTCCGCCTCGTTCTGTTTTGATTTTACTATCAGCAAAATACTGCAATATATTGCGAAATATCTTAGGGATGCAATGCGTTCCAGCATTGATATTTAATCAGGCTTTTTCCTCTCTCAAATGAAAAAAGCATTCTGATCAAAGGGTCTCTAGTGTGTCTTAAGATAAAACAGAATGTGCCATTTCAAAGTTTCAAAAGCAAGTGTTGAATAGCTACATTGTGACATGAGCCTGTGGGCCGTCAGTGACATTTGAATTTATTTTGGATTGCTCACATCCTTGAGCATTTCTTCTCTGCTTGTATATGCTCTCATAGTCTTACAATATCCCTGTTCTGAACCAGTAATGTTTTTCACTTCATCTTCGGCAACATATTGTTTTATTCTCTGATCCATATCACCTCGGATTCACTAATTATCCCAAAACCCTCAACATTGTTCCCCCTGGAAGCAAAAACCCAATTGTAAAGCATATGTAGTCTGTCTCATTTCATCAGTAATCAAAAGTTACCAGGACGAGATTTTGCTCAAACTTATTCCTTCCTTATGAAGACAGTTGAACTACATGCAAATAAAATAAGTGAAAACATCTGTGATGGTAAGGAAATGAAAACACACCCTTTTAACATTCATCAGGCTTAAGTAAAAGAGATGTATTGTATTTCTAAATTCCTTTGGGCAATAACAACAAGAAAACAGTGTTGTTTTATATCCGTCCGCTAGGTTTTTAATGATTAGCCATTACCAAATGGTCAAGATGTCATTAACTTTGTTGGAGGCCACCTAAAAACACAGTTTTAAAATCTGCAGTGTGTGATCTCAAAATGTCGTCAATCATTTAGTAGACTATCTATAAACTGCTAACATTCTTTCCTTTCCAACAATTCAAAGGGAATTAAGTTCACTTTAATTTCCTTCTACACATTTTAGATGCAGGTTAAAGTTTTCTTATACATAACTACTAGTCACATAACTGGCTGCAGGCTGATGTGTAAATAACTAAATCACTAATTAATGTCACAAGAGCTTAGCATAAGCTATGCCAGTGATAAACCTGTGCACATTAAAAGCATCAATATATGTCTGTGGTGAATGCTTGTTGCAAGGAGCAAAGGGGGATCGTGCATAAAATAAAAAATACATTTAAATAGTAATAGCTTAAATGGATTCAATTATATATCATTTTATTTTGCATTACGCTACTGTAATATTTTCCAAATAAATCCTGAAGTTAAATAATAGACTTAAGAACCAATCAAAATGCCCCGTGGTTTGATTGTTCTGTGTTCGACAGTGACGGAGTGCGACACATATCGTTTTTTCGGCGTGCGATTGGTGATGCCTCAGCACTCTTGTTTTCATGGGAAAAGCGCTGTTCATCAGGGAATGGGGAATCCGCATCAATTATGAGAACCTGTGAAATCGAATCGTAAGGCGAACTTAGAATTTAGATCCGATTTTTAATCCAGGCTCACCGGTATTATTATTATAAGAATACTTTTTCACCCAGAGAAATGCTGAAAACTAGGTTAAGCTAACAAAAGCATCACGCCGTTTTCCCGTTAAATCACATTAACATCGCATGAATATAACTTCGCTTAACAACCACGGTTCAGTCACCTTTCACTGTACAACTGCAATAACCAAAGCATCGTCATCATTTGGGAAAACCAGGGCGGTCGAATCGTCGCATCTCGTCCGTCGCGTTACCGTCTGAGAGAGGAGTTTCAGAACGGACGAATCGTTTACGGACGGCGCATCGAAACACGGCGGCTACCGTCAACCGCTGCTGGAGTCCCGACGCCGAGCGGCGAGGCTAGCACCACTTCCCCACGGCGCGCGGCTATGCTCGGCACGGACAGATAGGACCACAGGTTGCTGCCGGTTCAGGTATTTGAATCTTATCTTCAGCGCTGTCGTTAGCTTGGTGGCTCGTTGCGAGCTAACGGCGTCGGCACGGACCGAGCCGCTCGCGGCCTGGTTCCGCCGCTAGCTCCGGGTGATTGACAGCTTGTCAGCTCGAAGCAGGCGGGTTCAGTTTGACGGCGGTCTTCGTTTTTTTCGCTGTCGTTTTATTTTGTTTGTTGTTGTTTTTCCTCCCACGCACGTTGCGTCGGGAAGTGATTTATTATTGTCTCGCCGTCCAGAGACGTGTGTGTGTGTTTGTTAGCCTCCTGCAGGGGGGACCAGGACCAGGACCAGAACCACCCCGACGAGCCGTAACATCAGAGGGCCAGTCCTGCTCGGGGTCATTTCACGGGTGTTAAAGGTGGTCTGGGGGCGCAGACTGGCCTGTCACGTGATACGCTGGAGGTTATGCTTGTTGTGTAGCGGGTCGTCAACGTCAACAAATCGTGTTGTGTTACGTCACGTTGCTTCAATCTGACAGTGGTCTGTTAAAACATGATGCATATTAAATGGTGCGTGCAGCAGGGCCCAGAGAGACCAGCGGGGACACACACACACACACACACACACACACACACATTTGCTGGTGTGAATAATAAAATGAATAACCGGTAAATCCTGTTTCTCTGTGTCCGTTTTGGATTCCCCGTATCGCTGGTCCACTTCCACGAACGGAGCCTTTTGTTAACGTTATTGGTAACACCTGCGGTGCCGTTCCTACAATAACAGGCCGACGTCGCAATGAGTCATCGTTCCAAAGGGCTTCAGATGAAGTGACCTCCGGGACGGAGCGTCTCCTGCGAATCCAGCACCACATCCCTGGAACTGGTCAACCAAACAAATGACCAGTTGACCAATCGGAACAAGTTGTATATTTGGGTGTGGAGTGAGTCTCTCTCACGTCTTCCAGGCTGTGCTTGTCTCTCTCCAGTTCTGTTTATCCGGCCACCCACACTTGGTCTCCGTACTAGTTGGCCCACATCAGCTCCGAAAGCAAACAGGATTTTTAGACTACACAGTTTCTTGTTTTGCCGTCGCCCTCCTAAGATGATGACAAACAGCGGTTTTGAATCGGGGATCTGCTCAGCTTCAATGCAGCTTCCCTTAAACAATCACAATTACTTTCATGAGCCCTCGAGGATTTGTTCAAGCCGAGACCTAATTGCAGCCTTTCCGTAATATGACTAATACCGAATACTTGTTGCGTTATGCGAACACATCCGCCGCAGAAGTCGGCGATTGAAGCCAATTGATTTGATTCTCAAATGGCGTACCACTAAATACTAAAGTGTTCACCTAAGATGAACCATCCCAGGCTTGAAAAAAAAAAAAAAAAAAGGAAAAGCAGATTACTACTTTCACGTTGTTCATCCCTGTTCCAGATAGCCACAGACATAATAGACGCCATTGTGCCCGCTTGTCTTGTGAGCGATATCGGCATGTGCTGCATACTCGCGGTGAGGCGGCAGCAGCAGCTGCCCGTGTTGTTTTTGCGCAGCCTAGCAAAGTGTCCATGGGAAGCTCTGCAGAGGTCGATGGGACCGCCTGCCTGCCGTCTAGACTCCTCTGGCTGCTTTGGACCGTACCTCAAAGGGGAGGCTTGGATTTCTTGGGAAATTTTTGCTTCTTGTTCACTGTAAATAATATTTTGCCTCCCTGTACCCGCTCTCTCGTGCTGAGTGTGTTTGCACGGCTCAGTCACAGCGCACACGCCCCTGTTCCCTTTGCCTCGCTGTTTGATCTTTGATGCGGGCCGTGGATGTTTTAAAGAATATCAAAGAAGCGAGCTCTTCTGTAGCTTATCTTCACCAGCAGGACAAGTCCAGGCCCACTTTGTAGAACTTCGGGTTATATAGACACCGGTTCGAAGACAACATGGTCTGCAAGACCAGCTGTATAATTCCTCCAAAAAGTTGACAAAGCACAAGGTCAACTGCATTGCCTCCTCACGTTTGTCAATCGCGTCCACAGGCTTGGTCCCATTGATCCCACTTGTTGGTTCAATGAATTAGTGAAATGCAGTAGCTCTTTGTTGCATGTGAACCAGCGACTCATCATCATCGTGCTCCCTGTTTAGTGACGGAGGGACACGGCGGGATCTCTCTTTGTGTGCCCACAGCACTGAACACGTCACTGCTTCGTCATGTGATCCGTTGCCGGGGGGTGCGGCGGCGATGGGGATCTCGCGTTTCTTGCTGAGGATTCGTTGATTGATGGATTTCTCCTCCTCCCCGTGCTCCCTTTCTCCTTTCAGGTGGGCCGCCCGTCAGCCAGCCACGTTCAGCTCTCCGTTGCTATGGACGCCTGCGCACGTATTCGAGGAGTCCCCATAAGGTCCAGGGCGTCGGTCCGGAGAGAGGTGCGTCCGCTGGGATGCTGCGTTCTATTCTGATTCTTTATGGCTGCCACGACGTCGGCCAAATGCCTCTCATCCTTCGTACACATGTGTATTCTGTTATTTGTGTTGGGCTTACTAACGCGGCGTGTGTTTGCAGACTGTGCGTGACGGCGGGCCGCAGTGGGTGAAGAGCCTCTTTAGGAACAAGAAGGAGCTCTGCGGCGTCGGCGTCGAGCTGCCGATCAGAGACGCCGCGAGGCTGATCGAGGTTTGTCCCACAGACGGCAGTGAAAACGCGTGCCGAGCGTGGTCGTGATGAACGCTGACCATCACATGTGTTCTTTCAGATTCATTTTGTGTGTCTGCCTGGCCAATGTGAAGGGGATGATGTCACCCAGCAGGTAGGCTTTCATAACTACAACCCGTGAGTTCCAAAAGTCGTACTGATGCAATTCTGATGTGGTACCGATGGTCAGAGGCGGTGCAGAAAATCATTTCTTCTCTGTGATTTTGTGTCTTCTTCTTCTTCCTCAGGCTCTGTTTTCTATGCCAGGGGGGCTGTGCGAGCTCCTGAGGTCCCTTCACGTTCACAGCCTCAAAAACGACGAGGTTGTGCTGCTCAAGGACTCCCGCAGGCTGGCTGAGCACAAGGACGCTGGGCCTCAGGTAGGGGACAGATCTTTCATATGGGAGGAATGTGCTCGGCCAGCGTGTTGAGTACAGCGGAAGTGGGCAAAGAGGCATGGAAGTTGCATGGAGAGCAAAGAGGAAGTATCCTCATTTTCTTTACTTAATAAAGAGGGAATACTTCCATAGACTTGGTTCGTGTTTCAATAATTTATATTGAAAATTTTCAATTCCGCTAAATTTAGGGTCACTCAACAAGTGCTGGTGAAATAAGACCTGAAATTAAAGATATCCAACCCTCTTGTCTAATATCAATTAGATTTTTCGAGTAGACTTACATCTTTTCCTGTGTGGGACATTTTTGTTGTCTCTCTGAAATTCTTGCATTTGACGGCTAAATGGTTTCCCCACATTCATGGCCGTGTCCGTCCCGCCGTGTAAACGGACACGCCGAGTCGTTCTCAGGCTTTTGAAGAAGTGCACGTGGGAAATTTTTCCAGCCCACTCCTGCAGGCTTGTCCTTCCTGGTCTTGTGTGCGGTGCAGTACACACACACACACGCACACACAGCTTTTAGACAGTGAGACCTCCCACCTATCTGCAGCAGGGAGTGGGCTTGCACAAGTCACAGATTGACTGACAATCAGAGTACAGACATAAGAATCCACTATCGGCCCTTCTCCAGCCTCCCGTAAGAGTGGGGTGAGGAAATCCCCATGTGAATGCAGTTTAATTTGCTACGATCTTTCACAACAATCATCATCATCATCATCCATGCAGGACATGGTCATTACCTTCTTAATACAAGGTGCCCTAGAGCAAGGCACCAGACGCTCGACTGCTTGCCGGGCGCTTCATAGTAGTTTCCGCCTACTCCTCCTCATACTAGATGGGTTAAATGCAGAGGCTTAATTTCACTGTGCTGTGTGACAATGCAGGTTGACTTAATTGAAATCACCGGGCTTAAAGTATTTCACTCTCTTCACTTTGCTGCACCTTCAGTGTTGGTTGAAGGCCGTGTGTGTGCTGAGGCACAATCCCAACACCAGCGTCCACCCTCAAGCCACTGTGGCGTCTTTGGTGGGCTTGCTCGGCGGCTACATGGCCGGCGTGCGCTACGCTCTGGAGCTGCAGGCTCTGCAGCGGGGCGCGGCTGGGCCCGGTCAGCCGGAGGAAGACGACACCAACCAGTCGGTCTCATCCATCGAGGACGACTTTGTCACGGCCCTGGAGCATCTGGAGGAGGACGACACCGGAGACAATCCCTGTAGGTCGAACACCTAAGTAGCCCCAGGTCTCTTATGTAGACTGTAGGTAGCAACGTCTGTTTATTATACCTCCCTAATCTACAATTAAAAGCTGGAAACATTTTTAGTTGTGTCAGATCAGGGTTAGTTGGCACTCGCATGTTGTTGTTTTTTCTAGTTGGCATGCACTTTTCTATCGTTCTATCTTATTTAAACGGGCTCAATGGGTATGCATGTTTTAGTCGTCTTTATTTGGTGCTGACATATTTATTTTATTTTCATCGCCACAGCTGCAGCTTCCTATCCCCATTTGAAAAAGCGTGATGTGGCTTCACAGACTGTCCCGGCCCACAAGAGAAAAAAGGAATTATCAGGCGCCCGCATCATCATCAGCTCCTCCTCGAAGAACAATTTGGGCAAACTTACTACTGGTCCTGACGTGTCCGTCACGGTGCAGAAGTCATCGTGCGTAGAATCTCAATGGACTTACTGCAGTCCCGGAGCTCGGCGCCCCTCCCCTTCGATGAATGCCAGTGATTCGGAAGACTCCGACTGCTCCAGCCCCAGTCCAATCATCTTCCTCGACGAAGTGGGCTACCAGAAGAGCCTACTGGCCAAGCTGGACATCCCCCAGGTTCCAGGGGGGCCCAGCGATCGAGTTGAAGACTCCGACTCTGAAGTCAGTGAATTCTTCGACAGCTTTGACCAGTTTGACGACCCTGAAGAGCTCAGCTCGGACAACTGCACTCTCGCTCTGCCTCTGGATGCCGTCAGTGCCCCGACGGCCCAGAAGCAGACCGGTCGCTCGGCATCCAAGTATGTTTCCAGGGGCTGCTCCACCAAAGGAATGAATCCTCACCGCTTCGACCAGCCCACTCTCCCAGCCAATGTGAAAAAGCCGACGCCTCTGAAACCGGGCTCTCCTTACTCCCTTCACTCTGAGGTGCCCGACTCCCCTCGACCGGTTCAGACCCCCTCTGAGGAGAACAGCGGCCCGCTCTTCAGCCCTGTCAGCTCCTCGGCCTTCAGCCCCCTGGTGGACTTGAGCAGCCCGCTGGAATACTTCTGGAAGGCGGATGAGGATGGATTGGATAGCTCAGAGCTGCGTAAACCCCAGGACCTCTGCTCTCTGTATAAGACCTACTCAGACTTTGCGAGCAGTCTCTCCAAAGAAATTCTGGGGTCCGTGTGTGGCTACCAGTCCGCCGTCGACATCAGTGACAACAAGAATCTGAGCTGCGTCTGCCACAAGGAGTTCCAGAACCCGTCGGGCTACCTAATGAAGCTCTCAGAAATACAAGAGACTGTCACGGTGGCCACGCTGCAGAAGAAGTCCCAGTCTCTGAAGGATGGCATTCAGAGGTTTGCCACTGACCTGGTGGAGATGAGCTTGGGCAGCGCGTTGCGAGACCTCCAAAAAGGTGTTTCCTCCTGCACCACCACCTTGTGTCACCTGGCTGCCAGGCTCACCTCCTCGGTGTTTCAAATGGCCTTCCATGAGATTGGCATGCGCCATGCTTACGTGTTAAAAGAGCGGGCAATCAACGGATTGGCCGGCTTCCTGGTCGGAGAAGCTGTGTCTGGGGCGCTGAAGGATTTCCTGACGGTGAAGAAGCAGATCTTCCACAACACTGTGACATGTTTTGCTGCAGATCTGGCAGAAGAGCTGGTGTTTGAAGGCATTATGGAAGTGTGTCAGTTCTCCCACCCTTCAACCCCTCTCACCCCGAGCGATTGGTCCTTTGGCCAGAGGGAAGGGGAGGAGGAGGAGGAAGAAGAAGAAGAAGGAGAAGAAGTTGTTTCCTCGTATGCCTCAGACTTGTCTGAGTCTGTTATCCAAGAGGCCTTCATAGAGCTGTCTCAGGCCGATGTTGCCTTCACCAGCCAAGCGGCTATTAGTGTGTCTTTGGACAACATCTGTTATGTTAGTGCAGAGAACGGTGGCGCCCAAACCTGCAGTACCTTTGCTAACCAGCAGGTTTTAAGTTCCAGCTCAGCTGCAGCGGTTCCCGGGCCCTCGGGAGAGGATGCCACCTGCACGGTGAAGAAAGCCCTGTTCACTGTATCGGGCATGGCTAGCTGCATTCCTGTGCCCGAAGCAGGCGAAGCCCTCTCCCACCTCCAGGATTCTGAGGAGACCGGTCCGTCCAGCTCGTCAGATATCCAACCGGTCAGCCCCAAAAGAGGAGCCGTATCTTCCTCTGACACCAACACATCGGCCCAAACGTACCTTTCCAGTCACGGAACGCAGACCCCCACACCTGGAGAAGAACCCTCCCAAGGAAAGTCTCCATTCCAAAACTTCTCTGGCAACATGGTGGATTTGATAGTAACTGAGGCTTGTGAGCTTATAACTGCATCTAAGATGAAGAAGAGTTTTGGTGACTGTGCGGATTTCTTTACAAAGACCATCAAAAGCAGAAGGGACTCTTCTACTAAGCCAGAGACGTTTAATTATGAGGCTACAGATTCCCCTTCCAAGCAGGCAGCCGGCTTCAGACATGACTGCAGAGATTCTGGCTACGTTAGGTTGGGTGGACCTGTTGTCCCAGCAACAGATCATGGCATTCCCCACATTTCTTTTCAGGCAGGCTCTCAAAGCCAGAGGAGACGCAGCTGTGAGGCGGAGCCCAGGACCAGAGGTGCAGAGATGCAGCCTGTGATGATGCACACTCTTGACGTGCCAGGTACCGAGACGGTCGGACAAAGGAGGGTATCTGTTGCCGGAGATGACTCGGCTCTGCGCTCTGGGCAAAAATCCGGCGGCACTCCCGGCACTCCCCCTTCTACCCCTCAGCAGCCCAGCGAGGTGTCCAAGGAGAGACAGATAAAGCGGTTCTCCAAGAAGCTGAAAAGCAAGCTGGCTAATGAATTTTCTCCTGCTACCCCCCCACCTACTCCTCACGATCAGTCTGAGCCTGGCCCAGGACCAAAGGACGGAACTCCCGAGGAAGACAAGGCCGAGTTCATGCTCAAACTGATGAGGTCTCTCAGTGAGGAGGCCGACGGCAATGAAGATGAAGAGGAGGAAGAGGTGGCAGAAGAGGGCCGTGTTGAAGGCACTAACAGATGTTTAGAGTCGGGGGGTGGCCGCCATGAACTGAACCCGATGTCTGCTCGCAGAATGTCCAACAAGGAAGCCCTCCACTATGCTGAGCGGTTGGCTTGCCACATTGTCTCCATGGCAACAGAGATGGACACCCTGGGAGTGGCAGAGGAGGAGGGAGGGGCGAGCAAAGGCGGCGAGCAGAGGAGGGACAGCGTGGCTCAGTTCTCAGAGCAGACCCTGAACACCTTGTGGGTCTATGCCGGGGAGGTGGCGGGGGGGGTCATCAACGACGTGAAGAGGATGGTGCGCTCTACACAGCAGTGTCCCTATCACAGAAGGAGAAGCTTTGACAGAGCTTGTTCTGAGTGTTTGCACCAACACCAGTCTCAGCCCAGTAGAGACCAGAGCAAAGACTGCAGGGTGGGCAGGCTGGCCGAGCAATGGTCTCATGAGCTCGTAGCCTCCGTCTACCGGTCTCCCACCTCCACTTCGAGCACCGCGTCCAGCTCCAGCTCAGGCCTTTCTTCCGAGTATCCTAGCTGCGAGAGTGTGACCGATGAATATGCCGGCTACCTCATCAGGGTGCTGAAGAAAGAGGGAGGCAGCAGAGAGTTGGTCCTGGACCACTATGCGAGCCGTTTGGCTTACCGCTCCATAAAACTGGGCTTGGCTCATGCCAGTCGCAAGATCAAGCAGAGATCCTCCAGCGCCCGCCTTCACTCGTCCAGGTCGCTGCCAGATGAATGGAAGGCCTCTGGTTGTGAGACATTTCCACCCAAGGATAGAGCCGAGTCGGTGGTTTCTCCCCCGGGAAAAGATGCGCAGTGTATCTGCAAGGACTCTGAAGAGCAGAGTCAGAGGGAGTACCTGGACCTGGTCAACTTCGCAGAGTCCTTGGCCTACAACATCACCTGTGATGTGACACGCAAGCTGCATCTTTCCTCCGCACGGCTGCCCAAGTCTCTCACCGACTCTTGTCTGTACAAGAGATCCAAGCTGGAAGACATGGCAGAGAATCTCGTCAGGAACTCCTTCTCTTGCCCCCTGTTGTCTAAGGAGGGGAAGGGCAGGCATTACCACAGTACAGGAAGCCTGTACGACGGGGGCCACAGGAGTCGGGTGATGCAGGTCATCGAGCACTATGCCAGGAAAATAGTTGACGACACTCTGAAGATGAGCCTATCTTCGGCTGGACTTTTGTCCCGGGAGCACCAGAGGACCCAAGGCCCGGACGGACACTCTCACACCCAGAGGTCGTCTGAGGGGCCCTCACTCGGCCACGCGATGGTAGAGAGGACATGCCGCTATTGTCAGGTCCAGGAGTGCCCGTACTGCACCAAGCACAGCAGGCGGCCCCGCCAGCTCGCCGTGCAGAGGAGCAAAAGGGGGCCAGAATGTCAGGCGAGGGCCGAGCGCCTCTCTGGCCTGGAGATTCCCAAGATCCACATTGACCGGGACCGCAGGGCAGTGTTCGCAGAGGGGATGGTTTCCATGGCAATGGACACGGCCAAGCGTGAGCTGAGCAACACCAGCCTCAATGCCGACAGCGGCATTGGCCACGATGGGACCAGCTACGCCGAGAGCCTGACGGCCGAAATCATGACGTCGGCCCTGACCAACGTCTGCCAGACCGGCAACATCAGGTGACCACATCACAAGATTCACGTTGTGGCGTACAGGCCTTTTCAATGATAAATCAAAAGAAGATGGTACAGATTTACTTCTTACCTGGCATTTGAATACACCATTTTGTATTTATTTGGGCCGTTTAGCTTCACAGGGAGGGAAGCCACTGAGTCCTCCGTGTCCCAGCAGCTGAGCGTAGGAGACGACAGTCTGGGCAGCTGGTCCAACCTGAGCTTCGAGGATGAGCACCTGGACGACAACAGCAGCTTCCTCCACCTCAGTGACAGGTATACAAGCACCGGCCGTCTCGTACACAGCACACCGAATGTCCCCTTCGGCTGAAGAGCACGATGCTGTTGACCCCCCTTCTGTCAATGTTTCTCTGCAGTAATGAAAAAATGGATGCACTTTGCAGATTGCCACAAGCTGAGCCATGTATCTAATCAAGATGTATATGTGTGTGGATCTGGTAAATGCTGTAATACGTCTTCTATTACACTTCTGCTTCCAGCAACACTAACACAACTTATTTAGTGCTTACCGGGATGTTAAACGCATAGTTTTTTTTTTAACATGGTTAAAATTAAATGACCATCTCTGTCTTTCCATCTTGTTTTTATTTATGGTAGTTAGACATCCACACAAGCGTAATGATGAATGAACAAGGTAGGACCTCTACAGCTTTGTATTCCGCTTGCTTTCCCAGAGCATTTCTTTTTCCAACATGAATTTGAAACCCATTGTGTAGAAGTACACGGAGCTGTGGAAAAGCCCGGTTGAATTCTCCCAGGAAAGGGCTGACGTGGGTTGGATAGTTCAGTTGGAGGCAGTAGAATCTATTCCTGTGCCGTTATGGGCGAGGGATTTAAGGAATGAGGTTATCTTTGTAGTCATGCCGCGTCAATTTGTGCCGTTCATCTCCCCAGACCCGTGGTGCAGAAACACTGCTTTCTTGCTGGTGTTGGACATCACACGTCTCCTGTGGTGTTGTCTATATGGGATGTTCCCAAGGTCAGCACAGGGCGCTGTTTGCTAACCTCATTTAGACCTCTCTGCCAAAATGCAATTTTCTCTAATTTGCGATATCAGTTGTTCTCAGCATGTTTGTGAAACACACCACGGGGTTAAGCACCAAGTAGAAGTTGTAACAGAATGGGCCTTTTATCTTCTCTGATGGACACTGAATGTATGTATGCAGGAAAACAGGATGTGAGTGGGACTGAGTGAAGGACACCCAGCCTCCGGGAGGCGCGCTGTTGACATTTCTGGGAGAGGTTGACGTCTCTATGGAAGCAAAACTGACAACATTGTAGATTCTTTCCCACGATCCCGAAAGAACGTAATGTGTTAGCACCTTGTTATTTTTTTGCCATCGGGGCCAAGCTAATGCATCATTCTGTTTTCTAAAGGTGTGTCTTTTGAGTGCTCTCATCATTCAGCCAGTGTTTCTGCAGGAACAAAGTCCGCCATGTGCAGTTCATTAGTCTCCCTTCAAAGCGCCTGCTGCACCCGTATCTGCACGGCAGATGAGAAAACACCTCGAAGGTCTCGCTGATACACTGAGAAATGAAAACAAACTCTCCCTATGTGTCATTCGCTCAAACCACGGAGAGAAAGCTGTAGCTGAGGTCATGCATTTAACAGAAGGTATTTATAGGTATTACAAACTGAAGAGCGCTGCACGCCGTGCGGCCTGCAGGTTCCGCCCAGCCGGCTAATCGTTGACTCACCACAGATTGTGCGTGTTGTTGTTGTGCTGCTTCTGGTGCCAGGTTGATTGTCCGGGGGCCGAGCCCTCGGCATCAACCGTAATTGCGCGAGGGCGAGAATGTAATGATCTCACGTGCAAGTCAACCTCACAGGTGATTCAGTGGAAGAATGAGCGGGAAGCCCGTGTCACCGCGGTGCCGTTACCTGCCTTCTCTCTCCAGCAGCAATGGGAACAGCAGCAGCTGGAGCAGTCTGGGCCTGGAGGGGGAGGCGTGTGAGGAGCGCATGTCCTTCTCTCCCTCTGACAGGTTGGTCGGCAACCTTTTTTAAGAAAAAGACAACACCCGTAAGACGAGGGGGGTTCACCCACAACGGGACAAAGAGAGAAACAAGTTGATTCACTGTATTTACTATGAAGCAACATTCAAGCGGATCCATCGTGTCCGCACACAATTGGAACCAGGAAACCGCTTCATCATGTGAAAAATGATTTGGAAGATGGCACAATGGCCTTTTGATTCCTACTTTGTCTCATCCTGGGAACCACCAGCGGCTTGCATGACCACCGCGCTCTGTAGACGTCGATAGTCGGGCTGACATGGCGTATGCTTCTTGTTTGTCTGCATGCAATGCGCCTCAGCTTGTTCTGCAATGCTTTCGTGTCATTTTCTTTTTTCAATGGAATCATTTGTAGGTCTGTCATATTCAGTGGCCCGTGTCATCTTTGCATTGATACTGCGGCGTTGACGCATTAAATCCAAACTCTCAACCGCTTCTAAAAATCCCATTTTGTTTTCTCAGGCTGGCGGTTGTGATTTATGCTTCCATCCAGGCAGCCACTTGTTTTTCGGCTCGTAGGAACTCGTCACGTCACATTTGAGTTTAAAAAGTACTTCATTTAGCAATCCTTCCAAAGCAAAAAGCAGGTTTTCTTTAAAGGTGTGATGTGTAACATCTGGCCAGATTTATACTTTAAACTACCATTCAAAGAGAGAGAGTGAAGACTAAAACACGTTGCACCTTTTATTACACATAAGGTTTTATTTTTGATGCACCAACAAGGCCATCAACACCTGCACGGTCGTCCCTCACAATGGATCCCCTATGCGAAGTGAGGATTTCATGCATTCAGCACGAAGGATCGGTTCAGAACCGGCCATTAGGTGGCAGCTTTCCCACAGATTCAGAGCTGGTTTTATTCAACTTTCATTCAAACAAATTGCGATTAGTTGCCAGTTGCAACAAATGGCCGTAGATGAGAGGTGAGGCTGAAATGACTCTGGTCGCTAGCGTGTCTCTTAGCTTTAGTCGCTCCGCTCTTCTGCTTCGACAAAACCAAACACTGCTTTATGAGCCTATTCATAAAACCAGTGTCCTCTCTGGAAACGGAGGGATTTCCTTCGATCATATTGAGCGGTAAAGTAAACACGTCGCGTGCTGCGTCAACAACACTGTGATTAAGAATCTTATAAAAGTAGAGCGATGACTGTTCGCACGTCACACAGCAAACATTTGCACCTTTTGGAAAAAGCCACATCGCCCTGATCCAAGTGTCCTTAGTCCGAAAAAGGAACTACTGGCATGTCGAAATAACGATGTGAGACGTGTCTCCCTCTGCTTGTGGTTGCTATGACTACGCCGCATGTTGCCCCGTCGGCTCGCGCGCGTCTTTGCCTTTGCCGTCTGCCTGCATGCGGCCTCGTGTCCCCGGCCCCTTGTTCTCGTCTCACTAACCTGTGTGACATTTCCCCCCCCCAACAGCGACCACGCAGAGGACAAGGAGGCCGAGGTCAAAGAGGAATCCAGCGGTAAGGGCGCTTTATCGCCGTTAAATTCACTCAAAACCGTTTGTCCAAGAGTCCAAGTGGAAACGTTTGACGTTTTCTTCCGGGAGAGTAGGCGGATATAGGGAAGAGCCCCCCCCCCCCCCACCCCCGAACCACTCTTTCCTCTCTTTGAGAATGAGAACAGTCGGGGTTAATTCTGTCTGAGTGCGTTGGAGCCGGGGGTTTTACCGCCCCCGTGTTCAGACACACTAAGGCTCATTCAAACACTCCACTCCCTGCGTCAGTCAGCCATGTGTCTGTCTGCGAAACCCAGTTTGGGGGGGGCACTGTCAGGAAAAGAGAAGCAAAGGGGCGCTACATACATCACTTCTAGTAATCGGCTGGTTTCAGTCTCTTAAGACACAGAATAAATCTCATGGAAATTGCGTTTTCATCTTGATCAGCGCGTGTTCCCTCCTGCTGCAGGGACTCTCTGCGTGGACCGGACTCAGGTGGCGCCCCCCAGGACCGCGCTGCTCGTAGTGAACTCCGATGTCAGGGAGTCGGGGCGCGGCCCTCAACACCTGACCCTTGACCCCCAGCTCAGGAGCATGCTGCAGTGGGTGGCGGCCTCCATGGCCGACATCCCCCTGATCCAGCTGGGTCCCGACAGAGAGCTCCAGCAGGTGATTGGCCCGTTGTTGCCCCCCCCCCCCCCCCCTCCGGTGGGCTTTGTTATCAACCAGTTATATAATGCACCACAGTGCCTGGTCCCCGGCATTTATTTCAAACCAGTTGAGCTCGTTCACAGGTAACTGCTGTCGATTACCTTAAATTCTCTGGCTCACGTTCACACAGAATCTTTTAAGGTTACATCGAGAGTAAGTAAAGTAAAGTAAACTTCAGCCCGTATGACGTCGTATCGCTTCGATTTGACTGGTTTCCACACACACATTCTTCCAAATCCAAATAAGGTCGTCTGCCCTCTATGTGTAGAAATAGAACATGTAGAAGAATTGAAAAACCCTCTTGATTAGCCGACAAGCTACACAAGGCGGCTCCACTACTATCTCGTATCTCCGCTTTATCAGAGAGGGCAGATTAGAGTCCATCACACATTACCCATATCCCAGTTCTCGGCAGTGTGCAATACTCATAAATCTAAATTAGTATTGATAAGCGGCGCGTCTTTTTGATCATCAAAGTCACCGCGTGATAACCGCCTGCCCTTTCAGCTGCCAGCGGTGATCCAAAGGCTTCGGGAGAGGAAGTGGAGGGCGGGGGAGCTGCTGCACACGCTGCTGCGCTACTGCGAGGAGGCCCAGACGCACGCCCAGCCCCCGGCCAGAGACGAGGCGCCGCAGACGGGCAGGGAGCCTCACCGCGTCCCCCTCTTCCAGTGGCTCCTGGAGCACGCCTAGGTCCTCGTCTCCTTTCCTCTCTCCTCGGTGCCAATCAGTGGCGTCGCAAACTCCACGGCCGCTAGAGGGCGCCGCACAAGTCTACTAACCCGTTGCTGCCCCGGCGAAAGTGGGCGGCGTGTGTTGTGCGTTGCATGCAGTGACCGCCAGTACCTCCGTCGTGTTACGCTTTCCGTTCCGCCCTCGGGTTTTTCGTTGTTTCCTATCCATTATTTATCGGGCCGCGTAGATCTTGTGTGGACTTATGAGCCGTCTCCCCCCGCCCGCCATCACGTCTGAACTGAAGCCCTCACACCTTGCTGCCATCGTGCTTGAGCTGCGCACACACACACACACACACACATACACACACACACATCCTAACTGTTCCAGACAGAACGTTGAGAGACAGAAAATGTCTTTTGTTAAGGAATCCCCGTAGCTGCTGGTCAGATGATGTCATCACCCACAGCTCACCTCCGGGGTTTACACATGTTGAGAGCCCATCTGTGTGTTCTCACACACACACACACACACACACACGCATTATCAAAGGGAAGCCGACACCCACAGTTGTGCATTAGTATTCCGTTTTGGTATTAATCAATCACTCGGTCGCGGTCCGGTCCGCTTCAGTGACGTTGTTTCTCCGGTGACTCGTCACGCTGAACCCATATCTCCAGTATCTCCGCCGATGATCACATGGGGGAGTCATTCGGCGGTTGAATGATGATTAACTCTCGGTGAAGTCGCCATTATCGGTACTGCTGTTGTATCGAATGTCTCTGACGCTGCTCGCCGTGACGGTTTGTATCAGATGGGCGTTTCTGAAGACGGAGTGCGTCTACATCCAACATGAAATGCTGCTCGACGCTGTGGAAACAAGAAAAGGCCGTTCTTATCTGCGTGATGTAGCTTACAAGGTGGATTCACCGCCCCCAAATCCCCCCCCCAGGGAAGATCCAGTGACGCAGACGCTGGATCTTTTGAGTAATCAAAGTCGTCTCCACAACCACAAACTTAACAGCGTGTGCGTAGCTCTGAATGAGTCGGGTCCCAAAACTTCCACACAGCGCTTGAACGCCCCCCAAGCGGTTTTCTGCCCCCCCACCCCATAGTAAATTAAGAGCCCTTTTTAATTTTTTCCCCTCTTGGGCCCTTAAAAAATCCCCCCCCCCCCCCCCCCCCCCCCGGGCATGCATAGGCTGCAGTCCGCTAGCGCGCGTGCACTGAAGAGAGATCGTCGGGACACGTTTTCATGGTTGCTATTTATTTATTATTCTGTTTAACTCCGGGATGACGCAATGCTTCGATGTCCTGAAAGCTCAAATCAGCCCCCCGTCCCCTGTTTCTTCCCCCCCGCTTTGAGTTTAAAACACTGTAATATACCACGTTGCTCATCGGTTAAATCTAACGTAAGTGTCGTTGGTGGGGCTCCTCCAGCTGAGCTCCTCTATGTATTAGCTTACACTCCCTGCGCCCGCCGGGTTCTGTCGTGCGTGTCACGCTTCCGGGGCCTCTGCAGACTCCCACCCCCCCCCCCCCTCCATGCTGCTTCATCTGCAGCCCGCCAAGCGGTCGTATACTCTTAAAGGTTTAAAGGTGTTTGCGCTGTATCATTTGTTTACATGCAACAATTATTCACAAAATCCACGATTTGAGAAGAAGAAGAGTATTATCCTGAGAAGAGAGTGCGCCTCCATCTTGGTTTACGTGACTGGAATGTATTAAGATTCATCACCTGACGACCGAGCGCGTCAGTGAAGTCCAGTTCTCTCCCGGTGGGAATGTGTAGTTATTGAAGTAGGACTTTCCCTGGTTCCTTTTCTGTTTTTTTTTTTTTTTTTTTAGTTATTCAGCCCCTTGTTTTTCTGTCTTTACATTCCCGCATTGCCTCTGTGTTGATGTGCTTGTGAAAGCTGATCATTTAGAAGCAGATGCTGTTGATCTGTTTTGCTATATTCGTCCCCAGTGTTACTTTCTGACCGCGGACAGGAAAAAAAAAAAAAGAGAGATCTCACCTCCACTCACTTGTGTATTTCTCCTGCTTCCTTAAACCCCGCCAAATGAAGCTATTTAATAAATTATATAAGTTATATATCAGTGGGTTCACTACTTGTTCTCCTTAGTGGCATTGCTGAAGCTTGAAGTCAAAACCTCTAAATCTGTTTATGTTGAAGCTTGGTGTGACAATAAAGCTGTTTTGTGCTCTTATTTATTGTGTATCCATATTGTTGATTCAAGGTGTGGCGTTGCTCATAAAGGTCGTCATGTTGCAAAGGAGGGAAATTTAATCTGTTCTTGTTTAGCAAAAGGAAATCAAATAGTTTTGGTTAGAAGAGTAAATGGTTGATTAGAAAGAAAAGACAATTAATACGGTACTTAACTAATTATTTAATACATTTTTCTTTTTGCTCATTTTTAAAGAGTGATTATTTTTTTCATTTAGTACATTTTCAATATTTGGAGAAAAAAATAACATGTCCAAAGTCCAAATACAAAAAATTGCAAAAATACGACCTAGTATAAAATGTAACATTTATAATATTATTTGAACATCTTTTAAAAACATTTAATTTAAAAAATGTTTTGAAAAAGTCCAAATATATTTGTTCGAAAATGTCAGGGGAAGATTAGTGTTGTCAAACACTGTTAAAAAAAAAAAGTCATAACAAAATATGTCAAAACCTTCATGGAAATAAATCCTAGATAGTGACGGCACTTTTTCCATTTGATTTTTGTATCAAATTCAAGGTTTTTAATACATTAACTGCTTTCATAAAGTAGTACAAAGTCCCCTATTTAATTGTGCTCTGTGACATTTAATCAACATTCCAATAATAAAAACGTATTCATTTTGCTGATATAAGTAACGCGCCAGGTGCTCCCCCTCTGCTATTATCGCACTTTAAACCTTGACAAACATTAGAAGGATCCATTTCGCTCAGAGATAAGTGCTCGTTACAGTAAATCGCTGCGCCAGTCATTTACTGCCTCAGAAACGGCACCACATCAAAGTCATTCTTTACACCGTCGGCTCACGCACTGGGAACCTGCAGCCAAGAAGAACGCTTCTTCAGGGCTCCACCCCCCCCCATTCAGGTCCACTCGTGCTGCAGGTGCCAGAAGACACAGACGGCACGTGTACCTATCCAAGCTGGTCTCGATAACAGACCTACACTTCTGGATACAGCCGCACAAAACAAACCATTGTTGCCGTGCGATTAGACCGTGCCCCACACACACTGTGTGATTAGGGAATGTTGGCCCACACTGCACAGTACCTGTAGGGGCTCTCCGGGTGGAGGATGAATGGAGGAGTCTGTCTGACATGGAGGGAGAGGAGAAGGTGGGGATGGCTAATTGCAGGCTGCGTGGTGATGCAGGAGGCGAGGAATGTGTCTTGATCTCTGATCCCGGGGAGTCGAGGGGCCACGCGAGGTCGCGGTTTGGCTCGGGCCTGTGGGCCACATGGACGGGTGAGGTCATCGTCGGTGGGCCTCACATTATGGGCCGGGGGGATGCGCATCTCTGCAAATTGCGGCCCCCTCGGTGAAGAAAAGAAGAGCTCAAGGAGAAGATGACACGGTTGATATTTCGTGCTCCTGTTGCCGAGCAGCGTGACGGGTCACCGGTTAAATCACACAGACAGCAGGAAGACAGAAAGGACGCGTGACAGCAAACATAGCATCGAGTTGGATAATACAGGCTGAAACATAAAATCAGGCTGGACCTAAGATTTAACAAAAGAATGGAAGCAGACTTTGACCCCATTATCACAGTCATGAAAAAGCCCTTCCATTGTCTCTACGCTGTTGATTTATGACTTTATTATCATTATCGGTGAGCGAGACGCGGCGGCAGCTTACAAGGGCATCGGCTTTTATTAATCTGCTGTGGCGGGCGGTGTGCCGCGCACACACACGCACACACACACACACACACTCTCTCTCTTTCTGACATCAGACAGGCCGGGTCCAGCTCGGCCGGTGCATCCCCCTGCCGTGTCGATGTGTGAGTCACTTCCATCCCAACAGCAACAAACGGTCGAGTTGTTGGGAGAGTCCACCGGAGGGGGGGGGGGGTTGAGTCAAGCCCATGGAATCCATGATATACTGTACTGGGCTTTGTGTTGGAAAGGGGAAAACCAGCTACATCATCCCTGCAAGTCTTTTGTTCGCTCCGGGCCTGGAGAACGCATCCTTTGTTTTAGCTTCATTCGTCCGTCTCTTGGCGGTGCCTCGGCTCTTTGTTTCATCACCACCAACTCAAAGCTGCGCGGCTTCAATGAGCCGAGGGGACGGAGTCGCGGCGGCGGGTCCGAGGTCACGCTGGGTGACCTGCTGTACCGCGGCATGCAGAGAAAAGAGCCACTTCCAAAGGTTTCCACATGAAAGCTCATTCGGAAATGATCTCACTCCTGGAACTTGACGAATAGGATTTAAAATGCGTATTCTGAGATTCTTTGGAGCATTTCCAAATTGTCCGTCAACTGATTCCCATAAATAAATATATATGTATGTATGTATATATAATCTTCACTCATATCGCTGAATGAGGGTTTCTAACTCATATACACATACACAGAAATAACATTAACTTGAAAGTAATTTGCAAATTACAAGGTAGTAGAAAATGCAAAACATTTACATATCCTCCTGTGATGTTTTAGCTGATGTCATGGCAACAGTAGTTGGGGTGGACTTCCTTAATCCTGTTTACTTTATGAGTGAGGTCCACGAATAATGAGCGATTCCATGGAGTCACCACCTGGAAACACTCTCCAACTGTGAGGTGACTCGTGACGTTTCCCTGCTATTGTCTGCTTGTTTCCAGGAGTGACGACGTGTGTGTGTGTGTGTGTGTGTGTGTGTGTGTGTGTGTGTGTGGACAAGAACTCAGACGTTTAACCTCCCAGGTCGTCCACGTCCTACGACCTGTCAGCGCGGTGTCCGGGGGCCCGGAGACGGCGGTGAGAGAGCGACGGGGACTCAGAGGGAGTGGCTGAATCACCCTGAAACGATCCGTTTGTCTGCAAGGCGTCGGGGGGGGGCGAGGGGGGAGGGAGCAAAGAGCGGCCCGGTGGGCGGATGGGAAGCATCCCAGTCCAGAGCGGCTGCCCCGGGACTCCCAGTCTGACTCTCTGGTGATCTCTGCAACGTGGAAAATGATATTCTGTTATCTGGGGAAACGGGTGCTGGGCCTCAAAAAGTCTGACTCACAAAAACAAGCGGGCGGTCCCACGGCGGAAGGGAAAGACAACGGCGCAGGCGAGCTTGATCGCTGATCCAGCGGCGAGGCGTTGCTTCATCCTCTGTTGTGTCTCGGCTCATCCGCCCACCGCTCTGTTGACTCAGGTGCGTGCGTCGAGTTTGGGCTCAGCAGACAAGCACGCGTGAGGAAACGTCTTGAGAAACAGCGTTCTCTCCCCCCACGACGACCTCGGGGCGTCTCGCTCGCGCCCACCTCCGCCTGAATGAGAGACAGCTGCTGATGTCATGGCCGGTCCAGCCCGGGTGTTTTGTCTTTTTCCTCCTCCTCCATCCTGACTATTAATGAATAACACCGTGACACCGATCCCCTTTTTGGTGCTGCAGACACATTTAAAGGTAATACTACACTTCGGTCCAACTAGTGTTTGACTGGAGACACGATTCCAGGTTAACATTCCCGCAACAAGTAGAGCGTGGGAGCCTCACGGCTGCTTCGCTGTGTCACTGGAAACTGTTGCACTCCCAAGGTGAAATGGACGAGAGGAGACAGGAGGAAGGAGGGAAACGAGGGAGAGGGAGAGGGGAAGGATGCGAGGGTGAGAGGAGGCTGGAGCACCGGCGGAGTGCTGACAGGCCGAGTGTTTCTGGGCTGCGGGAGCGACATGTGTGCTCACACTCGTTTTGAAGACGAGATCACTTTGGTCCAGACTGAGACCGTTCGACAACCACTGGTCCAAAGACGTTGGTGTTCCTCTGACCTTTCACCCAGTGCCACTTTGAGGTTTTGTGTGAAATGTCGCAAACGCCGTGAAATGAAACAGATGTTTATCATTACTTACTCAAGAGAAGCAGAATTCCCACCCACACAATTTTGCAATACACATGTTCAGTAAATGAGGCAGAAGGATGAATCTTTCCTTGTTCCCTCTGGGTGTTTTTGTGGGAATTAGGACCTGGTTTCGGGACTCGGGCTCAAGGAATCCTCTTGAAGGTGTGGTCACGCCACCGCTCCCACGTGCCGCCCGCTACAACAGCCAGGTAGTTACTTAACGATCATTAAGAATTGCAATGAGCGCATCTCCACTCCAAGTGGTGCCACTTGTCTTCTTACTGCATTTCCCTCCACGCAGCCTGAAGGAACTGCTTCGGTAGTCTGCTCAGTGCTCAGCCTGACTCTCCCACACTCCCCCCTCCTCCCCCCCCCCCAACACCACACACATCAGCCGAAATGTGACCTGCCTAATGGTCTGGAATATCCCCGTTCAAGCCGATCATCACCCCAATTTTCTTTTCAAATGCCCGGTTTTGACAAAACCGCAGGGCCGGTGTGATGTGACAGCAGAGTTGGAGGAGGAGGGGAGTGGGGCGTAAACATTGGGGTTGCTATGCAGGCGGCAGGGCAAGAAGTTTGGAGCGAGAGGCAATAAAAGCCAGCGTGTGCGTTTTGCAGACTTTGAGTGACCTTCTTACCACAGAGGATGTGGGAATGAGGAAAGAGCGAGCGAGCGAGCGAGAGAGAGAGAGAGAGACAACCCTCACGCAGCGAGTCCTAAAAGCAGCCTATCAAGATAAAAGAGAGCGATAATAAACAGTGGCAAAAAGCTGTGAGGCTTGTTATGCCTCCATGTCCTCCTCGCACGCGAGATTCCTGGAAGGCACGCTGTCGCCTCGGAGGGTTTCATTAACTGCGCGCCGATCCTACAGTTGTGCTCAACCATCACGCTCAGCTTCTCGCAGACAGGCACCTCGACCCTTCATGGTTTTCCAAAACAGGCTGAATCCAGTGGAATCATTCTGGTTGCTTTGAAGCCGAAATAGCCCACTGGGCAGAACCAGACTGACCGGATCCCGCTGCTCGCTGTGACGCCACGGTCTGTCTGTGAACCCCGAACCTTCACCTCCGGGGCCTCCTTGGCCTCAGGCGGCGCAAACTGCCGACGTCACCAGAGTCCGGCGGATGAGCGCGAGGTTGCTGAGTTTAGCGTTGGGGTGAGCGCGGGTGCCTGGTTAGCAAGGAATGCTCTAACAAACCAGAGATAATCGAAAGCGCGCAACGACGCGGGCGAAAGGTACACTCCCCGTCTCGAGGGGGGTTACCTCTGGCCGAGCTCCGGCTCCTCGCATCACGAGCAAAACATCAACACAGGGCTGTTCTATACGAGCATGGTTAAAACAAGAGTAATAGTAAGAGGGGGGGGGGGCTTGTTGTGGGAAACAAAATTATATGTGTGGGTTTTATGTAAGTAGAATGACCCAAAAGATGGAGTATTAAACAATTGTAGCGCCATGAGGTTTGATGGTTTTAGGGAGGGGGAGGGGCACATATAAGAAGCCAGATTTCTCTCGTGAAATGTCTCTTGGATTTCGCAAACTCACAGAACCTACTACAGCCACCCCTCCGCTCCATTGTCACTACTTCTGCCCGAAATAACTCCCGTTCCTAAAGGGGGCTGCTTTTCTGCTGGGCTTTTGAAACACTACACTGTTTTTCTGCTGGCAGCGGGGAAACAGCGGAGGTTACGGAGGTCACGCTCTGGGCTAACAGGAGCCACTGCCATGTTTAGATGCTGCAACAGCCCAATGTGTGACCGCTGGACCGTCTGTGGACACTGCATGCGACAATACCTTATTGTGCAGGTTTTCTTTTTCTGGAAAACTTAAGTGTAGGCAAATGCGAAGGAATTAATAGCACCGTGTTGTTGTGGTGTTCACTGCTTTTAGGGACGCAGCTGAAGCTGCGTGACTTTGTTTGCCACACTAGCACCCGGGAATTCTTCAAATGTATGAACTCCACTTGTTTCTGTATTACCAATGAATCCCATGAATTGCTCTTTTTCTCTCAGCTCAACATGGGAGCCGTCTTCCAACTCGTGGTTTAACAGACTGTGACTTTACATTTCTGGTTCGCTCTTACCAACTGCAGCAGGCTGCTGTTTTCAGTGAAAACACTCAAAGACGAACCATTTGTGAGAGATTTCCTGGCAGCCTGTTACAGTCGCTCTGCCTGGTCGAGATATAATCCTGCTCACGTGTGCACAGAAACACGCCAGTTCCCACGGTTCCAAACGCGCAGTAGATTAATGCTACAATTCCACTGCACGGTAACGTGAAGCTCTACTCAACTCAACTCTTTATGTGCTTCTGGGTTAGTGTCACAATTATGTTGCTACGTTACATCGTTATCGTACATTGCTACTTTTCATTCTTATGTTACATTGTTGTATTACATTGTTATGTTACATTGTTATGTTACATTTTTATGGTACATTGTTATGTTACATTGTTATGTTACATTTTTATGGTACATTGTTATGTTACATTGTTATATTACATTGTTATGTTACATTGTTATGTTACATTGTTATGTTACATTGTTATGTTACATTTTTATGTTACATTGTTATATTACATTGATATGTTACATTGTTATGTTACATTGTTATGTTACATTGTTATGTTACATTTTTATGGTACATTGTTATGTTACATTGTTATATTACATTGTTATGTTACATTGTTATGTTACATTGTTATGATACATTTTTATGGTACATTGTTATGTTACATTGTTATGTTACAGTGTTACGTTACATTGTTACGTTACATTGTTATGTTACATTTTTCCGTTACATTGTTACGTTACATTGTTATGTTACATTTTTCCGTTACATTGTTCCGTTACATTGTTCCGTTACATTGTTATGTTACATTGTTCCGTTACATTGTTCCGTTACATTGTTCCGTTACATTGTTATGATACAGTGTTACGTTACATTGTTCCGTTACATTGTTCCGTTACATTGTTCCGTTACATTGTTATGATACAGTGTTACGTTACATTGTTCCGTTACATTGTTCCGTTACATTGTTATGATACAGTGTTACGTTACATTGTTCCGTTACATTGTTCCGTTACATTGTTATGATACAGTGTTACGTTACATTGTTCCGTTACATTGTTCCGTTACATTGTTCCGTTACATTGTTATGATACAGTGTTCCGTTACATTGTTCCGTTACATTGTTATGATACAGTGTTACGTTACATTGTTCCGTTACATTGTTACGTTACATTGTTATGATACAGTGTTACGTTACATTGCTTCAATACATTGCTACATCAATACTTAACCAAGCATTTTACTAACTATTTCACGCCAACTATATAGGACTATATAGAAAATTGAGACACGTACAACGGAAACATGTTTTCTGAAAACTAGTAGGTGGAAAAATAAATGTTCTGGTACCAAAGATGAGTCGATTCAAGCCGTAACCTGCAGGGCATATTGGATAGGAGGGGGGGGGGGGGGGGGGTATTCCAAGACCAATGAACAAGGATGCATTTTACCATCAACCAAACAGCAGACATTAATTAAGATCTTCCTTTAAAAACTTTTTTTTTTTTATTGCAACACTTTGGGTAATAGATTCATTCTGTCTAAGGCAACTAAAAGCTTTGAACTTCCCGATAATGGGCTGATATTTATCCAGAAGAATGAGGAAAGCTGCAGGTCAGGAAAGAATCTGTGAAGGTGAGAATAAACAACATCTGTGTGTCAACATGTTGGAGAGCTTGATAAGGTTATTTGTGGTCAGACAAACACACACACATACGCACACACACAATAGGAGTCAGCATGACTGTCGATAGTGGAAATCCAGGCTTGCCCAATGGTGTGCACGCTGGATTGTCAGCAATCAAACTGTATTTTTACGCTAGGAGCAAAGACCCAGATGTGCTTAAAGGGACATTGTGTAAGATTTAGTGGCATCTGGCTTGAGGTTGGTGGATTTCCACCAACTGACTCCACAGCTCATCTCTCCCTTTACCAGCCTGTTGGAGAATTCCCTCTGGCTCGAAAAGGTAAAAGCTCAAAGTCTCTCCTCGAGCCGTGGTTTGGTTTGTCCGCTTTGGGCTACCGGAGGAACACGTCTTCCTGTGTGACACACTATTCCTCTAAATTAACAAACATGTCACCCCAAAAAATGTAACCCAACCCCACCTTTATAGGACGTGACAGGAGGATTGTGAGGAGTGGAATAATAAGCTTCCATCTCTTCCTTCAGTGACATCACAGCAATAGAGTCTAATGGATGAGTGACGCTTATAGTTAGTAAAAAATACACTTTTATTCAGAATCCCGGTTTTGTCTGCTATGACGTACCAGCAGGCGCTCTAAGATGCCACACCAGCACACAATGAATAACTAATCCGACAACAAAACACAAAACATGATCACTAAATGACCTCCTGCATTCACATCAAAAAGCTGTATGTCTCTTGTTTCTCATTAAAGTCTCACTGTTCTCTAAAACCTTGTTTGATTATTGCTACTTCACTTGGATCTTTGTTGGAAAGATTCACCGCACGCCAATCTAAATCAGATGGAAGCCCATCGAGGTCGAGAATGCAACTACTTGTGATTTTTAAGTGTATTTATTTATTTGTGAATCACAGCTAAAGTTGAAAGTTGTTGATGAAAATCACATTTTCCATTAAAAAATAAATAAATGAACACTTAAAACAGGTAGTGATATTTTCACACGTGACTTGTCGGTGCGTTGGCCCCGGAGGAGCCCCGGAGGAGCCCCGGAGGAGCCCCGGAGGACTCTCTCTTCACCTGCCGGTCGCCCGGTCTGATCGCTCTCCCGTCGCCGCGTCGAGGATCCCTCTGATTGGCTGCAGACAGAACCCCCCCCCCCCCCCCCCCCCCCCTCCACCCGCCTTCCCTTTTCTCCCCCCTGCCTCCCTCCTCCGATTATAGGGGACTCTCGCGAACTCTCCTCCCAGCCTCGCACTGAGTCTGGGACCTGGCCCCGCGGCTGAACGGCACACACACGCAGAGCGCGCACCATGGCAGCTACGCACGGCGAGTACCGAGGCTACCTGCGGAACGCCGCCGACATGGAGGCCGGCCAGCACCGCTTCCACCCGGTGCAGAGCTCGGAGACCACGTACCGGCCGCTCCTGTTCGGGACCCTGGCCGTTATGGGATTGCTTCAGGTGGCTTCCAGCGTGGCGATCTTATTGCACCTGACGGGTTACCTGCAAGAGGTAGGCTGGCCGCTCGCGGCGCGCGGCGCGCGCCTTTGGCGCACTTTGGCAAGTCCTCCGCGGAGCTCTGGTTCCGCGTGTGAATATTTTTGGTCTGCCGCTTCGATCCACGCTTCTCTAACCGGGCTAACGGGCGAGTTTCAGACGGTCCAAACCCTTTCGCGCAGGTCTACAGTGCCGCGAAGCGGCAGATAAATCAGGTTCTAATCTCTGGGTACGTTGGAAGAAAAGAAGCCAAGAAAAAAAAAAAAAACAGCCATTGCTGCAGTTTAGTGCGCCAAGAGTGTGTGCGCTTTTTGGCGTCTCTTTGAAGTGTACTTCTTCCCGCGCTGTAACCCCCCCCCCCCCCCCACCCAACGCCACCCCACCCCAGATAACATCTCCAAACGCCCGCGTGACATTTTCTAAAGAGGAGTTATTTCGGCGGCTGCAGGCAGCTCGAGTGAAAGTGATAACATCTCAGTCGGTGCTGCCAGATGTCGTGATTGCACAATGCAGATGTTTGCACTTCAGCCTCGCGGGCTGCAGTTCTTCTCCGGCGTGTTTACATTCCACCGTTGGGAGCCTATTTGTAAATCACACGGGTCATAAGCTGTAAACCCTCCGCCAGCAGAGACGCAGCGAATGTCTGGCAAAGCTCAAGACCGAAGACCGAAGCTGATACTGAAATATAAATGTTAACGTTCCCTCAGCTCGTCTGTCACTTGCAGGCTGCAGGTCTGTGATCTGTGATCTAAAATAACATTGGTGTTCTTTGTGGCGGGTCGGGACGTGAATGATTAGAGCGGAACCTCCTCCCCGCCGGGTCGGGATGCTGGAGGTTCACCTGGGGAGCATCTCTCTCTCTCTCTCTGTTTGTGTGTTGAAGTTATTTGGCATAAACACGCTGCGATGTGGCAGGTTATGTTCTGGATGTGGCCCAGAGGGGGGAAGACTAAATCAAAAGGAGGGAGGCAGCAGCGCTCACATTTCAAATCCCTGTCACGTCCGCCTGCTGCTGTGGAATGCATGCGGAAGATAACTTCCTCCCACGCACACATACCTCTGAAGCCGAAGCGTCTTCCTGTTGCTCCTGTCAAATATTCCTCCCGCCCACACCTGTTGGGGCGGGGCTCATCCCAGGTACTGGTTCAGGTATGTTTCACACAGGCCTCTCTAACCTCAGCTCCTGTCTTTGTGTCCCCAGGTGGATCTGTCCACAGCTCCACGTGGGCCGATAGAGGTGAGTGTGACGGGCCACTCACGTTTGCATTTGAGCGGGTTTTGAAGGCGCCGCTCGCACGCTCGTGTGTGAATCGTCCAAACCCGACCCGACTGCACTCGTCACAAACAAACGTTATAACGCCGCACGCCGGTCGGGAACATTGGAGTTTTGGCCCCAATCCCAAATCATCCGTATGAAACGGCTCCAGAGTCCAACAAGCCCAAACAGAGTAAGAAGGTATCTGATGCAGATGTCACCAACGACAAGAACGATTTCACTCCTCTCAGACAAACCGTCCCCGAGTCACACGAAACCAAACAGCCGAATCGTGCAAGTCAGCCAAATCGAAGTAAATCTTTCCAAAAATACTGTCCACACGCTGGGCTACGACTTGGATGTGTGTTTTAGCACCATATCTCAGAGGCCAAAACACAGGCCGGGGGCCAAACGGGCACTGGAGGACATTATTTCATTCCCTACTTCAACAAACTCCGTGTGAGCACACAGTGATGGATCGCTGAAACGCGCCAGGCCAAACAAAAGGCCGCGAGAGATCTGCTCACAGAACGTTTTGAAGCACACCAGGTATTTCCTGATTTACGTAGACGTCGTCAACGAGGAGAGAGTGCAGTCGGCGCACTGAGTGTTTCGCAAAGAGAGTAGTTTGAGCAGCACAACATAAATATGGTAGCAGAGCTTCTGCACAGCAGGAGAAACTACCTTCCTGCTTTCTGCTGCAGAGGCCTTTGGCTTACCGACTCTGTGGCGACAGTGGACCAAGGATCTTCCTCGGCTGATCGGCCGCAGCCTGAGGGAGTCACGAAATAAACATTTTTGATCGTCAATGCCATATATCCGGTTTCTAATACTCTTTCTTGGGAGTTGACGCCCATTTTCTGGCACCGTTTTTTGCAAAATGCAAAACAAATGCCAAAAAGAAGCCAGGAAGCAAAACAATAGCGAATGAAATGACGGCTGTGCCTCTGGTGTTGGGTTTCCCATAACGCTTTAATCACCTTCTCGTGTTCTGTATTGTGGGTTCGCCCTGGCGGAGCTCTCCCACAAGCCACCCGGGGCGGCGGCGCGGCGAGGGAGCTGGTCGTGTCGTCAGCGCTCGGGCTGTTTCCTGCGCATGTTGCACATGTCGACCCGACGCATGCGGCGCGCACGCCGCCTATAGGCCGGACGTTTCTCCCCCCCCCCGTGGTGCCGCGCGGTTGCCGTGATTTAACGCTGCAGCCACTTTCGTCTAAATAATCTCTTCGCGCCCGGTTGAGGAGGCGGGACGCGGTCGCACCACAAATCAGGACAGATCCCACAGTGCAGGGCCAACGGGGAGCGTCGCTCACACTTGCTCGGCATTTGCGTTATCTCCAGAACAACACTTTTTCCTTTCACCTTTTTCTCTTTCTGCTCTGAGGTGGCGTCTCGGAGCGCCGCCAGGAAACCTGAGATAATTGAATCGGAGAAAATTCACGGAAACCACAGAACACCTTCAGGACATGATGAAACCTCATTTACCGCCACAGCCACATTTCTATGTGTTCACACTTAAACATAGAGGCGGCAGTTGCATCTACAATTTTGTCTGATTGCCAACGCTCTTTTTCCCTTGTCGTGATCCTTTAACTTGTGTGAGTGAAAGATTATAGGTAGAGTCAAAAAAAAAAGACCAGCACAATGTTCTAATCTCATGCCAGATGTGTCAGAAAGTTGGCAGCGACGCTGCAGCGACTGTTTACTTGCTTGGAAAACACGCTGATTAGAATCAGCGATCCGGGTTGAGCGCGGCCCACGCCGTATTTGTGCCAAAGCCGTGAGAGGGTTTACGCTCGGCAGGAGGGCCTCCCCGTCACGGCCCCCCTTTCGGCCCCCCCCCCCCCCCGCGTAATGACGAGTTGGCAGGATGGATCCTACACACACCCACACACACAGAGGAAGTCAGTGTGTGCTCCTCCATCTACTGTTCACACGCACGCCATCCCCCACAAAAGGACGGGGATTCAGAGCGACCGCCGGACCGAACTGCGGGCAAATATGTCCAAACCGTACGAGTGAAAAGTGAGGGCTCATTTTTAATGGCGGGTGGAAGTCTCAGTTTAGGCCACCTCCTCCGTGGGAGGAGAACACACACACACACACACATTCTTGTTGTTTCTCGGTTCTTTGGTGTTTGATCGGTGGTTTTCGTTTGCCGTTTCTCTCAGGAAGTGCAGACGGAGCCGGTGCTGAACGCCCTGAGGGACCCCAAGAGAAAACGCTGCAAAACGTCCAAAGAGAGCCTTCCATCGGCTCACCTGCCCATCCAGACCAAGACCAAGTACCCGCCGAGTGAGTCCACCGCCGCATCATCCAGCTCAGGGTGACCCGACTCCCAACATGCGTGGAGACTCACGGAAGAAAACCACTTCATCCCACGCTTGTTACTTGTTCTTCTGCTGAGATCAGTCTTTTCGAAATATTTTTAAGAAATCAGCGTCCAACTGAACCGACTCGTTTCCTTGCTAACGAATGAAGCATTAACTGTCAAAGCGGGAAAGTAAAACATTTCCATGTGGGCGGGATTAAATCCTGTTTATGTAAATAACACTATTTAACAAAACATTTGCAAATGTAAAGGCAACTTTGTAAGTTCTATACTGTGCAACAATCAGTTTATATGTTACTGTTGAACAAATATACCAATATTATGATGCTGGTTCTGACCTGGTTCTGACCTGGTTCTGGCCCGGTCCTCTCCTTTTTAAAGAGCTGGAGGCCGTCGTCGTTAACTGGGACGGGGAGCAGCGGTACCGCAACAGAATGGAGTACCAGGACAGCAAACTGCTGGTGGGCGAGTCCGGCTTCTACTACGTTTACACCAAGATCTGCTTCCGCTACTACCGGCTGGACGGCGACAGTCCGACCCGCCCCCCGGTGGACGTCAGCAACACGCAGCTCATCCATTACGTCTACCACGAGAGCAGCAAGCACAAAAGCACGGCCAAGCTGATGAAGACGGGCAGCACCATGCACTGGAACCTCACCACCTACAACATGTACTGCGCCCAGCAGGGCCGAGGGGTCCGGCTGGACCAGGGGGACGCCTTGTACGTCGAGGTGTCCAACGCTTGGATGCTGGACCTGGAGGGAGAAGGGACGTATTTCGGGGCCATAAAGTTGGGTAACTGAAAAGGGAACGAGGTGGGGAGCGGACATGCTACTGAACATTCCATACGCCAAAGAACCACTGTTAGCGATCTTAGAGTGTTGACTAAGTTTGTTTTCTGTCTGTGTGTGTTTTTTTGTTGTTTTAACATTGCTCTTCACCAAATTGCCGAGTCGTGTGTGTGTGGGAGGGGGGCGGGGGGAGGTGATGGAACAGCTTATCGCCTATTTAGAAACATTTTATTTGGTATTACAACATTTAGACTTAAGCACAAATTAAACATATCGCGGGTGATCAAACCAGCGATAAGGGATTTATCCATGTTGAATCTTGGGAGGAGAGATTTTCCAAAAAACAGCGTTGAGCATCTGCTTCTATTCAGCAGATTATAGCAGAATAAAAATGACTCCCGGGTCGGACCCACGGCAGGGACACACAAACGTTTAGCCAGTAGGCAACTAATCGGCGGTTAGACGGTGAGTTATATCACCCTCCACATCTCTAAAGATTCGCTCTGACTCAGACTTTTGTTTCCTGAAGCGACGGAAGCCGTTTGAAAACAAGGTCATGCGCGCCTGCGCTCCACAAACTCCACAAACTTGTATTCCGCTTTTTGCGTCCTAAAGAAATCCGAGAGCGGCCTGCTTCGTGAGGGCAATTGTGCGACAATGTCATTTTAAACCAAGGTGGGAATGACGATCAACCAACAATGCAGATAGCTGGACTGTCTGACCAAAAATCACAGCAAGGGACTCTTTGTCTTTTTTTAACTAGAGGAACCGAATTGAGTTTGGTTCATCTTTAACTTAAATTTTGTTTTTCTTTTGGCTCTGCAGTGGGGTCAATGGGAATATGCACTAAGTATTTATTTATTAGCCGTAGAAGTACAGAGACAGGTCATTGTTAAAGTGACCATACAGCTGTAAAAAAAAAAAAATACATGTTATGTTTTGTGTCTGTGTGACATTCATTATGCAGCACTTAGGAAAGTAGTAGACACGCTTTTTGCTATTAAAACACAGGGGCTCCATTTAAAATTCTATATTTATGTATCTTGATTTTGACAATTCTGTGTGCACTTGCCTAGCCAAATGTGGATGTGTTGCTCCTCCTACAAGACTGTAGCATAAGATCTTCATCTGACTTCATCTGCTAGATTCTTTTTCCATTTAGTGTTTTTATTTTTTATTTATATCTTTGTATGTTTTAATAATAAAAAAAAAAACTACTTTTGTAACAGCGTTTCCCGCGTGTTGACATTGCTCGAGCCTCAGCGGACGCTGACGCGGCCCGCCGTGAAGCCGCGCGCCGCGCGCCAGGGATCAAGTCAAAAGTGGGGCTTGCGGGAGAAACACTTGGCGTGAGAACGTTCATACGTTTTCTTGCAGGGCAACGGTTCACTTGTGCCCCAAAAGAATGTGTTTTTCAAAAGCGATGCATACAACAAACAACACTGCCACTTGCAAGTTGTGCAACAACAGAAACAATTGCGCTGCGGCTCAGTTTCAGATTTAAATAGCTGAAGCCAAAAGAGTCAACAATGGACTGGCGTAGTGTGCCACCCTTCTGAAGTGACTTGATTTCTCAACTCCTGGCGCTGAGCAGAAACCATTAAAATGTGTTGTGTCAGTAAACATTTTGAAAAGCTTTGTGTCCCCCCCCTCCCTCCCACACTCTCCCTCACTGTACACATATACTCTCACACACACACTCATACAGGGAGACGCTGCAGTTTCTGGCTGCACTCATAAAATAGGCCCATTTGGCACGAGTGCAGAACTTGTTTTATTACTCACATATGTAAAAACACAAGGGCCAATGAAAAGCAATGAGAAGCAATGAGAAGCAATGAAAAGCAATGGCCCGGTCCCTGTCAGAGTATGTAGTGGATTTGAACTGTTACAGGGAACGAAATGGATCGCTGGCTTTTAGTTCTCGGCGTGTTTGTGAGCTCCGGAGGAACAGAGCCGAGACTGACATCCATGATGCAGCATCTTCATCTTTTTTAAAGAGGTGGAGCCTTTGTTTTAGAAAAACTTAGTGGTGTATTGGCCTCAGGGAGTTTTACCCCCCCTTAATAAGCAGCACCAGAGACAGTGATATCAAAGTCGAGCTAACTATGGGTGCCGAGCTTTACGAGGAAATGGAGCAGCTGGAGGTCTTTGTTACCTGCAGGCCGGTTGCTTCGTTCCACGCTATCGGCGCACAAGTCGCGCATGCAAACCACCTCGCTAACACGTGCACGCACACACACACACACACGCACACACACACACACACACACACACTCGCTCACTCCTCTGCTGCTGAGTCAGCACGGCCAGCTATTTTCACAAGCGGGGGCCCTCGCCGCGCGACTCCGGCTTAGGATGTGTGACGTTTTTTAACCACTTGGCTAATGCTAACATTAGTGTTATTAAAACAACACCAGAGTGAGATTTACAGGCCACGCTGCAGACGCATGGGCGTGAGATAGCGGGAGGGTTGTTGCTGTAACCCGGGGGCCCTGTCATCCCCCGTATGAGCTGTCAGCAGAGAGTGTGTGCCAGACTGTCTACGCCTGTGTGGAGACGGGGAGGTCGTCAGCCAGCCGGAGGTTTATTCAATCAAAGGACACACCCACGAGCAAATGCACAGCCGATATAAAGGGCCCCTCCTTCATCAGACGCAAATCCTATGATGCCTTGATCCCATTTTTTGTATGAGTGACCCCTCTGACCTTGTCCTCGTTTGACCGTGCTTCAGCACCACGGACAGCACATCTCTCATCTGACCTTCGATGCACACATCGACAATACTCTCGTACAGAAACTGCTTAATGAAGCCAATGCGTTTTCCCCCACTGCCCAATAAACTGCACGTGGTATTCACCTTCACGAGCATCACTACGGCACCACATCTGACTGCAACATTGAGATGAGAGACCACGGAGACTTCGGCCCCTGGTGGGAGCCGGCTGATGCCACGCTGTGATTGGCCAGTCTGCAGGTCACATGTTCCTTCAAAAAGCAATGATGTACCCGCTGATAGTGTGAGAAAGTCCCATTTTTCTTTTGTCTTCTATCACTACTTTCAACCCAGTGGTGTGTGTGTGTGTGTGTGTGTGTGTGTGTGTGTGTGTGGCTTTGGTCAGCGTCTCCTCATAAACCACCATTCACCAGTAACGTTTATCAAGTATGGAAAGGGGCATATTATCTCCGCTTGTCACAAACAAATTCACCACTATCTTAAGAAACACCCGGTGGTCAGCGGTGCTGTTGTAGAATCGGAGACTCACAAGCGAGCCGACAACCGGCCGCCAGCGCTGAAACACATCTGGAAACATTTCAATGGAAATTCACGCCGACGATGCTTTTCTCTCATTAATGATTCCGACACTAAATGTAAAACACAACCAACATTTGATGATGAGAGGATGCTGAATTCAGGGTGAACTCGTTAAAAATAATCCCAACTTGTTTTAGGCAACAAGCGTTGCTTCATATGCTCTGAAGATTCAAAAACTGAAAAACGAAATACAGTCGGGAGAGTGCAATCTGAAAAAATGTCAGTTCCACATTCTGGTCCATCAAAGCCCAACGTGCATTAATCACTCTCAAAGGAATCAACCCCAAATGATCCGATACTAGGACGGACCAGACAAGCTTAAGTCTTAGAAGGGAAAAACCCACATCGACCAATTACCTTAATCCTGCTGTTTTTTCAACATTTTCAGCAGCATAACACAACTTACTTCAAAGTACAAAAAACTATACAGCGTTGCAATTTTATTAACTGCAATACTTTCCTTTCAAATTCGATTGCTTTCGCCTTGAATCCTTTCAGTTTTTAGGGTTCTGATCACTGGTTTTAATTAAGGGACTTGAAATTACTCCCAGAAGAAAAGGGAATGTTAATAAAGTTGAAAACAGGAAAGACGTGCGCCAATAGACACAAACACACACACAGATGCATGCGTCTATGAAACCGCACTCGAGCATGTGAAATATCCCGTGCACACGCACACACACACACACACAGTCACACACACCCACACCCATATGCCCACTCCAAAAAGGAATCCCCTATCTGTGATGCAGGAGCATGAACTTTTGGTATTCCCTGGGGTCTAAAGTCTCAAAATGGATTAAGGTTAAGATGTGGTGACACCTGGACGGAGTCCTGCGTTACACAAAAACACACCGACAACTCAGTGAACCTTTATAATACCCCCTCTCTTCCCCAACGCGGCCCCGGAGCCATTGGTCAAAGAGCTTTCGACATTATCTCGCCCGTCTCAAGGGGACGCGGATATTTCTTCACATATTAAGATGAATTCTAACATTTGTTTTGCAAGGGTTCAATTTCTCAACGCAGTGACGTGCGGCGGGCGGTTACTCAGACGAGGGGGTTTGAGTCAAATATACGAGACCTACATCAGCTCCCAGACTTCCCAAACCCCCAGCAAACAACAAGCAACACACCCAGAGCCGAGAGCAGCTGGAATGCCATTCACACGGTGGTCCCCCCCCCCCCCCCCTCTCGCTCTCTTCCTCTCGGGCCGTTTCTCTGACCCGCGTCGGACGGGCCGGATCGCCTGCCCCGTTTGTCCGGTCGAGGTCTCTTTTAATGTCCTGCTTTCAAAAACCTAATGTGATACTTTACTTTCCAGGACTAGCCAGGCCCTAAAGGATTGAATGACCTGACACGTGGATCTCTACCTGTCATCATGTTTGGGCCTAAACTCAAGAACATCAACACAACATCCAGCCACTGTGCGCCAGTGCACATCACAACAATGGCGAAGGAACTAAGCGGACCGGACATTTAGAATAAATAACGTTTGTTACTTATATAATGGCGGGAGCCCTTCTTGGGTGGCTGGTGAGTCACGTGTCAGTCAGGCGTTTGGAGGGCGGGCCCATCATGCCGCTGACTGACCCGTCACCCGGGTTGTTTGTGTTACTGCGCGGCTGATTGTTTGATTGTGCCGTGGGTTGTGGCCCGAAAGCGTTTGTGTAGATTCTAAATATTATCATCTGGACAATCCTCGCGTCGTGTAGTAAATTGCGGGGACGATGTTGTAGCAGTCGCCCGCCGTCTTCTCTCTCAGTCTACACCGAGGAGCACGGCAAGTCGCCGCCGTTGGAACACAGCGTCTTTAAACCGTGACCGCAGGCCGCAGCCAAGTCACCGACATGTTTTACTTTCCGCAACTCAAATGAAAAAAACTTCCCCCTTTGAAATCAGCATCGCGACTGCGCCGTCTCGCTCCGTCGCACCGACGCGATTTGACGTTGCATCTTTATCTCAGACAGATGTGGTTCCGAGCGGCAGTTTTTTTTTTTTTTCCAGCACGGGCCGGGCTTTGGTTCGACCACGCGGCAGACGTCGACCACGGACGCGGTGCCCTCAGGAGAAGATCCTCGCGAGGCGAGAAGGTTAATTGGGTTCGCGGAGAGAACGCCGTGGTTGAGAGCGCAGCTGGACGGAGATCAGGAACGATGAGGCATCAGGAAACATCGGGAGGCTGCAGAGCTCCACGGCCAAAGTCCAAAGCTGCACTAACGCGATGCTTGTTTTGGCACCGAGTCCACCGTGTGTTCCACTCCTTTAATATCCATTTTGACCTGCTGCAGAGAGGTCTGTCTTTCGCTTGTTTGATCAGTCTTCATTCATTCGGGAACCCACTGTAAGTGATTCCAACGAGCAATTGATTCAAGGAATGAAAGAAACAAAAGGAAGAAAAGACTCAAACACGGTGCTTAAAACGTTGTGTTTCTGGAGAACTGAAACAGTTTGATTTTATACAGATGATATCCATTTATGTCCGGTTACACAATACGTTGTCAACTTTTCACATGCAAATTGAGCTGTGATGAAGGAGTCAACCTTCAGTAGTCTCTGACTGCCCAAACACTTTTTATCATCAGCACGGAGCTGAACGCACGAGGAACTGATGGTAAGTGGAGTCTGAGTCCTCTGAGAATCACACAGCCCCCGGAGTGTTGCTTCTCAGCCCTCTTGTCTCCTCTGGTACATGGAAAAACAATGCAGGGCTCAGTTTCCTGCACTGATCCTCTGAAAGGTCAATTGCTGGGCTGCTTTATAATAAAAAAAGCTGTGGGTTTGTGGCCCCATTTTTAAAAAAGCCACAATAATAATGTTTAAAACACTTGGAGGCCTGGGAACAAGATTCTTTTTAATGGTAAATATGAAAACCCATCTGTTGTGCAGGTTTGCCATTTGGAAGGCTTA